CGTGGGATAGGCATAAGGCTATCCTAACTATAAGATAAGGCTCGGGACTAATGAAAGTATTTAGAAAATTGGGCAGACTTGATGGGCCGAATGGTTCTTATCTGCCGTCACATTCTATGTTTCTATATACAGAGGAGAAATAATTATTTAAAATTTCTGCCCTATCATGGTCTTCATTAACTAACCCCATCACGGTTTTTAGTGTACCTACACTTTCAATTATTTTTTTAGAATATATGTACTTAAAAATGCTTTGGGGTTTGTTATGCTCTCTTAGGCTATCGCTTTTTCTTTTTGAAGTTTAGCAAACCTAATTGCCTTTTTGCACGCATTATTGGCTTTCTTATATCTTTTATAGGATGCCTCTGATTTGTCCGATTTAAAGGCTTTGAATGCCCTTTTCTTATTTTTAATTTCTTGATTCACTTTTCCACTAAGCCACATTGGTTTCAATTTGTTTATTTTATATTTATTACCCAATGGTACATACTGAGAAATGTGCCTTTCTAATAGAAGGAGTTGAAGATCAAGGTTAAGCTGATCCAACATGTCCCATCTCTCACCACCGGGTCTGAAGTGCTCACAGCAGCCTCCATATTGCCACTCGGTGTCAACTGCAAATTGGTGCTCTGCACCCTCAGCTTTGCAAAGAGGCCCCTTAGGTGTGGACTGGGATGACATCTGCCGGTCCAAAGGGGGAAGAACAGTGCACCAGCTGGCGCTTTATTTAACTTAAACTGTTCTAGGTTGAGATCAGCTGCCTCTCCCTTCCTAGGTGTTCACCAGGCCAAAATATATTTGAGGTTTCTTCCAAGGCCATGTCAGCAAAAGGTACCGTGTGTCGCTGAATATTGGGTAGGACCCACACATGGGCTGCTTTATTGTCGACTTAAGTTATACTAGAGTCCAGTAGTGACCACAAAAGCTGTCTTGTCTAGGTAAAGATGGCCATTGGAGTGTCTTGTCAGAATAGATAGATAGATATTGAGGGTATAGATTTGTTTGCGTTATTGCACTGAAAATCAAAGGAAGGTTTCCAAATGTGGAACTATGTACTCCACCCTGCTGGACCATTGGTACTGCATCTGTCAAAAATAGCATTATTATTATTATTATTTATAAAGCACCTGCAAATTCCAGAGTGCTGTACAATAGGTGGACTAACAGACATGTATTTGTACATTTGTATTTAAGTAACCAAGAGAGTTATGAGTCAAATTACACAGCGTGGGAAAATTCCAAAGAACTTTCCCACGCTGTGTAAAATGACACAGAGCACTCTGATTGGTGGATTTCAAACCAACCAATCAAAGTGCTGTGACAGGTAAATGTAGAGACTTACCTATCAGTCTCTTCATTTACCTGTCAGAGCACTCTGATTGGATGGCTTAAACCCACCAAGCCATCCAAGGAAAACCATGGCCCTAAATAAGTCTTGGAGGTGGGTGTCAGAGGTGGGAGTACGAACAAAGGATAGACTCAATGTTACGTTTACCTCCAAGCCAGCTGAAGGCTGGACCGCTTGGATGTCCTGGTTCCCGAGTATGGAGAGAGGGAAGCGTCGTTCCGTTCAGCATACCGCTAGAATCCTGTGAAATGTAGAGCAATCCCACTAGGCTACCCTGGTTCCCACAAAATGAGTCGAGGCTGCGATTTGAGGGTCAAAACGAAGTGAGTTTACTGGCACACAGGCATCGCTATTTATGCAAAACCCCAGGTCCAGGGACAGCCCCCTCTGGACCTGATGGGATACAGGGACAATACAAACAGCTGACCAATGGAATTACAGAGTATTCTTTGAAATGGTGATAATGACTCTAACGGTTATGGCAATATAATTATCTCCAAGCGCCCAAGATCCCACATTTTATTGGAACATATAAAACAGTATAAAAATATATAACTATAACATTTTAATAGATACATCTTGCATTCCACCATTCGCTAGATAGCCCAGATCTGAGCGCAGCAGATAGGCGAATAGCGCTCAGATCTCCCGAACGGTATAGCCAGTCTCTTCAACACAAAGTCCTTTCGTGCCCTTTTGTCCTGAACACGAGATGGCGGCCATGCTTTCAGGTTGGAGCGAGTAGCGGCTGAACAATTGCGCGAACACCGCTCAGAGCGTGGTTGTCCCAGCTCTTCGTGAGCCGAACAAAGACCGCCATGAAGGGGGGTACTTAACTCGCAGTTATCAGCAGACCCAACGTTCTAATTGGGGCCACATGCCAGGATGTAGGTGGTCCTCGTTCTGGAGTCTTTCGTGAGTTCCAGTTCGGTGAATTATTACACGAATGAGGCCACCCTGAGACAGTCAATTAGGCTTGCGGTTAACCGCAGACTGCAGCTCTCTGGTGGTCGATTGGGTGCACACTCCGCTTGCAAGGTGGTCGGCCATTCGGTTGTTCTAGAGGTGAAAGAGGTTAAGTGGCGGCACACGCCAAGGGCCGGGTGGTCTTTGTTCGTATGCACGAATACATAGTCCTGACTGTTCGTGCAATGTGTTTAAACAGTAATAAAGTATACGGTCAAATGAAACAAGGCAATCCAGTAACTGTCTGTAGAGCGTCCGTAACAGTGCTCCCTCCTAGTGGAACACTCTCACAGACACCGTCTGACCCCTTTTCAGGGCAGATTAAGGCTGTCCAGACTGATAGGTTAGGCCGGACTGAGGTCTGTTTGTCGAGATTTGTTTTGCCATTCTGTTTTCTGGGTCTGTAGGTGATGGTAAAATTAAAGGGTTGTAATGATAGGCTCCAACGTAAGAGCCTGCCGTTGTCCCCAGAGACCCGGTTTAGCCACACCAACGGGTTATGGTCAGTTACCAGAGTGAACTCTTGTCCATACAAGTAGGGAGTCAATTTCTTTAGAGCCCACACCAGGGCCAAACACTCCTTTTCCACTGTGGTATAGCTGACCTCGCGTGGCAGGAGCTTTTCGGCTGATGTAGGCAATCAGGTGCTCCCCTCCGGACATGGAAGCGTCTGTATGAACCATAAAATGTTTGTTAGGGGCTGGGGAAGCCAAGATGGGAGCATTAACAAGAGCAGTTTTGAGAGCTTGAAACGCAGTTTCACAGTGGGGAGACCACAGGACCTGTCGGGGAAGGTTTTTCTTAGTCAGGTCGGTCTGTGGTTTGGCTATGGTACTGTAGTCGGGCACGAAGTGCCTGTAGTATCCTGCAGTACCCAGAAAGGCTAGGACCTTAGTCTTGGTGGTGGGGGTGGGCCAGTTTGCAACAGCTTCTATCTTAGCCGGTTCTGGCCGCTGTTTCCCACACCCCACCCGGTGACCCAGGTACTGTACCTCGGCCATTCCAAAGTGGCACTTCTCTGGCTTCAGAGTCAGGCCAGCGGCCCGAATCTGATCCAGGACCATTCCTACATGAGCTAAGTGTTCCTCCCAGGATTCACAGTGGATCGCTATGTCATCCAGGTATGTGCAGGCAAAACCCTAGAAGCCATCCAGGAGTCTATCCACCAAGCGCTGGAACGTGGCTGGGGAATTCTTCATCCCGAACGGCATCACCTTAAAGTGGTATAAGCCGAACAGGGTGACGAATGACGACTTGGCGATAGCTTCCTGGGCCAGGGGAATTTGCCAATAACCTTTACAGAGGTCAGTTGTGGTAAGTTAGTTTCCCCTGGCTATACGGTCCAGTAGCTCGTCGACTCTGGGCATAGGGTAGGCGTCCATTACTGTTTGTCGTTGAGCTTCCTATAGTCCACACAAAACCGAGTAGTTCCATCTTTCTTGGGGATTAGAACTACCGGGGATGCCCATGGGCTATCGGAAGGCTCAATCACCCCTAGTCGGAGCATCTCCTCAATCTCCGTTCTGCTTTGGGGATTCGGTAGGGGGCCTGTCGCAGGGGTTGCTGCCCTGGAGTGTCTACCTGGTGGGTAGTTAGGTGAGTGTACCCTGGTTCTTGTGAGAATGTAGCCTGTTTAGCGTGAAGTAGCTGATTTAACTGCTCCCTTTCCGTGTCATTAAGTCGGTTCCCTATCTGGACCTGGGCCACTAGGTCTGTGTGGGGGTTCCTTTCCAGCAAGTCTGGGATGGGGAGGCTTTCTGGGTCCTCGTGAGGGGGGATGCAGATAGCGGTCAAGTCTTCGGGTTTTTCTAGGTACTCCTTCAGCATATTAATGTGAAAGGTTTTTCTTAGGGTTTCGTCATGGCAACTGGCTATTGTATATGTGGTGTCCCCCTTCCTTTCTACAATCTGGTAGGGACCTTGCCAGGCCGTCGGCAGTTTGTCTGCCTTGACTGGCTTGAGTACCAGTACCTTCTGCCCTATGGCAAAGCTCCTTGCTCAGGCGCCCCGGTCGTACCATACTTTCTGTCTCCTCTGGGCCAACTGGGGATTAGCCTGGACAGACCTGGCTAATTGCTCCATTCGGTCCTGAAGTTCCAGCACGTACGGCACGATAGGGACCCCGGCATTCTCGGTTTCCCCTTCCCAGTGCTCTCGGATCAAGTTTAGGGGTCCCCGTACCTTGCGTCTGTAGAGCAGCTCAAAAGGAGAGAATCCGGTCGTTTCTTGGGGTACCTCCCAGTATGCGAACAGGAGGTGCGTTAGGAAGCGTTCCCAATCCCTACATTCCTGAGTTAATGTTTTGAGCATCTGTTTGAGGGTCCCATTGAACCTCTCACAGAGCCCATTAGTGTGGGGATGGTAGGGGGTGCAAAGGAGAGACTTAACCTTGTAGACATGCCATAGCTGCTGCGTTAATTCGGCAGTAAACTGAGTGCCCCTGTCGGATAGGATTTCTTTGGGGAATCCAACCCGAGAGAACACCTGAACCAACGCATTAGCTACAGTGTCTGCCTGGATGTTAGATAGGGCCACGGCTTCAGGGTACCTGGTAGCATAGTCCATTACGGTAAGAATATAGCGTTTACCTGAGGGACTAGGGGTAGCCAGTGGCCCCACTAAATCAATAGAAACCCGGCTGAATGGCTCCTCTATAATGGGCATATTTACCGCCTTAGGATGGTCACCTCTCCTCCCTACCCGCTGACATACAGGTGTTGCAATGTGTCCTAACGTCCGCGTTTACCCCAGGCCAGAAGATGGTATGGGTAATACGGTGCAGGGTGCAAGTTACAGCCAAGTGGCCAGCTAAGGGAATATCATGCCCTTTTCTTGGTATTTCCTGTCTGTACTTATATGGGACCACCAATTGTCGCCTATGTTGTCCCTTCTTCTCTGTTAGATGGTACTGTTTCCCCTTCTCCCATATAAAGGTCTCGTTATCTAGTCCCCCTCCCCCAGACTCAGCCTTTTCCCTGTACTTTCGTAAGGTCTGGTCAGATTTGGACTCGTTCTCAAAGGTGGCTGGGGTATCCCAGGGTATGGGATCTAATGGGGCAGTCAGGGTCGGGGTGAGTCTTACCTGTAGCTCCCGCACTGGTGAATGGTCTGGCTGGTTCCTGGCTTGTGCTCGGGTAGTCACCGGATGGGCATCGGGGGTATAGGATGGGGCATAGGCAGATGTCACAGGTCCCAAATCGTTGCCCAATAATACCTCTGCTGGCAAATTATCCATGATTCCCACGTTCACAGTCCCTTTTCCCGCCCCCAATCCAGATGGACCTTGGCGGTCGGGATTTTGTATACACCCCCCCCCAGCCACTCGAACAGCCACAATCTGTCCTGAACGCTTGTGCTCCGGCACCAAGTGGCTTTGAACTAGGGTGATTGTAGCTCCAGTGTCCCGCAGTTCCTGAGTGGGGTGACCCTCGAGCCATACTTTCTGCCTGTGGTGTTGGCGGTTGTCGGAGGCAGCATATACTGGATCTGCCTCCTGGAGGGGTCCCAGGTACTCTTCCATGGGACCCTCCTGGTTAACACACAACGCTCTGGTTGGTCGGGATGATCCTGGGGGGTTATTGTAACTCCGATGGGTTTGGTGGTGACTGTTGAGAGGGCAGTTCGCCATGAGATGTCCTGGTTGCTTGCACCGAAAACATGTGGGCCGTGGACGTTCGGCCATGTGGCTATTGGGTGGTCCTGGGTGCCTGGTAGGTCCTGCTGGCACAGCAGCCCTGAAGTCAGGTCGGGACGGTGTTCGGTAGTTCTCCCGGCTTTCGGTACGGATCGTCGGTCGGTAGTTGTTGCTTTTGTGCAACCGTTCGTCAGCCAGCCTGGCGGCCTCTGTGAGGGGAGTGGGTCTACGATCCCGAAGCCATTCCTTGCACTGCTGATCTAGTCCATTGTAAAAATGTTCCAGAAGAAATAACTGTAACACCTCCTCACCCGTTACGGCTTGGCATCCTTTCATCCAGTGATCGGTTGCTCTCCTCATCCGATGAGCCCATTCGGTATGTGTATCGTTCGTCTTTTTCTTCGTGTTCCTAAATTGCCTGCGATAAGTATCTGGGGTTACGGCATACCGGTGCAACAAGGTGTCTTTAACCCGGTCATATTGGGTCACCCCCTCGGCAGACAGTGTCCAGAAAGCATCTAGGACTCGGCCCGACAGTTTCCCCGATAGTATGGTGGGCCAGTCCTCGCTGGGTATTCAGTGAAGCGCTCACTGCCTCTCAAAGTTGGCCAGATATTCGTCGATCCCCATCTCATTCTCTAGGAATGATCGGAATGCTGCATGGGGAATCTTTGGTTTCCCAGTCCACTCTGCCGGGTTAGTTGCAATCCCTGCAGCGGGGTTTTGCTGGGGGGTGTCCAGGCTGAGCTTGTGTGCTCTGGCCTCTCGGATCTCCACATCCACTTGTGCCATAGTTTGTTGTATTAGTTCCACGGTCGGGTTCGGGCCGAACCAGGAGAGCCTCTCCCGGACAATCCTGTTCTTCTCCTCACTAGCAGACATCGGAGCCCCCGTCATTGTCAGGCTTTTATCCAGCTCCGTCAGTTCGGCGATCAGCTCCCTCCTAGGTCGGTTGCTAGCGTTCTCACCTTGGCTTTCTAGCAGATCCTTTAATGTAGTAAGTTTCAGCTTCTCTCCATCCGCTCCGTACCTCTCCCAGGAATTCCAGGACGATCCCGCCGCTGCCACCAATTGTTACGGTTACCTCCAAGCTAGCTGAAGGCTGGACCCCTTAGATGTCCTGGTTCCTGAGTGTGGAGAGAGGGAAGCGCCGTTCCGTTCAGCATACCGCTAGAATCCTGTGAAATGTAGAACGATCCCACTAGCTATAGTATAGGTAGGCTACCCTGGTTCCCACAAAATGAGTCGAGGCTGCGATTTGAGGGTCAAAACTAACTGAGTTTACTGGCACACAGGCATCACTATTTATGCAAAACCCCAGCCTCCTCTGGACCTGATGGGATACAGGGACAATACAAACAGTTGACCAATGGCATTACAGGGTATAGTTTGAAATGGTCACCACCCAGCTTGGAGATAATGACTCTAACGGTTATGGCAATTTAATTATCTCCAAGCGCCCAAGATCCCACGTTTTATTGGAACATATAAAACAGTATAAAAATATATAACTATAACAGTTTAATAGATACATCTTGCATTCCACCATTCGCTAGATAGCGCAGATCTGAGCACAGCAGATAGGCGAATAGCGCTCAGATCTCCTGAACGGTATAGCCAGTCTCTTCAACACAAAGTCCTTTCGTGCCCTTTTGTCCCAAACACGAGATGGCGGCCATGTTTTCAGGTTAGTGAATAGAGAGCGGGACCTGGACCTAAAACCCATGGAGCGAGTAGCGGCTGAACAATTGCGCTAATACCACTTAGAGGATGGTTGTCCCAGCCCTTCGTGAGCCGAACGGAGACCGCCACGAAGGGGGGTACTTAACTTGATGGTAAGCGCAGACCCAATGTTCTAATTGTGGGCCACACGCCAGAATGTAGGTGGTCCTCCTTCGGGAGTCTTTCGTGAGTTCCAGTTCGGTGAATTATTACACGAATGAGGCCACCTTGAGACAGTCAATTAGGCTTGCGGTTAACCGCAAACCACAGCTCTCTGGTGGTCAATTGGGAGCACACTCCGCTTGCAAGGCGGTCGGCAGTTCGGTTGTTCTAGAGGTGAAAGAGGTTAAGTGGCGGCACACGCCAAGAGCAGGGTGGTCTTTGTTCGTATGCACGAATACATAGTCCTGACTGTTTGTGCAATGTGTAGGAAAGACAAGAAGTTCTGTTTTGGACAGGTTAAGTTTAAGGAAGTGAGCAGCCATCCATTTAGAAATAGCACAGAAACAGTCAGAGACACGAAGGAGGGGCGGCAAGAGATCAGGAGAGAACAGATACATTTGTGTGTCATCTGCATAGAAGTGACTTTGAAAGCCAAAAGAGCTGATGAGATGCAACAAAAGTGTGGAAAAGGTGGTGCTCAAAATTAAATCTTGAAATCAAATGTGTTTGTATAGCTGCTGTGTACACTCTGTGGGTACTCCCAATACCCCACTACATAGAAGTAATCACCAAAGAACAAAAACTATCAGTCTGGATAGGTATTTCTACCCTTCAGGCTGTTAGTTTAGAGTGCAGTGCTTGTGATACAGTGTGAGGTGAATATCCCTTGATTAGCGTGTATAAAATCCGCTTACCCTTAATATATGGCACTTTTATATGAGTACATAGAAAAAACAGAAGAAAGATACAAATAATAGTGCAATATTGTATGCATCCAAGAGTTAATTTGTGAGTTATAAATACGGATAAACTCACATATTTTAGAGCCTTTTGGAGATCTAAGGCTCTAAACTTCCAGGTGTCTGTGTCTTTAAGGTAGATCACATAACCTTCTTGTAGTTGAATGATAGGTGTATTTATCCCCACGTCATATATGGTCAATAGATACAGAGAAAGAAAAATGATACTCTAAGTGCAGTATATGGTCACTGTGAACAGGAATAATGCATAAAAATGCTCACCTTGTAAAGAGCCTTTTGGAAACTTTCTCTAAGTGTATGAAGCCTAGTGTCAATTTCTGGGGTGACATTTTCCCCTAACCGGAATCACAGGGCAGGATATCGTTGAGGGTTCAAGTAAATTTATTACAAAATATGATTAAAAATAGATATGTAATACAAAAATAAAAAATAGTTGTAACAATAACAAATATACACTATAGTTGGTGGCCAAAATACTGAACCACTATTAGCCGAGATGCGTTTCGCCATGAAAACTGCTTCCCCAGCTGTCAGCTGTAGCTTACTTGTGTCATTCCGATCTTTTTATATCCTCATTCTCCCGCCCAAAGTTCAATTATTCAATCCATTGTCTGTTGTAGTTCTTCTGACGCTCGCGAATAGCGAGGCGTCATTTCCGGTCTGTAGAGGGAAATACAAATCCCTTGATGCTTAGCGAGTTCTTAGTATTTCCAGTTTGTCCGTGAGTCTAATGGGTATTACCGTTGCCGCAATGTCCTTCCAATATAGTCCATTTTCAGCTCAAATTATACAGCATAAAAAAGATAAAGACAGTGTGTAAATGCTTCAAATACATATCCAATGTAACCACATACATATACCAGTGTCACCAATATCTGTTGCCACATTGCACCTCAGTGATCGTGAGAGAATCTATAGAGATAGTTGTGAGCTACCTTATATATATTGAATCACATGTGGAAAACATATTAATTTTGTCCTTTTCACATAATGTATCTTCCTCACATATGATGTCTGTAACAGATCACCTGGCACCCCGACTGGGTACCTCCATTGAAGGATGCGCCTAGCGCTTCCTGAGGGCTCCAAGCACTCCGCCAGACACCACAACTAAAGCAGACCCCACGAACCGCCGCAGCTTGGTTGGGGTCTCGCCATCCTTCCTCCCCAGCGGCAGTGTGAGTTCCAGGGAGCCGAAGGTGTCATCCTTCCTCCCCAGCGGCAGTGTGAGTTACAGGGAGCCAAAGGTGTTGTCCTTCCTCCCCAGCGGCAGTGTGAGTTCCAGGGAGCCGAAGGTGCCGTCCTTCCTCCATGGCAGCAGTGTGAGTTCCAGGGAGCCGAAGGTGTCGTCCTTCCTCCCCAGCGGCAGTGTGAGTTTCAGGGAGCCGAAGGTGCCGTCCTTCCTCCCCAGCGGCAGTGTGAGTTCCAGGGAGCCGAAGGTGCCGTCCTTCCTCCCCAGCGGCAGTGTGAGTTCCAGGGAGCCAAAGATGTTGTCCTTCCTCCCCAGCGGCAGTGTGTCCTACAGGGAGCAGAGACAGTTGGTCTCTTTCCCCAGCAGCAGGACAATGTTACGGGAGTGGAGACAGTCGGTCTCCCTCTCCAGCGGCAGCCTGTGTTTCAGGGAGAGGAGCACAGCACCCTCTCTCCCCAACGGCAGCTTACCCTACCAAGGGGAGACACCAATCTTCCAGACGGCGCAGATGGGACCGTGGTCTCTGTGCCTGACCCACAGGGATGCTGGCAGCCAGATCCCCAACTACCCTCGCAGGGACACCAGGAGGAGGGGGTAAGTACTATTTCCCCTCTTCAGCCAAGGCCTAACCCAGCTGCCCCAGCAGAAGCGCTGGCATCGGGGCAGAGCTCAGCCGGCCTCTGCCCACCAAGCCCCCACAGCGTGTTGCCCAGTGACCTCAGAGGAATACCCAGGTGCAGTAACTGTTTGTTGTGGGTGGGCTGCTTTTGTACTTTGCTGTTGTGGGTGGGTTGTCAGACTAACTAAGGCACTGACCGAAAGAAGGTCAGGTACCTGGTTAGTCTACCCCCCAAAGGGGAGATATGTGGCGAAAGTAACCTCGCCACTGGTTTTTGGAGGGGCCTGTTTGCCAGCCTCTTGCCCTGCGACTATGGCCCAGGGATGTATTGCCCTTCTAGGAACTGATTTGGGCATAATTGATTCTTATATTGCTGTTTCTGGCCCTTTAATTCCCAGAGAAAGGATTTGTACTTTTAAACTGGCACTTCGGATGCAGTCGAAGTGCCAAAGTCGTCGAAGTGGCCGCCATTCGAAAACCGAACACGTGGCGGTGGCCATTTAACTCATTCGAACGTGGTCATCGGTGTGTGCAGCCAAATCTATGGGACTGTTTTCAGCTACCTAATTGCACGAACACCGCTGACCCGTACCTTCTACCCTACTTCGACACTGCGGCTGGAGACTAAGTCCCGTTCGAAGATTTGAACGCTCGTTCGAATGGGACTTAGTCATTTTCTCAGTGTAAAATAGACCAACCGCACAGCCCAAATCCATGGAACTGTTTTGGGCATGAAAATGTGCTTGCGGTTGGTCAAAAGTGACTTATATCTATCTCCCGAATGGCTGAACGGATTCGAATGATTTTTGAGTATGTTTGTATTTGAAATGTGCTGATTAATAATATGTGACTTTTATTAATATTAGATGTATAGTTTTAGAGTTATGAAAGTTGGGTAAAAAGTATGTTTTATACTGTACGGCTAATTGTGTTACCTCTCAGACTAAGGGGAGCAGATGTGTGGGATGTAACCAGGGTGTGATTGGGTAATCCATAATTGTCTGTGGGCGTCTCCCTTGCATGGGAGAATTGCATAAAAGCAGAGTGTGTGTCTTTAAACCAGAGTTCTTCTTCACCCTCAATCTAGAGTCCTGTCTCTTATTGGGGGAATTGCTATATCACTATAAGGGATTTCTATGCTCTGCATACTCCCTTAGCTAATCACTACTAAGCTCTTTTAAGAGCCTGTTCCTGCTTCACTCTCTTGGAGGAGAGGTTCACCCACTGGAACCTGGAGCCTTCTCATAGGTCCAGGGTGGGTAGGAGATGGCGAGACCCCAACCAAGCTGTGGCGGTTCGTTGGGTCTGCGGTGGTTGTGGTGTCTGGCGGTGCGCTTGGAGCCCTCAGGAAGTGCTAGGAGCATCCTTCAACAGAGGTACCCAGTCAGGGTGCCAGGTGATCCGTTACAATGTCTTTATGGGATATGATTTTAGAATGGCTGATATTTATAAAATGGTTAATATTCTTAGATTGTTCTTTTACGGGGCATATTTTTTTTTTTTTTTTGTACTGGGAAACATCATTATTTTAATGATTAATTCCGTCTGGAGATTAATGTGGACTTTATACAAAATCTTTTTCTATCTCATCTTACCCACGAAATTGAGATGAAAACCTCCAATTCCTCAAGTAAACATAGATAGATATCCTAAAAGATATACACTAATCCAGAATAAAATCGAATTTATCTCTTAACAGTATATAGAAAATATATATAAATATATATTTATATATGTTGATAAAAATTAGCAGGATAAAAAAAATCAACCACATATAAAACTAATTATAAAAAATGGCACAGTTCAAAATCCGCATTGAGTCCAGATGGAGCAAGGGTATTTAAATTAAAAATCCACTTAGTTTTTATTTGACCTAATTTCCTTATTTCATTTTCTCCACGCCAATTCGGCGTGATTTTTTGAATTGCAAAAAAGTCTAAAAATTGTGGGTCACTATTGTGTTTTAATTTAAAATGTTCCGAAACACTATGTTTTTCATAGCCCCTCTTTATATTCCGTACATGTTCGTTTATCCTAACCTGTAGGGGGCGTTTGGTTCTTTCTATATAAAAGAGGTTACATGTGCATTTTAAAATATAAATTACCCTTTTGGAGAAACATGTAATCATTCCTTTTATTTTATACTCCTTCAATCCACTTGGGTCTATAAACTTAGTTTTATGCCTTCTCGTGTTTTTTGTACTTCTGCAGGCTAAACATTGTCCGCATCCAAAAAAACTTTCTTTCTGGAAGAATTAATTAGTTTTTTTTTCTCTTTTATATGGTTTTGAACTAATTTCTGTTTCAGGTTTGTGGCTCCCCTATAGATGAATCTAGGTTTTTCTGGTAGTACAGAATGCAGCATAGGGTCATTCCTTAAAATGGGCCTATGTTTGTTTACTATTCGTTTTAATTTTTTAGCTCCGTTCTCTGTTCGCGTGGATTTATATGAAAACCGCCATAGATAGAGTAAAGCTGATTAGTGTAGAATGCTCCTCTTGTTCATCTGTTTGAAACTCCAGAACACCGTTCGTCTACCGTATGGGGAAGTAGTACGTATGGGACTTCCGTAGAGACCGAGGTTTGTGCAAGTGCCATGCCCAAAACAGTTCCCGGCACTCGACGACCAAGTCCCGCTGACCACGTACAGGAGACAAGATGGCCACCATCCATTGTTCTCACCACGTACGTTTGTATGCACGAAATGGTGGCCATCTAGGAGCATTCAATTAGTCTGCGGTTTTTCGTATAGTTACACAGTGTTCCACGTTCTTTTCGAGCAGTCACATGGCCCCTGAGGGTCCTAAATTGGAGAGGGGGGACTCTCTGGACTCAGTCCAGAGAGTCCCTCCAAAGAAGAAGACCGATCACCGGCGGGGGAACGCGGCGATCGGTAAGTAGAAGGGGAGAGTGTAGGGGTTAATTTTTTTAAAATGTAATTTAATTTTTTTTTAAATATACTTATTTTTTTAAACAATTACCCTCGAGGCACTCAGTAAAGGTAAGAGCATCTGAAGCCTGCGGATGGCCCAAGACTATATATTTGGCCCAAGACTATATATACAAAAGATGTATATATCAATCAACTGAAGAAAAGAAGACATTAAGAAGATTTAATGTTGACGATACGATCCGTTCCAACCAGATTTTACAACCCATAATTATGAGAAAAATAGGTTTCACCGCTAAAGGCTCCCATCTTTTCATTGCTGCTTCCATGACTTGTAGTACGGACTGTGTATCTACAAGAACTATTTTTGTAGCACTTGAATCTTTGGCCTTTATACAAACTCCCTACAGTTTAAGAGCAGGGAAGTGCTGTTTACCTTGGTGGCCCAGTTTTGAAGCATTTCGTAAGTGTCTCCACCAGTCCAGATTTCGGTGAATTTGTTACTGCTGTTCCAAGTACTGCGATGTGGAGTCATATCCCAACACTCATAGACATTTTCATAGTGGTTTCATAGAATTCATAGTGTCATGCAAGATGACTCATAGAGGTCCATAAGGGTAAGATAGTAAGACATATTCTTCTCTACAATTTGTCCAAGGCTTGTTGAGAGTTAATGTGATCCTTTGGGAATGCCACCTTCTCCTCCATGCATGGTAAGGAATGGAAATAGCAGGTGCCTGTCTCAGGATTATGGGAGTTGTAGTATAGGGATGACTGTGTAAGTTTTGTAATGATAAGGGATTTATCAGGTCACCTAACCACTATTAGAAAGAGATATGATGGATTGACATGTAGGGTTAAATGTTTTTTCCTGTGATGGAGACCAGCTTATGTTTTTGCAGTATTTGACCAGGGTTACGGCTGAATTAATATTTAAGCACATACACCATTAATTTCAAGTATTCATAATAGTCACTGCTAACTCTTTCTTTGCCAGCCATTTGTACAGAGCATGTTTACACCCTGTGCTCATCCCATCCTCTGCTCTGAGAGAGGAATCACAGAGGTTAAATGGATGTCTTGGCAGGAGTTCCTGATTTGGTCATACGTCCTAGGATGACACTTGTTTCGGCACAAAGCATGTCACAGCCTCTCTGTTCCAGAGCAATGCCAGGAAACAATCTGCTGGGTATAAGAAGTGCCAGATTGCAGGCTCTGGGCATCATTGCAAACAGAGCGTGGTCAGTGTGTGCACAGAGCTTCCTAGGTACTCCAGTCTGCTGAGCTTCAGAATTTTATTTATTTATTATGTCCATTCCATGTTTAAGGAAAGAGGAAGGACAGATATATATCGCTGGATATTAAATATGATGGGAGTCACAGCAGCTTGGGGCAGTGCGAGATCCACTGTTAAAGTGACCTAGACTGAGATCTGTCATTTAAGGGGCAGCAGGAGGGAGTGCTAGATATTAACTGCTTCATAGCCCATAACCCAGAACTGGGAGTATGCATGCATTAAGGGGGTCCTAATTATGTTCTCTGCCTAGGGCCCATGATGTCTTACGTCATCTATAGGATGAATATGCTGTCCTGTGGAATGCTTGTGTCCATACCGAGCCACATTAGTCATGTCCACTTATTGACCTCCATAGAGAATTGATAGTGTGTGCAGGGTAATGGGGGCCCCAGTTTGGAATGATGACTATATGTATGTAGTATGTTAATTGAAGTCTATCTGTTTTTACAGTTAGACATGTAAAGGGCTATATGTTGCAATCTGAATAATGGAACTTGTGACGGACCGCCTGGCACCCTGACTGGGTGCCTCCGCCAATTGCTGTATACTAGTAGCTATAAGCACCGCACCGGACACCATAAGCACCATAGCCCGTTAGCAGCCGTAGCTTGGCTGGGGTCTCGCTGTCCTCCACCCACCCTGGACCCAAGCCCAGGATCCAGCTTCCAGTGGGTGGACCTCTCCTACTTCAGAGAGTCCAGCTGGTATAAGTGTGTAGCTCTTACAAGAGCTAGTGATTATAGCCAGTATAGTAATCCGAAGCTGGTATAGCTGTTCCCTACAATCACGAGATGAGGCTGCGTGTTGAGGGTGAAGTGAACTGACTTTAATGGAACCACACTTGGCCTTTTATGACAGTCCCCATACAAGGGGCACTCCCCCCTGGACCTGAGAGTAAACCACAGTAGAAACAAATACACAATCACATTGGCTCTCAGATCCAGGACACTCCCATACAAACTAGGTCAATCCTTCCTCTGTACCTGTGAGATAATTGAGTCAAGTACTGTATTAACTCAATTATCTCCAGACACAAAAACACACATTTTTATAAAAAACCCAAAATACCTTTAAAACATACAAAATCCCCACAAAAAGTTATATCCCCTGATAGCCCCGTATGGTCCTATGCCCAAAATAGTTCCATAGAATCAGGGCTAGCGGTCGGTCTAGTTCGGTAGTTTAAAAACAAACAAACTACCGAACATAGTCAATGGTCTTACCCTGGAGCTTGTTCCCTTTGTTCAGACAAACGATTCCACCAAACAGTGCCCTTTTAAATTGTGTAGAATTGAACACAGGCAATGATGGAAGTTCAGCGGTGTTCAAACAATTAGAACACTGCGGTGAGAACTGTTCCAAGGTGTTAATAGATGTTAACAAGCTCCCGGGTGGTCCCTGGTTTGTGCGGTTGTTTGGTAGTCAAATGGGATAATGTTAGAATACGAGGGGAATGCAATCTACCGAACAGACAGACAAATGGAAATGAAAGCTTTTTCATCCAAGGACAGGGAATCTGTCACAGAACTAAAAAGGGAAACATGGGGGCACAGCTCATGGTGCCTTTCTTCTGAAACGTTCATTGACATTACTTTTCTGTCACTGTGTTAGATTAGCACAAGCTGAGGGATATAGTTCATATTCTGATACCTGGATATTTCCTACAGGAGAGCCCTGTATTGTGACACTCATGGCGACCAGACGTGCTCTGCTTGAGCTCCTTGTCTGGCCTTCACTATTGCCTAACTTATGGACATCCAGCAGAATTAATTTACTCGTGGCAGGGACTTACTGGATTCCTGATCTGGACGGTTCACTCGGGAGCAGCTGAAAGCTGTGTCAGCTACAAATATTGCCGGAGGCAGAAGTGGGGCCTAGCAGCCTAGGGGGACGGGAGGGACGGCCGCTCTCCCTGTCTGTGAGGGTCTAGACACCCACTGTATCTTCCAGCTGCCCTTTCCCCCCCACCCCCGTCTGGACCAGTGGGGGTGATCCCGGTCCACCTCTAGGAGGCCCATTGCCTAGCCTGCAACTCCCCATGGTGTTAAACCAAAGCTACATCAAGCCAGCACACCACCCCAATGGCGGATGCAACGTGCCCTCCAGATCGCTGCAGCAAACCAGCGGATACCCTACTTAAGCTTGACAAGCTCTTTGAAGATTTCTGGAGAAAAATCCACCAGCAACATGAGGTGCAGAACGGATCACTTCAGAGCTTACCGCGTCGCAAGTCAGCAACGTCAACCCGTGAACGTGCCCGAACCTGGAGGCTAAAACCTGCACACCACGAAGAAAGCGGGCTGCATCGTGCCCTTCCGCTTGTCTGGGTCGTTGGGGTCTGCATGTGAAACCTCCCTCAGAGCCTGGAACTTCAGGGCGATCACCTCCGGAGCTGAACATCCTACATCACCACCTCCAGCGGGCACTGCAGGGACTCCCTACCGGGCTGAATACTAAGATGACGGTATGGCCAGAAAAATAAAAGAATTTCCAATCGGAGGGTGTGGGCTGACCGGAGATTGGCTCATATTGTTTACAGCAAATGTGAAATGTCTTTGTTTTCTTTAATCATACTTTTATTTCTGTTTCTGTTCTCATTATTCCCTTTGGATTTGCATTGGCATGTCACTGTCATTATGCAGGGGCCCCCTGGATGGTCAATCTTCACACTAGCTACTTTAAACTATCTTAAGCAAGCCTGCGTTTAATGCAGTTTAAGCATACAGCTGTCAGTATATCATAATATGACCCTACAATGTTTGACTTCTGACGAGTTGTGTATTATACCTGTTTCACTGTTACTACACAAAAAAGTGCACTAGATTAGATTAGATCTTAGTTTCTTGAAATGTATTAATCTTGATGTCATGTCACTATCTGCATATATGTTATTATCTCCACTACAAAAATAAAGAATTATAAAAGGAGAGAGCCCTGTATCAGGTAACCTGGGCTTAGTACTGCCACATTCTGATTTTATTTAGAAATGTGTATGTGTGTTGAATGAAATGCAAAATTTTCGCTACATCAGGTCTGGCACCCACACCTCGGCAATGTGGGGAGGTCGAGCTTTAGTGATGAGGTGTTTGCATTTAAAAAACAAACAAACTTTAAAACGTTCTTGGTCACTTGCAGCGTGATGCACTTCTACCCAACTTGGTCTGAAGGGCGACCCAGCCCCCACATTGTCAGGTTATTGTGTTGCAAAGTAAAACACAATATGATCCATTTTATCTCAGGCTGGGAAACAATTTCTGTTTCCTTTCCACTTCTGAAATGGCTACAGAAATGGGAATGAGTCCTGTAATGGCCTCTCTCAGACTTGAAATCCACGCCGGCCCTTCACACAGCATTTAAATTACATTTTCTGTTTACTTGCGCTTACAAAACTAAATTTTCCAGTAAGTGGGTATATTCCATACCTCTCAAAGAAGGCACAACAAAAAAAATGGTCTCTTCACTGGACAAAACCTGTCCTGTGTGAAGGGGTTCTCAGAAGAGGCCTATAATGAAGGTAATGAGGAGCGGTGCTTGGGAAAATCTAGCAGCCATTGTTTTACAACCCCTTCAGTGCTTGAGAAACTGCCTGAACCTGTATATCATTATCCATATACAGAGTGGCATTCTATTATCTTACCATAAATAAAATCATTTTAGTTACAAATAGTACAGAATAGATGGTTTCCAGCGCTTGTTAAATATTCAGATAGGCAGCTTGGGTAACCCCATTCTATTCCTTGTGAAGGAATAAAGGGGAGCATAGCCTTGAGAGTGTCCTCAAATCCAGGTCAGTGTGGACCAATATTTAACAAAAAAGAGGACAAAGTGAAAAACATAGTATAGTAAGTAGGTAATTTGGTGAAACAGAATAAGGGAATTGCACTTACAATTTATGGAGCTGATAATTAGCTCCAAATCGATGTGCCTGGGTGGTACAATCCCCGACTATAGATATACTTGATGTCTTGATTCAGTTGGGGGTAATCCAGAGGTATGAAAAAAGAACAGAAGATAACACTGATATAGTGTAGTATACTGAGTACACCAAGTGAAGTCACAATTGTTGGAGCCTACTAATGGATCCCAATAATAGACATGAAGTGGAACAATCCATACTCTTGGGTACACATGAATTCCCGCTCTTGGATATGTGTGACAGCAGTTCTGACCAAATGATATATGGATAAAATTGAAATAAAAATTTAGTGCTCACTGTTTAGGATCAAATAAAAATAATAAATGATTTACTCACTGGTGAAGAAAAAGTATGACATTCATTTCAGTTACAGCCTTTGCTGAAAGCAGGAGATAAAACCATAGAGGGAGCTGGTCTTATTTACTACGCTGCTCCTGGCTATTTAATAAATAATAGTATAATAAGCCTCACTTGCAGAGCTGGAAGGTGAACTGTCACATCTGGTGCACAGCGAGTTAACCTGGGAGCAGCAAAGAAGATATTTAAAAAGTTCAGCGTTCAGTTACGGTCAATAACAGGAAGACCAGGTGTCCTCTCTATGTGCTGTTGTTTTTCTCTTTTTTCCATATATGTAGATTGTTTATCCGCAATAAATTAATCACAGTGATATTATTTTCTTTCAGGGGGTGGTGGAAAACGCAAAGGGAAGAGCAAAAAGTGGAAGGAAATCCTAAAATTCCCCCATATCAGCCAGTGTGAGGAGCTCAGACGGAACACAGGTGAGAAGCTTTCAGAGCTTGTATGGGTAGACGGAACACAGGTGAGAAGCTGTCAGAGCTTGTATGGGTAGACGGAACACAGGTGAGAAGCTGTCAGAGCTTGTATGGGTAGACGGAACACAGGTGAGAAGCTGTCAGAGCTTGTATGGGTAGACGGAACACAGTTGAGAAGCCGTCAGAGCTTGTATGGGTAGACGGAACACAGGTGAGAAGCTTTCAGAGCTTGTATGGGTAGACGGAACACAGGTGAGAAGCCGTCAGAGCTTGTATGGGTAGACGGAACACAGGTGAGAAGCTGTCAGAGCTTGTATGGGTAGACGGAACACAGGTGAGAAGCTGTCAGAGCTTGTATGGGTAGACGGAACACAGGTGAGAAGCTGTCAGAGCTTGTATGGGTAGACGGAACACAGGTGAGCAGCTGTCAGAGCTTGTATGGGTAGACGGAACACAGGTGAGAAGCTGTCAGAGCTTGTATGGGTAGACGGAACACAGGTGAGAAGCTGTCAGAGCTTGAGCTATGGGTAGACGGAACACAGGTGAGAAGCTGTCAGAGCTTGCATGGGTAGACGGAACACAGGTGAGAAGCTGTCAGAGCTTGCATGGGTAGACGGAACACAGGTGAGAAGCTGTCAGAGCTTGCATGGGTAGACGGAACACCGGTGAGAAGCTGTCAGAGCTTGTATGGGTAGACGGAACACAGGTGAGAAGCTGTCAAAGCTTGTATGGGTAGACGGAACACAGGTGAGAAGCTGTCAGAGCTTGTATGGGTCTGCATGCCTTCGAGTGACCGATTATTGTTTGATGTAATCTGGGGATACAGCTAGTTACCGGGAATAAATCCTACCCCTGGCCAGCCCCTGTAATGACTGTAGGTATTCGGTAAAAATAAAAATCCAGCCCACTCCCTTATCTACTAAACAGCTACTTTGGTGCTGACAGATTTTGTTAGTTGTTTTTTTTAAAACACCTAATCTAGGGAAAATATAATGGGGGTTCAGTTACATTATATGATCATACATTGCATAAACCTGCCACAACGTCAATGTACCCCATCTTTGGTAGGTCCTACTCTTACAACTGTCTACTAAATGAGCTACTCACTTGGGGAAATCCTTCCATCTGGAGTTCTCTGCAGTACTAAATAGGGCCCTGGGATGAGGCACCTGTGACAGGGAGGGGTGCAAAACCAAGGAGTTGACTAGACCCCCAAATATATATATATATATGAAAAAACAAGGGGTTGGCTGCACTTAACTAAACATGCCCAAATGGGGTGCTGCTGTGGGCCAAAATCTGTCAGCACCAAAGTACCTGTTTAGTAGATAAGGGAGTGCGCTGGATTTTCTTTTTACTGTACTTATTGGCCCCCAGCAGCACCCTCTTTGGGCATGTTTATGTGAGTGCAGTCAACCCCTTGTTTTCCCATGTATATGTAGGTAGTCAGTGTGAGAGTACTTACCGTGCTCAAGGGATAACAATACGCAGCACACAGTGAGTGAACCCCTGCCCTGCACGGCAGATTACAATTTTCCACAGCCCATGGTGTTAGCGAGTAGACGCCTCCTAGCCAGGGCCGGACTGGGATTGAAAACCAGCCCTGGAAAAAAATTCTATACTATCCCCATAATGCATCGCGCCAGCATAGTGCGCAGACATGAAAGCCAGGAAAAAAAATGAAAACTGAAAATTATCACTCAAACGTGAAAGAAAGCACTCATAGGGCTACAAAATAAACAAAAGAGCGGATTTGTTGTAAGCAGACGTGCATTTGCATATAATCAATGTTTCAGTCCAACTACCTTGCCATATTAAGGAACATTTCATAATTAGACTGAAATTGTGAATGTGTCTTATTGCACAGCAGTATAAAAAGACGGCTGACAACTGGATGACCTCAGTCAACGCCAATTCAATTCCCATAGGAAAGCATTTGGAGGCTATTGCACATGTGTGGAAAAACGCTGCGCTTCACCGCACCAATCAGCATCTCCGCATAGAGATTGCATCTCTATGGGGAGCGTTCAGCCCCCCCCCCATGTGTCCCATTAGCCCCCTATGTGTCTTATTAGCCCTTCTTCCCAGCCCTCCATGTGTCCCTATACCCCCTCCCAGCCCTCCATGCCTCCCATTAGCCCCCTCCCAGCCCTGTATGTCTTATTAGCCCTCCCATGTGTCTCAGCAGCATCCCCACATGTCCCATGCGCCCCCCCCCAGGTGTCCTATTAGCACCCAGCCTTCCATTTGTCTTATTAGCCCTCTCTTCCACCCTCCATGTGTCCCACTAGCCCACCCTCCCAGCCCTTCATGTGTACCTATACCCCCTCCCAGCCCTCCCTGTGTCCCTATACCCCCTTGTAGTCCTTCATGTGTCCCTATACCCCCTCCTAGCCCTCCATGTCTCCCTATAGCCCCCTCCCCAGCCCCCATGTGTCTCTCTAGCCCCCCCCAGCTCCCATGTGTCCCATTATAGCCCTCTCCCCAGCCCTCATATGTCCCCATAGTCCCCCAGCCCCATGTGACCTATTATAGCCCCTTCCCAGCCCCCATGTGTCCCTCTAGCCCCCACAGCCACCATGTGTCCCATTATAGCCCCCATGTGTTCCATTACAGCCCCCCCCCCCCACAATCTCGCTGTAGGCCTGTACCTTGCGTGGCCAGGCAGGAAGACCGCGGTAGAGGAGTTTCTGTTCCCCTACACAGTCTGACAGGAAGCAGCCATGTGCTCTCTGTGAGGACTTCCTGTCAGAACGGGTAGGGAACAAAAGCTCCTCTACCGCGGTCTGCCTACTCGGCCACGCTACATTCTGTGACCGACAAGAGCGCATCCCCTCCTGCCGGTTACTGTGTCATTACGCTGTGCGACCCGCGGGCTAGTGCGCACTAGGTGGCCCGATAGTATGCCGGCCCACCGGGAAATTTCCCTGTGGGCCAGTCCCACCCTGCTCCTATCTAACCACATCGTGGCAGTGTCTGGATTTGGGAGATGGTATGCCAGCAGAGATGCTCTAAATTTATTTATTTTATGGTTTTTAGTATATTTGTACGGCGCACCATAATAGCAATGCAAAAAAAATAAAATATGCTAAAATACACCTGAACGAAACGGAAAATAATAAAATACGCTAAAATACACTTTTACTCAGAATGCTTCAGCCATATACATGCACCTTAGGACACTGTTTGAAAATCGGTAATTAGTAATTATCTGGTTTCTGTTCAAGGAGTGAAGCAGGGAAAACCATAGAGACTAACTGTTGTTTTTCAGACACTGTCCAAACCAAGGTGTATGTATATGGCTGACGGATCCTGTTATATAAAGGTTGGTACGAGTTTTTATTGTTTTTCTACATATACATTTACAAAAAAAAATCTATTTCCTTCCTAAATCCGATGAAAGGATTATTATATGAAAAATGGGTGACAGTTGATTTTTAACCCCTTAACGCCGTTAAGGTGTTCTATGCCGTCCCGCATAGAGCTTTAAAGCTGTTGCGGCGGCATAGAACGCCGTAACGGCTTTGAGCCCCTGGAGGTCCGGTGGACTTACCTCCGCTGCGATCCTCTTCTGGAGGGCTGCCTGACAGCCCAGGCAGCTCTCCCCCGGCAAATGTGGCCCCCTATAGCTGGCTGTGGATCTGCCAGCAGGGGGACTGTCTGGAATGTCAGACAGTCCCCCTGCTGGTGGGAAAGTAAAAAAAAAATTATTAAACATGTTTTAAAATAAAATAGAAATGTATATGTAACGTCTGCTTTGCAATGTATATGTAACGTCATACAAAGTGTATTTTAATATTAATATAAGTACATATATAAGTATTAAAATACACTTAGAATGAGGTTACATATATATAAGATAAATTTATATATTATATATATATATATAATAGATATATACACATATGTTATATATATATATACGTATAATTACAATAATAAATAAACAAAATAAAATAAATAAAATATTGAAACAAAATGTAATATAAATTATATATTCATATGTAATTTCATTCTAACTGTATTTTGTTATTAATATATATATATATATATCGGTAACAAAATACACTTAGAATGACATTCGATATATATCTATCTATATATAAAATACAAATAACCGCAAATATATATATATATATATATATATATATATATATATATATATATATAGATAAATACATATAATTACATAAAAGATTACATTAGTATACACGTAGAATTTAAATACATATAAATGCATATATATTAAAATTCTACATGTATATTTAAGTAATCTTTTAACATAATTATGTGATTTGATTAATTAAAATTTGATTGACATGTCTGACAACACAGGGAGAAAGTGCAGAGAATTTAATTCGCAAGCACTATATTTGACCCTGTAACTCTCCAAGACACCATAAAACCCGTACATAGGGGTTACTGTTTTACTCGGGAGACTTCGCTGAACTCAAATATTAATGTTTCAAATGATAAATTGTATTACAACGATGATATTTTAAGTAAAAGTGACGTTTTTTGCATTTTTTACAAACAAACGGCACTTTTATGGACTGTATTATTGTTGTAATATGTTTTACTTTTTAAAAACACTAATATTTGTGTTTAATGAAGTCCCCCGAGAATAACAGTACCCCCCATGTACAAGTTTTATGGTGTTTTGGAAAGTTAGAGAGTCACATATAAGGCTTGCATTTAATTTTTTTCACATTGAAATTTGCCAGATTGGTTACGTTGCCTTTGAGACCGTATGGTAGCCCAGGAATGAGAATTACCCCCATGATGGCATACCATTTGAAAAAGTAGACAACCCAAGGTATTGCAAGTGGGATATGTCCAGTCTTTCTTAGTAGCCACAAACACTGGCCAAATATTAGTTTTTTGCTTTTTTCACACAAAAACAAATATGAACGCTAACTTTGGCCAGTGTTTGTTACTAAGTGGCTACTAAAAAAGACTAAACATACCCCACTTTCAATACATTGGGTTGTCTACTTTTTCAAATGGTATGCCATTATGGGGGTAATTCTCATTCCTGGGCTACCACACCGTCTCAAATGTAACATCAATTTGAAAATGGAACGTTCTATATTTGACCCTGTAACTTTCCAAAACACCATAAAACCTGTTAATGGGGGGTACTGTTGTACTCGTGAGATATTGCTGATTACAAATATGGGCATTTTGTTTGCAGTAAAACCTAACAGTATTATGACATTAACAGCTAAAATGTCAGACGGAAATACAAATTTAAAAACAAATCTTATTTTCTCACATTTTGTTTAATTTTATTCATAATAAATTATGTTCCATATATGAATAGTTAATGATAAATTAAAGCCCTGTTTCTCCTGAACAAAATGATATATAATAAGTGTGGGTGCACTCAATGTGACAGCTGTGAATTACGGTTGGACAGACATGTAGCGCAAATTCCAGTTTTTGTTTACATTTTGTTTTGATCACAATGTGCACTATTGACTCCGTCCTGAAGGAGTTAATGTTACGGATATTTTTTCCACCATAAATAAACTCTTCTCGTATTGAAATATTTAAAGGTTGCTGACGTGTGTGGAATCACTGCTCTGGCATGACATCCTATGCTGTAACCTACTCGATTTACTAGGATAAAGGTGACGGGAGACGAAGGACGTCTCAGCCAGTGTTACTGGTTTCTGGGAATGTTAGATACTGTATCAAACAGAGCATGCATAATACGCGAAATGCAGCAAATTACTGCCAGACAGTCTATTGTTAAACCTGAAGAACAAAAATATAAAGATTATTAAAAGGATTTCCCACACACCATACACATTCACACACTGCCCCCACACACACACACCATACACATTCACACACTGCCCACCCACACATTGAACCTTTCACACACATTGCACCACTGCTCCTATACCCTACTACAGCCCCATATCCCAGCAGACTCCAGGTAAGTTGTCAAACTGTTCTTAAACGGCTTGACTACATACTCTGGGAGGGGGTGCCGACGCTCCTGGCACCATAACCACTACACAGAGGAGTAGTGGTTATTGTGCATGGAATATTTCTTTAAATAATCAAGTTCCCCTCCTGGGCTCAGGCTCTGGATCCGCCACTAGTATATGAGATGTATATTAATGTGTGTATTAGTTATATATATATACCTATTATATTTACACATATTAATGTACATTTATATATGCATAATACACAGAGAAATGTCATTAATCTGTACCATATGTAATGAGCAGATATTGGCCCAGTCTTGTTGCTAGGTGCATACTCCAGCACAATAACATATTTAAAGTGAAGAGCACACCCACAGGACTTCAAAATAAATTTTTTTACAGTTGTGCCCTACATACATTCACCATTTCAGTCCCATTAACAAGCTTTCCTTAATATGTCAAGGTGGTTGGACTGAAACATTGATTACATGCAAAGGCACGTCTGCTTAAAATAAATCTGCACTTTTGTTTATTTTGAAGCCTATGAGTGCGCTTTTTACGTTGAAGTACTTTTTAATTTAAGTTATCTGTTCTAACTCTGTATCAGCACACTATGCTGGCGTGACACATTATGGGGCTGGTAAATATTTTTTTTCCAGGGCTGCTTTTAATTCCCAGTCCGGCCCTGGTAATCTTTATCCCTTCAAGCAAAGGGGAGAGGCCCTAAGCGGACAAGGGCACATGTAGGAGTCTGGGGATAGATGCATGGGATTGGTTGGGAAAGAGTGTGCGGGTTCTATATGAGTTAGTGGGGGGGGTGGTCTTACCTCAGTGCCACTTGGGATTCGGGCCAGCAAACAGCTTCCCTCCCGCCCGCCCTATTGGTATATTTAGTCACAGCTAGCTGGGGGTATGTCCTTGCCAATTGAGTTTAAGGGGTTACGTTTAAGTATATGGAATGAGATGAACAAGTTTTTAAGGTCTCAACCTCACCTGCTTCAAACGGTTAACATTAGGTTACCTGGGGTGTCGTGCCCATCGAGCGTGGATAAGGTCGGCTGATGGCGGGCATTGGAAAGATATGATTTTATGACGAGGGGGGAGGTGAGAGGAAGTGGTGATTAGAAACCACTGTATGTTTATTGGCAAGGACGGTTGGGTCACTGTATAACACTATGGGTGGAGTTATATATGTATATATGTTAATTTATGATTATTTATGTCTAACGTTTTGGTTACAGAAAGAAGAGATTTAATAAATAAAGTTATGGATGTGTTATGCAGTAATTTAGTTTGTGATAATAAATGCTGTGGCCTGTTTCATCCATACTAAGTGGTCTGTCATTATTGGGGGGTTGAATGGGGTTAGTTTATGTTCTAGGCTGCATCGCGATTCCCCACTACGTACATACAATCTGCATCGCGATTCCCCACTACGTACATACAATCTGCATCGCGATTCCCCACTACGTACATACAATCTGCATCGCGATTCCCCACTACGTACATACAATCTGCATCGCGATTCCCCACTACGTACATACAATCTGCATCGCGATTCCCCACTACGTACATACAATCTGCCAGCGATTCCCACTACATTACACATACAATCTGCGCCGATTCCCACTACGTACATACAATCTGCATGGCGATTCCCCTCACGTACATACAATCTGCATCAGCGATTCCACTACATTACGCCCACAATCTGCATGTGATTCCCCACTACGTACATACAAAGGCTGCATCAGCGATTCCCCACCTTTACATACAATCTGCATCGCGATTCCCCACCCCTACGTGCATACAATCTGCATGCTTGATTCCCCTCACGATACATACAAGGCGCATCGCGATTCCCCACGTACGCATACAATCTGCATCGCGATTCCCCACTACGTACATACATTCTGCATCGCGATTCCCCACTACGTACATACAATCTGCATCGCGATTCCCCACTACGTACATACAATCTGCATCGCGATTCCCCACTACGTACATACAAGGCTGCATCGCGATTCCCCACTACGTACATACAATCTGCATCGCGATTCCCCACTACGTACATACAATCTGCATCGCGATTCCCCACTACGTACATACAATCTGCATCGCGATTCCCCACTACGTACATACAATCTGCATCGCGATTCCCCACTACGTACATACAATCTGCATCGCGATTCCCCACTACGTACATACAATCTGCATCGCGATTCCCCACTACGTACATACAATCTGCATCGCGATTCCCCACTACGTACATACAATCTGCATCGCGATTCCCCACTACGTACATACATGATGTCAGTAGGTGGATTGACTACAGAGAGAACGGGAATGGAGGTACATTTTAGCTATATTCTTTTATTTCTCTATTCTTTTCTTTTTTGGGGGGGGGCGTTGGTAACTGCTATAGGAATGGTTACTCTGACTAACAGAAATGTGCTTTTAAAACACTGGTTTTTTTTGGTTGGAGTAACCATTTGGGTTTATTTACATCCAAATGTCTCATTAGTTTCCCAGTAACAGATTAATGACAATTCTACATAAAATAACTAGCTGATTATTTTGCACAATTACTTTTAGTGTGTCTAATTTTCAATTTCTGAATATTTTATTGAATATAATAGTTCTTCAGATTATCAGGATTTGAGGGGAAAATCATTTCAAATTATATCCATGTGAGCAAATAATTTTTTTTCCACGATACATAACAATGGCAATAAATGCGTTCTCACGTCATTAAATTGATTAGGTAGCATTGAGTACAGTGAACGCAGGAATCTGAAAGCTTTTTGACTGGATTGAGTTACACGTTAACATATCTTCACATTTCATGGCACGTTGATTAACATTTCTTATCTGTAATGAAGTACCATGTGCAGGTACCAGCTAAGGGGGAACGGGTAATAAGGACTCATACCCCAGCCTCTTACCTACGACAACCACCACATAGCTGGGCTATTTTATGGTCTTCTACAGTGTAGTCAAGTTATGGCCTCATGCTGTGTCCGATGGTAGTGGCATGTAACCCTTTTTGCAAGAAATTAATAATACGGATTATAATAATACTGATTATCAGTTTTTTATTAATGGTCTGTATTAATAATAACAATGTTAGTTTATAATAATAATTATCAGTTTATTGGTGCTTATAATAATTGTAGGTTGAATAATAATAATCACTATCTTGAGAAAGCCTGGTGCCACAGGCGAAACGCGTTGAAGCGTGATTGGGCACTTGCTCTCAGATGTGGAAGAAAAGCAGTCTGTTAACACTGTTCCTAATTGCCATTCTCCTCCCTGCACAGACACTTATCACCTCAGAGATCGGGCAGGATTTTGCACTAACAGGTAGGGATGTGCATGAGGAAAAGTTTTGGTTCGGTTCGGCATTCCGAAATTCGGCACGGCACTTTGGAATTTCGGCACTTGGACACTTTGGAACTTCAACACTTTGGAACTTTGCAACTTCGGCATTTTGGAATTTCGGGACTTCACAGGCAGCCGCTTAGTAGATAACTCCCTAATTCTCACAGTATTAGGGAGTTATCTACCAAAAGGCTGAAAGACCTAAATTGGTCTTTCAGCCATATTTACTAATACTAAGTATACTATTGTCCTCCCCCCGCCCCCACCCCTGAGCGGTGGGTGGGGGCCATAAATTAGAATAAGGGTGGGGGACCTATTGTCTTCCCCCCTGGCCCCCACCCCTGAGTGGTGGGATTGGGCCATAAATACCAATAATGAGGGGGGACCTATTGCCCCCACCCCTGAGCGGAGGTGGGGGGACCTAAATTAGAATAAGGGGGGACCTATTGTCCTCCCCCCCCAGCCCCCACCTCTGAGCAGTGGTTGGGGTTCTAAGTTAGAATAAGGGGGGGGGAACCAATTTAGGTCTTTCAGCCTTTTAGTAGATAGCTCCCTAATACCGTGGGAATTAGGGAATTATCTACTTATTCATTCCATTGACTGGCCAAGTAACTTACATTTTATATATAGTCACATATATATAGTTACATAGCTGAAAAGAGACATGCGTCCATCAAGTTCAGCCTACCTCACATTTGTTTTTTGCTGTTGATCCAAAAGAAGGCAAAAAAAACCAGTTTGAAGCACAATTTTGCAACAAGCTAGGAAAAAAAATCCTTCTTAACCCCAGAATGGCAGTCAGATTTATCCTTGGATCAAGCAGTTATTACCCTACATTGAAAGATTATATCCTTGAATATTCTGTTTTTGCAAGTATGCATCTAGTAGCTGTTTGAACATCTGTATGGACTCTGATAAAACCACTTCTTCAGGCAGAGAATTCCACATCCTGATTGTTCTTACAGTAAAAAAACCTTTCCTTTGCCTTAGACGAAATCTTCTTTCTTCCAGTCTAAACGCATGGCCTTATGTCCTATGTAACGTCCGGTTTGTGAATAGATTTCCACACAATGGTTTGTATTGGCCCCGAATATATTTGTATAATGTTATCATATTCCCTCTCAGGCGACGTTTTTCTAAACTAAATAGGTTTAAATTTGTTAACCTTTCCTCATAGCTGATATGTTCCATTCCTTTTATTAATTTTGTAGCCTGCCTCTGCACTTTTTCTAGTGCCATAATATCTTTCTTTAGAACAGGTGCCCAAAATTGCACAGCATATTCAATATGGCTTCTTACCAGTGATTTATAAAGAGGCAAAATGATATTCTCGTCCTGAGAATGAATGCCCTTTTTCATGCATGACAATACCTTACTGGCCTTGGTCACTGCTGATTGGCATTGCACATTGTTGCATAGTTTGTTGTCTATAACAATTCCCAAGTCCTTTTCATGTGTTGTTATCTCTAATTCGCTTCCATTAAGGGTATACGTTGCTTGTGTATTCTTTATTCCGAAGTGCATAACTTTGCATTTTTCAACATTAAATTTAATCTGCCATTTGAGTGCCCAGTCCCCAAGTCTATCTAAATCCTTCTGCAGCAAAGTAATATCTTGCTCACATTGTATTATTTTACAAAGTTTTGTGTCTTCTGCAAACACTGAAACATGACTTTCAATGCTGTCTTCATGATCATTTATAAACATGTTAAATAGAAGGGGTCCCAGAACAGACCCCACTTGCCACCTCTGTCCAGCCTGAACATTTACCATTAATGACAACTCTTTGTACTCTGTTTTTAAGCCAATGTTCAACCCAAGAACAAGCATTTTCATCTAGACCGATTTCCTTGAGTTTGAACACTAATCTATTGTGTGAATCTATTTATATGAATGTGTGTTACTTGATTGTTGTAAGTGTTGCAAATGCTTACAGCTGAATCCTGGCTATGTTTGTATACTTTTTATTTAAACTTGTATACAGTGTAACATTCTTCATTCTTCCACTGGGTAGGTATGTTAGTACTTCGGCAATACTGTGCTTCGGAACTTCGACACTTCGGAACTTATCCGAATGTCCGAATTGCACGGAATTCGTCCGAATTGCACGGAATTCGTCCGAATTGACATTTGGAACGAAACGAATTGCACTTGTCTGCTAACAGGACTACGGACGGTAAACGGCTTCCAATCCTCTGATTCATTTATGCTTATTTGTGGTATCTTGCAGACGAGTACCACCACATGCTAATGTAAGGGTTTCATTTGGGGGAGAGGGTATCTTGTTTTTACTTCTAATAAATCGCAGTATTACGCTATGAAATGCTCTTTTGTATCTTTTTAAAGCACAACGCTCACTGTGTTACAGTGTATCAATAGATGCTGGTTTATAGCTGCAAGACAGGATTAACCGTTTAAAGACTATCACCCAACGCTCACTGTGTTACAGTGTATCAATAGATGCTGGTTTATAGCTGCGAGACAGGATTAACCGTTTAAAGACTATCACCCAAAGACTTTGTGGACCCTTTAGCAAGTTTTTATGGTTATTTGAAGTTACACTTATTGTGGTTTATATGGTTTTATGTATTAATCTGGAGCACACATATATAAGTGTTTGGACATCATATTGATATTGATAACCTAATTTAAAGGTGTTCAGACTATAGCGCTGACACTCAATTTGAGCTTTTAAGGAAACTTTATTTGTGTATAGCTGCTTAATTTATTTGTTATTATCGCTTTTTAATTTGTTTTTATTATTTTTAAATAGTTGCACTCTCCTGTTCTGTTAATATTGAATAATAATAATAATTCATATTCATATCAGTTTATTAATCCTATCAGTGGTTGTCATTGTACTTATGATGATAATAATAATAATCAGTTTTCCAAATAATTAGCATCTGTAACGGATCCCCTATGCTCCGACTGAGTACATCCGTTGTAAGTCTCCCAAGTGAAACATTGATCAGAGCCCTTGGTTACCCAAACATCAGACTTGATGAAGGGTATAACAGGAATATATTTTTAATGGGACATAGTACAGACAAGTTATACACAGACCCCCTGCAGGGGGTCTCCATACAATTAGTTGGGTGGCTTTTTCCAAAAAGTGCAGGGCTCTATAGGGCTCCCTACTCCAAGCTCCAATTTGTGTATTCAGGGTTTTTCTGGGAAGGGCAACGGTTCAAATCCACTCTTGAGGCCCTATGGTTGCTGGGGGGGATGAAGCAACTATGTGCTCCCTGGCTGGGTTAGTTGGGGATCTGGACCGACCGCCCAGCATCCCTGTGTTCCAGATGTGGGGACCACGGTTCCATCCACATCTCCCTTGCCAAAAATCTCCGGGACTTGAGGGCAGAGACCAGCGATGCTCTGCCCAGATGCTAGCTCTTTGCGGGGGTTGAACTTTGCTGCTGGAGAGGGGGACTGATTGTCTCCGCTCCCGGTAACACAGTCTGCCACTGGGGAGTGAGACTGACTGTCCCTGTAACTCTGTCTTCCGCTGGGGAGAAAGGCCAACAACAACTACCTCGGCTAATGGGCTGCTGCAATGTTCCATTCGCTGGAGTCCTCCACCCACAGTCTCTGACCTCACCTTGGCCAACTGAAGCTATCCTCTCCTGGCTTGTAAAACATTGGCCACTCGGGTTTCGAGTGCCCTGACAATCTCCACCGAAACATCAGGGCCAAAAAAGAACAGTCTTAATCGCATTCCACGAAGGAACTCCTCCTCGTATGTGAACGCTGCCCAGGGGCTAGCTCGCTCCATCTCCTGAGTTCATCTTCAGACAGGGATGCTGCTGGACTCTTCACTGCACTACCTGGTTTGTGATATCAATGTAACGGATGCCACCAATGTAACAGATCCCCTATACTCCGACTGAGTACATCCGTTGTAGTGATCAGAGCCCTTGGTTACCCAAACATCAACCAAGACTTGATGAAGGGTACAACAGGAATATATTTTTAATGGGACATGGTACTGCCAAGTTATACACAGACCCTCAGCACGGGGGTCTCCATACAATTACACTCAAACTCCTCCCCTGTGCCTGGGAGATAATTGAGTCAGGAACAGTACAAACTCAATTATCTCACAGGTACAAAAAAAAAGCATACAATCTTAAAACACCTCAAAAGTACATTTTCAATTTCAAAAGGGGTTATTGATTAAATCGAAAGTCGGAGCTTACAACCCAAGTTACACTTTGAAGCTGTGACTCTAACAGAGCTATTTTGTAAGGTGTGAAAAGTCACACATAAGTGGCCTGGAAGTCTGGGCTCTGTACAAACCAACTCTTACATCTGCCATATGTCTTGCTTGCCTCTCAGATAGGAAGTCCTTTGATATGCTAATGATCATTAGCTTTCAAGAAGAAAAAAAAAGAAACCCTTGTGTTTCAATATCATATCCAAAAGAGACATTTGCTTAATCTAATTATTCCCCAGGCACTAGAGTTACAGATCATAAACTATTAAATATACATCCCACACATATAAGAACCCTAAAAACAAACCATGGAAATGTCTTGTGAATAAAAGGCAAAGTATACATTTCGTCACAAAGTATGTGGCCCATAGTCAGTGGACAGGAGGCTAGCTTCCACTTTTGCTGAACAGACAACACCTTGTACCCTCCTACAGAGAGCTGAGGTGCAAACACAAAAAAATTAGCCCACTCACACAGAGCTGGAGCTCTCCTAGATTCTTAATTAAAAAAACTGCCAATGTCCGCAAAGATAGCATACATACACAAGACACAAGCCGACAAAATTATGAACCCAGACCATATTGTCCAGGAATTCTGTGATGACTCCTTCACACATGTTCCAACGCTACAGATAAATAGCTTCTTAGACTCAAATTATCTGCCCAGACTGCAGGGCTCAGGAATGCACAACGTCACAAAACCTATTGCACTTGACTCAACTACACAGACACATCAAAGCTTTACCCCTGGCCAAGAGCCCAGGGCTTTATGGCCTACAAGCCGCTTATTACAAAACCTTCCAAAATCAATTGGGCTCCCACTTAGTAGACTTATTTAAACAAAGATTTCAAATTGGACCCCCCCCTTAAGAAATGCTTCTGGCCCATATAATCACTTTGCCAAAGCCGGGCAAAAAAAACAACCATTTGCTCAAACTTCAGACCGATTTCCCTTTTGAATACAGATACAAAGCTATATGCCAAAGTCCTATCGGGCAGACTTAGCTCTCTCCTACTGAAACGTATTCAAAACAATCAGTCAGGCTTCTTTAAAGGGCGTCAGGGGTTGGATAATTCCAGGCATCTCTTGAATGTGATCCACCATATCAATGAGGAATCGAGCGAGGGCCTTCTCTTAGCACTGGATGCAGAGAAGACCTTTGACATTTTGAATTGACAATACATGACGGAGGCGCTGGGAAGGTTCGGACTCCTGAAATTATTCATAATGGCAATAATGGCATTATACAGCTGCCCAATGGCTAGCATCTCCAACGCTGGTTTTATATCCCCTCTATTTGATATAACCAATGGGTCCAGGCAGGGTTGCCCATTGTCCCCCCTTTTTTGACACCATTGGCTCAGCTCCTTCTGAAATCCCCAGATATATATGGGATATCGATTGGAGAGCGGACCTATAAATTATTGTTAGTCGCAGACAATATAGTTTTTACGATCACCCACCCCGAAACATCACTTCCAAAACTAATGGAGCTGCAGACATCCTTCGGCTCTGTCTCTTACTACAAAGTCAATACCAGTAAGACTCAGGCATTACATAGGCTATAGTGGACGAGACATAGCCAGATTCTCCAGATGCACTGACCACTGCTACCTGAAACCACAGCCTGATTTTTATGGCTTCACTATTTCTCATAGAATATCACCAGCACCATCAATGCTAGGATTATTATTGTTAGTAACTGTGTGAAAAGTGTACAGAAGGATCAGCACTTAAAAACTTAAATAGGGCTCCCTCACAGGCCCTATAGGTATATAGGTATAAGGAAGGAGAGAAAGGTGGCGCCACAGAGATAATATATAAAATTAAATATAAGCAAGTAGTAATATAGAAATAAACAATGATATATAATACAGAGAGAGATCAATAAAAATAATATATATATATATATATATATATATATATATATATAAACAGTTCAAAAAGAGCCCAGTAAAACCTTGGGATGATAGAACAGTCACAGTTCTATCTGAGTTAGAGACATCTATGAAGTAGTGGGATCCATATGAAAAAGAAAAGAAAATCTAATAGTGCAATAAAACCCAAATAGGTACCAGCCAACAAAAAAAGGTCTATATGGTCCTACTCATGTTTTTGAGAGCTTAAAATTAGCTCTTGTATAAACAGTGTACAGTGGTATAATCCCCACTTATGGGATACATGATGGAATGTTGTAAGTAGATATCCCGCGAGATTCAGATGGGGAACACAAAAAACAACAATAGTGCTCACTGTGATAAAACCAGAAGAGTGTATAAAAATACCAAATTGTTACTCACATTTAATTGGGCAGACGCACTGCTCAATGATACGGCGTAAGTGATATAATCCCCACCAAGGATGCTTTGGAGTAGTATCTCTCTGGAACACTACAGATGCCATGTAGTAAAATAATAAAAAACGGTAAAAAAAGATAAAATGGCTAACTCACAACAAAGAAAGTGGCCAAATACCTTTATTAAAATACAGTTAGTTAAAATTTCCACAAGAAGTCTCTCCCCTTAGGGCCTTCTCAAGTGGATAAAAACATTTACATGACAACACTGGCTTTATATAGGCCTCGGATTACTTATAACTTTATTATAGAACATGTATCATCCATATTAGGGATGGCAATAAAACTTGTATCAGCCATATTATGGATGGCAATAAAAAGAGTGAAAGGAGGGGAGCAGCCATATTGGGAGGGGAAGGGGAGACTAGATAAATCTAATGGAAAAGGAGTGAGTGATGGGGAGAGAGTATAGTAAATAACAGATGATAACAATAATAAACAACAAAAGGGACTAGAAAACTAGTTGGGTAAAGCAATAAAGTACATAAAGAATAAACCACAAAACATATATATAAATGAATGAAAAAAACAAATATGTGACAAATAGCAAGTGCAAACATGGTTACTCAGACCAGGGTTTTGTAACATACATTTTAAAACATGATAGAATAAGATTATTAAAAAAAAAAAAATATGAAGGGTTACAGTAAATTGCAGAAAAGTATGATTACAAATAATGGAAAATAATAAATAAAATAAAAGATAAAAACTGTAAAAAAAAACTAAAATAAAAATTACAGAAAAGATTATAATCAACATTTAACCTTCAGGGGCAAGGGGTTTTAAAAGGAATACCCAGGACATTTCACATTTTCCAAGAAATGTTCTAAAATCACCACCCCTCCATGGAATCTTGCATTTTTGGATGCCAATTCATTTAAAATATTTTGGGTTTTTGTCATGTTGGATAAAGTGTTTTGAAACTGAGTGATTAGGATAGCTGTTAATGATATTCCGACATTCCAAAGTTCTGCCATTTTGAGGCATCTTGAAGTCATCCCTACATATTGGAGGCCACAGGGGCACTCCAATAGGTAGATAAAATTCTTATTGTTACAGTATATGAGGTCTTTGATAGGATAAGTAATATTAGTATTATTGGAAGTAAAATGTGTGGTTTTGGATTTGATGTGTGGATCTGTTGTTCTGCCCTGCTCTGGTCCTAACGTCCCACCACCTGTTCCCTCCATCCTATTCCCTCGTATCTCATCCACACCTTGTCTCCCTCTCTTGCTCTTTGTGACGGTTAGAATAGTTATTCCCGTCTGGTATTCCCTTATTCCATGAAATAACCTCACCAGTAATCCAAAGGTTCCAATATCGCTGGTGTCGCAGAATAACCCACACATGAGCCAAAGTTTAATGCTGTGACAAGACTGGTTTAATGGAAAAACAGGCATCCAATTTATACAGTACATGACTGCAAGTCAATTTATACAGTACTCTCAGCCAGCGAGATAATTGAGTTTTGGAAACATACTGAACTCAATTATCTGCTGGCCAGAAAAAGTTTCCATTTTCACAATTTTTAGAAATACCCCAAAAATACAAAAACACAACAAAAGTAATATCCCTGGGTAGCTGAACTCTGTGGGAGAAACATATTAAAATTTCAGCCAGATCCGTTTGGTAGTTTTCGAATGGCACCGTGTGGAAAGTTGACCGGTCTGCCACGAGGGTGAAGCCGAGAAACAGTTCCAGAAGAATTGTGGCAAGAGTCGGTCTCCGTTCATGTAGATTCATACGAAAACCGCAATAGGTAAAATAGAAATGGTTAGTGTAGAATGCTCCTTTCGTTCGTCTGTTTCAAACTCCCGAACGCCGTTCATCTACTGTGCAGGGAAATAGAACATAGGAGACTTCCATATAGACCAGGGTTCGTACGAGTGCATTGCCGAAAACAGTTCCAGGCACTCGACGACCAACTCCTGCTGGCCGTGGTCAGGAGACAAGATGGCCGCCATCCATTGTTCTCACCACGTGCGATCGTTTGCACGTAATGGCGGCCACCTAGGAGCATTCAGTTAGTCTGTGGTTTCCGTATTGCTACACAGTGTTCCAAGTTCTAATTAGTCCCACAGTGGTCTCTGTTCGGTAAAACAAATGATTTAACAAACGGCCATAAAATAAAATGAATAACTAAGGGAAGTAGATAGAAGGGAGTGCAAATCGCCGAACGGTGCTGGGAATTCCTTCACACTCTTCCTCTCACTAAAATTTTCGATATTCCCCTTTCCTCTGGCACATTTCCCTCACCCTTCAAACATGCAACCGTAACCCCGATTTTAAAAAGGCCCAGCCTTGACCTTAATTGCCATTTGCCTCCAAGATCCTCGAGAGAGTTGTGCACACCAGATTGACTGACTTTCTCAAGTCCAACTCTCTGCTTGACCCCCTATAGTCTGGATTCGTGCTGGTCATTCAAGTATCCAACGATTTAAATGCTGCTAAATCTCGCTGCTATTACTCTATCCAAATTCTCCTTGATCATTCTGCTGCCTTTGACACTGTTGATCATCAACAGCTTCTTCGCATTCTCCGTAATTTTGGTCTACGGGATACTGCTCTCTCCTGGTGTTCCTCCTACCTCTCCCAGCGCTCTTTCAGTGTTTCCTTCTCTGACTCTGCCTCTTCCCCCCCCAACCACTCTCTGTCAGCGTCCCCCACGGTTCTGTCCTTGGTCCCCTACTGTTCTCTATCTATACTGTCTCTCTTAGTAAACTCATCAGCTCCTTTGGCTTCCGTTATCATTTCTATGCGGATGACACGCAAATCTACCAGTCCTCTCCTGATTTCTCTCCGCCCATCTTGACTCATGTCTCTGACTGCCTCTCTGAAATTTCCACTGGCTGCTCACTTCCTTAAACTCAACCTGTCCAAAACAGAACTTCTGGTCTTTCCTCCCTCAAGTGTTGCTACTCCCGTGTCTGTCTCCCTCCAAGTCAATGGTGCTACCATCACCTCTACCTCACAGGCTCGCTATGTGGGTGTTCTTTTTGACTCCAACCTCTCCTTCACCGCTCATGTCCAATCTATTGCCAAATCCTGTCACTTCCATCTCAAAAACATAGCGTGCACCCGCCCCTATTTAACAACGGATGTGGCTAAGGTGCTGGTCCATGCTGTTGTTCTCTCTCGCCTTGACTACTGCAATCCCCTTCTCAGTGGTCTTACGTGTTCCCAGATTGCACCGCTGCAATCTATAATGAATGAGGCGGCGAGGCTCATTTTCCTCCCACGCCTTCCCGCTCTGTCAGTCCCTGCATTGGCTTCCAGTTAGATATAGGGCTCAATTTAAAATTCTGGTGCTTACTTACAAGTCCCTACATAATGCTGTTCCAACCTACCTATCCTTCCTAATACACAAGTATGTCTCATCAAGGTTCCTATGCTCTGCCAAAGACCTACGTCTATCCTCTGTCCATACTCCCACCTCTGATGCTCGCCTCCAAGATTTCTCCAGGGCTGCACCTTTTCTGTGGAACTCCCTCCCTTCTCCGTAAGAATTTCACCCAGGCATCCAATTTATACAGTACATGAGTGGAGACTCATTGAAAACTAATTTTTTCAAGAAAGCATATATATTAAACTGTTAGCAGGTTTGTATCCCCCACCCCCATGACTCTTCTCCTGCAACTGTCACAAATTACCTACTAAGCCCTCATTGAATACTTTTCTAACAACCTACTTCGTACCCCTACTTTTTACCCTTTGTGTCACTATACCCCACCCCCTCTAGCATGTAAGCTCCTGTAAAAATTACATCGTTGATATCGGGTCTTTTAACATGTTGTCAAGCTTTATAATATGCCAGTGTTTATTGATGATTTTCTTAATAGTTTTACTTTTATTGTTGAAATTAAAAATGACTGGCATAAAAGGGGGGTCTTGGTTATTTTTGAATTGTATTCTAGGAGATCCTTTCTACTTTTTTTGTCTTACTATCTCCAATGTTTTATTAAGCTTTGCTAATGAGGAGTTTTTGTTTTTCTATAATTCTATAATTAAGTTATAAAAAAAAAGTCATGTGACCATGACGTCATTTTGGCACCAAAATTAAGTAATCCGAGGCCTATATAAAACCATAATAAAACCATAATATCGCCTTTGATGACACTGGGGGTTGATGCTCAGGTGAATAACAACCCCACTTCGAACAGGAAGCTGCGTCGGGCTCAGAAAAGGACGCCCAACGTAGTACAGTTGAGATTGTCTCTTGATGCCAGCAAGCTCATACAAAGCCTATAATCACTCTCTGTATTACTTCACGACACGTTTTATTATACTTGTTGATTGATACTCTGACCTGTGAATGTTTTTTCCTATACATGCTCAGTTTTTTAGTTTTTTAGCCCTTCATTGCCTTGTTTTCTATGCCATAGTACACCGTAAGGCTTTGTGCGTCGATATGTGGAAAATATGGCTTTAATAGCAATAACTGTAATACAGACAGATACAAATAATGAAGAATATGGCCATTTATGAAATCCTTTTTGAATATAAATAATGTTTAATAAGGAACAGATTAAAAATGTATATATTTCTAAATTATCTCTGTTTTACAAATGACTCAGTGGAGCCTTTGATTTTTTCTGGATTAAAATAAATAACAATTTGCATCAGATAATCTTATGTCTTTGTTTTGGCAAATTGTATGGAAGCGAAAAACTGGTGCAATTTTTAGGCTGAAATAGTCGCGCTGCGCCTATAGCCGAGGTGGAGATTTTTTTTAATTCATTATTCAGTTCAATGTTAGTGAATACATTTTGCCCAGTGTTAAATAGTGTTATTTTTCTATCACAGATCATTATCATCTTTCAGATTAGGGAACATCCATTGTAGCTCTAGCATTAGAGAAAGGGCCTCTTTTGCTTTACTTCTGTCCTATATATAACCACAATTGTTGGAGGTCAGAGGAGATTGCATAGTCTGCCTCACACTGTGTGCATTATCTGTGTAAGTAAAGGTCATTAATCGACAGGGCTGTCAGACTTCCCTCCATTACATTAAACACGCTGCAGGGCAGGAATGAGCGGATGACAGATATTCGGGAATACCGCAGGTATTTTCGGATGATGAGGGTGCAGCTGGGTAGCACAGCTACAAATATTTATGTCTCAAATAAGCTGTGGTTTTTTTGATGACGTAACTCTCAAGTGCTCAACATCTGCAAGGTTCCTCTCTCAGACCATGGGCAGAGTATTAGTTTTAATGGATTTATATATGAAAATGTTAAAAAGAGAAACTTCTTTTCCTGTTCTTTTAACCGTTTGAAATAGGCAAAGATAACATTTGGAGATATAATGTAAAGATTTGTAAATCATAGTTACATACCTAGTTACATAGGCTGAAAAGAGCCCACTCGGGGCCGACCATGCAGTGAGCACTGTTACAGCGCTCTATGCATGGTCCTAGTATTCTGGCTATAGCACAAGCTCGCCTGATGATGCTATCGGTATACTCTTTTTTGGGTTTAGTTCACTGGTGTCCCCAGAAATAAGGCACAGGTAACTGAGAAGTTCCATAGTTCCATAGGCTTAAAAGAGACATGCATCCATCAAGTTCAACCTTCCTCACATTTGTTTTTTTCTGTTAATCCAAAAGAGGGCAAAAAAAACTGTTTGACGCACTTCCAGTTTTGCAACAAACTAGAGAAAAAATTCCTTCTAGACCCCAGAATGGCAGTCAGATTTATCCTTGGGTCAAGAAGCTATTACCCTACATTGAAAGATTATATCCTTGAATATTCTGTTTTTGCAAGTATGCATCTAGTTGCTGTTTGAACATCTGTATGGACTCTGATAAAACCACTTCTTCAGGCAGATAATTCCACATCCTTATTGTTCTTACAGTAAAAAAAAACCTTTCCTTTGCCTTAGACGAAATCTTATTTCTTCCAGTCTAAACGCATGACCTCGTGTCCTGTGTAAAGTCCAGTTTGTGAATAGATTTCCACACAATGGTTTGTATTGGCCCCCGGATATATTTGTATAATGTTATCATATCCCCTCTCAGGCGACGTTTTTCTAAACTAAATAGGTTTAAATTTGTTAACCTTTCCTCATAGCTGATATGTTCCATTCCTTTTATTAATTTTGTAGCCCGCCTCTGCACTTTTTCTAGTGCCATAATATCCTTCTGTAGAATAGGTGTCCAAAATTGCACAGCATAATCAATATGTGGTCTTACCCATTGGTGTATTTAGCCCAATGCAAACTAGGCATTTGCCTTGGGCGGCTCTAACCAGGGGGTGGCAAAAAATGCCGCCCTCGAACGTCCACTCCTGCTTCCCCAGTGTTCGCCCTGTCTGTGGAGTACAGTGGGGCTGCAGGGAGGCGTGTGGCTGTGTTAGAATCAATGGCAGCGAGGGAACTGTGATCTCCTTTGCGCGCCATTTACTGATGCCGCGGGAGCCGGAATATGACATCAAATTCGGTCTCCCGGCTTCAGTAGACGGCCCGCGAGGCGTGAGTGAGCCGCTGATTCTAACACAGCCCCACGCCTCCCAGCAGCCCCATTGGACTGCAGGGACAGATCCACGCCAGCTCTCCAGGTAGGGATTATACTTATTATTATTATCATTATTGTAATAATTAGTGAGTGTATGTGTGTATGAGTGTATGTGTGTGTGTGTGTGTGTATGAGTGTATATGTGTATGTGTGAATGAGTGTGTTTGTGTGTGTGTGTGTGTGCATGAGTGTGTTTGTGTGTGTGTAGGAGTATATATGAGTGTATGTGTGTGTCTGTATGTGTATGTGAGTGTTTGTCAAATCAGTGAGAGTCTGCCATTGAGTGTTTGTGTGTGACTATCAGTGTGTCTGTCAATGAGTGTCTGTCAGTGTTTTTGTGTCTGTCAGTGTGTGTGTGTGTGTGTGTGTGTGTGTGAGTGAGTGTGTATCAGTGAATGTGTGTGTCAAATCAGTGAGTCTGTGTCTGTCAGTGACATCTGTGTGTTTGTCATTGAGTGTGTGTGTGTGTGTGTGATTGTCCGTGTGTATCAGCCAGTGTGTGTCTGTCAGTGTGTCTGCTTAAAGGGTGTGCACTATAGGCACCCAGACAACTTCAGCTCATTGAAGTAGTCTGGATGCAGTGTCCCAGTTCCCTTAACCCTGCAAGCATAATCATTACAGTTTCTCAGTGTACCGTTCACTAGGGAACCCTAACATGCAGACAGGACAGAGTAGAGAGAATTGCAATACCGATCCTTAGAATGGTCGGGTTATGCAAAAAGGGATAGTCAAAACACGAGCCGAGGTCAAGGGAAACAGAGAGACGGAATAACGAGAGACAAAGCCAAATATCGGTAACCAGGAAATCCAAATAACAAATGCAACGCTCAGTGGTAAACCAAAGACCACAACAGGGCACTGAAGCAAGGGAGAGGTTAGCTTATATACCCACAGGGTGTGTCTGATTGGCTAATCTCCAATTAATGGCTAATCTCCAACACATGGGAGGGGTTTCATCACTGTGTGCCGGGTCACATGACCGGGTGCAGCACACATATAAGGAAGCTGCTCTGCAGCGTGCAGCGCCAGTCTGGAGGCAGGGACCAGATGATGCCGCTCGCTGTGATGAGGTAAGCAAGGTCGCCGCGAGCGGCGTGGGGGCAGGGGACCTGACACTCAGAAACTGCAATAATTACCTTAAGGGGTTAACTCTACCTCTAGTCTACCAGAGGGACTTCCGGGTGGTTAGGTGACCAAAAGTCGCCTAACTGATGCTGGACGTCCTCACGCTGTGCATGAGGACATCCTGCGTCTGCTGAATCCCCATAGGAAAGAATTGATACAAAATGCTTTCCTATGGGGAAACCTAATGCAAGCGCGGAGGAGGAGCCTGACCCATCACTGAGGGACACCAGCGCTGGATTCAGGTAAGTGACTTAGTGGGTTTTAACCCCTTCAGTGCTGAGTGGGTGGCGGTGGGGGCACGAGGGGGGGGGGCACTATAGGGAACTGTTTTCCTGGCACTCTAGTATGCCTTTAAAAGGAGTAGGAAAAGGTGGAGTGTAAAGAGGAAGGGGCGGGTTCTTAATCAGGAGGAGGTGTGGCCTTGACAGGAAGGGGTGGGGCAAATTTAGATTAGGTGGGTGCCCAGGTTTAGTCATGCCTAGGGCAGAACGAAACCAAAATACACCACTGGTCTTACCAGCCATTTATAAAGAGGCAAAATTATATTTTCATCCCGAGAATTTATGCCCCTATTTATACATGACAAAACCTTACTGGCCTTAGCAACTGCAGATTGACATTGCATATTGCTGCCTTATTTGTTGTGTATAACAATTCCCAATTCCTTCTCGTGTGTGGTTATCCCTAATTCACTACCATTTAGGGTGTAAGTTGCTTGTGCATTCTTAACCCCGAAGTGCATAACTTTGCATTTCTCTACGTTAAATTTCATCTGCCATTTTAGTGCCCAGTCTCCCAATCTATCCAAATCTCTCTGCAGCAAAGCAATATCCTGCTCACATTTTATTACTTTACAGAGTTTTGTGTCATCTGCAAACACTGATACATGGCTTTCAATGCCTATTTCAAGATCATTTATAAATATGTTAAATAGAAGCGCTCCCAAAACAGAACCCTGAGGGACACCAGTTACCACTTTTGTCCAGCCTGAAAATTTTCCATTAATGACAACTCGTTGTACTTTATTTTTAAGTCAACGAACAAGAATTTTCATCCATAACTCTGCCTGCTCTGTGCATGGTTCCCATGATACTCAGTTTCCTGAGGGTTTAGCTTAGACCGTCAATGGTTGGGGTGCCCTGGTTACAGTACGTCACAGACACCCTTAGATCTCTCTGAGTGTCACAGAATATGTAAACATTGTTACTGTAGTAATGTTGTGTCGCTAACTGGTTATTATGTTTATTTATTTTTTGGTCACTCTGTCCTATAGAGAAAGATTATTACAACCTCTGTGAGAAGCAGCCAGTTGGAAGACTTCTTTTCCGCCAGTTCTGTGAATCACAGCCGGAACTCGAATGCCTCATTCACTTCCTTGATGCTGTGGTAAGATTAAGCAGGTTTTAGCTTGTTTGTTCCTTTACAAAATGAACAATTCCAAGAGAATTTCATCTCGGATCCCCCATAAGGGCAAGTGTCTGAAGCATGCAGACTGTTATAGGCCTTGTCAGGATTAACTTTTACCGTTAAACGTCTCTACTTGGTCGGAGGTAAGAATGAAATGGATAGTAACATCACTCTATTAAAACTGAGTGACTGACACATAAAACAGATAGATTTATTAAGCAGTAAAGATAATCTCCTGTATAAATATCCTTGCCAGAGCTACATTTCAAGCCTGTAAATACACCCGGATTTTCTTCATGTTATCGGTGTATTTGCTTCTAGCATTGTTTGTTGTGATAGATAAATCCTACCTATGTAGTCATTGTCTAAGTACTAGACATGTGCACCAGTGAAATTTTCAATTCGTACTAAATAAAAATTTCATTCGTCTATTCCGTATTTCGTCCGTAAAACATTAGTTTTTCAGGTGGAATTCAGGAAAAAATAATTGTTTTTCACCAATTAGGACAAAAATAACACTGCGCATGCGCAAAAAAGCAAGGAGTTTGCCAGCAGTGCTATCACCTCCCTCCTTGTAATAATATTAACAATTCCTACCCCCTCCCTGCATTAAAACCTATGGGTGTCGCTATGACCCCCATATTGATAAAAGGGAGGCTAAATCCTCCCGCATGCCCCTACTCACGACATGCCAGTGGCTGCTCACTGTCATTTAAAACTAGATGGAAGTCAGTATCTTACATAGAAGTGATAGAGCGCTACGGTAAGAGTACGTGTAACCAATAGTTATAGCAAAAACAATAACAATGTTGCAATATGAAAAAATGGCTAAAATACTTTTTATTAGCTAAAATACTGTCATAGTGCACCCCTCGTACCCTTACCCGTGACCCGCGGGTGGGGACAATTAATATAAGCAGAGGAATAGTGTCCCTCCCAGGCCCCCACCCATGACCCTTGGGTGGGTCCTTAATTAAATAAATAATGTCCCACCCTTTTGGCCATTTTTGGGGCTGAAGAAAGAAAAGAAAAGAAGAAAGAAGACATCTAATGGTAATTATGACATTTTATTTTACAGGGTGTTAGTTTATTGCCCCCCCCCCTACTAATATTAGGAAGAGGGGGGGTAGGTCAGGTATTTTTCAATGGGGCAGAGTGACTAGGGGCTTAGGGACCCCTTGTCATTTTATTATTAGTGATCCCCACCCGCCACTTATGGGTGGGGAACTGGGGGGGACATTAGGTCCCCCCTTTAATGAATTATGATCCCCATCCACCGCTTGTGACAATAGGTCCCCTCCCTATTGATACTTAGGGCCCCCACTCGACGCTCATGGGTGGGGGCTGGAGGGGGAGAGACAATAGGTCCCCCCAATTGATACTTAGGGTCCCCACCAGCTGCTCATGAATGGGGGATGAAGGTGTGCTAGGTCCCCCTTTATTTGATTCAGGGAGTGGGGGGCTTTTTTTTTTTTTTAACTGTCAGCAGCCACCTGTTTAGTAGACATGCCCCTACTTGCAGCATAGCGAGTAGGGGCATTCAGGAGATTTTAATTTCACTTATGCTAATATGGGGGTCTTATTGACCCTCATAGAATTATGGGGGGGGGGGCATGGGGGGAGTTAGCAGGTGGCGGGGAGCACTGCTTCCTGACGCTTCTATTTTCACATATTACAAGAAGGGAGCCGAGAGCCGGTAGCTCCCTCCTTGTAATAAACTAAATGAACTGAAACGAAAAGGTAACGCATTCGGCATTTGCCCTTTTGTTTCGTATATAATTCGTATGTAGGACTTTCGTTTATGTTATAGCAAACGAAAATGAAGTCAGAAAATTCTGGCGAAATCGTATTCGTCCTAAAACGAATGCACGTGTCTAATAAGTACAATAGCAAGAATCAAGAAAAATTAACCCTGAATGTTCCAGGTCTGAACACTGAATGTTCCAAGTGTATAACTCCCCTGCTTGCTGGGATTATGTTACACATTAAGGTTTTGGGGCACTTGAAAACTAGCAAAACCCAAGTGTATTCCCCCAATAAAGTAGGTAATTAAACCAATTCTGTCTTCAGAATTCAGAAGATACAGCTCTAACTATATCTCAATATAAAAATAAAATACAGATGATACAATTCTATTTACTGAATGTAGGAAGATATTTGATTGAATTAAACTGGACAGAGCCATCTCTGTACAAGAGACTGTGTAATAATGAATGGAAGGTCTTAAGAGTTATCCAAAATGATACAAGTGGTTTGAGTGGAACTCTAACCTTAACCTGACACTTGGCAATCAAGGGGGAAGGATCAAAGGTTAATGCAGTTATAAACATCTAGCAAAGACCTTATTGGTGGGAGAGGGGAAAGAGAAAGGAGACTTTCACCTATTTGCCCTTTCCACCTCCAATACTTCTGTTTCTATTTTGCCCTCAGTTATCATCTATTTCTTTTTTCAATTTTTTTTCTCCTCTTTCCCTTGGATTCTATATGAACAAGCTAAATTTACTGTCAGGAAAGAGGAGGTGTTTGTGCTGAAACTTTAAACAGTCTTCCTTTTTTCCTTTTTTAGGTTTTTGATACATTTTTGGTAATTCAGTGTAAAGGTTAGACTTAGTTTTAACAAGACACCCCTACTAATTCCATGTATCGAGACATTTCAGATCCTACAGGATAATCCTGACACCACACACGTTTACGGACTAAAAACTGTCTGGGTGTTATGGAAAAGAGCCTTTACAAACATCTGGAGTGCCAAGCCTGGCCACCATTTATGAAGGAGACTCTGGTGCTTCCTGGTGGACTCGTGATAGACGCATATTTTTTTATTAAACTACTTCTATTAAGTGTTAAAGTTGAGGCTTATCCTGTACATAGCAGACACAGAATAGAGATCATATTAAATTAATGTTTGAAACTAGATTTCCTGTTAATCGTCCCTTCTCTAGCTTAATGTGCATTTCAAAACTTTAAATACCATGCTGCTATTTTCAAAGTTGTCTGTTTTAATTATTTATTTTTATTTTTTCCCTGTTTCTGTTCTGTTTACACATCCTCCTTCACATTCCTCCCCTGCTCCCTTCTTAATATTCCATCCCCACTTCCTTCACAATATTCCATCCCCACTTCCTTCTCAATATTCTATCCCCACTTCCTTCACAATATTCCTTCCCCACTTCCTTCTCAATATTCTATCCCCTCTTCCTTCTCATTATTCCATCCTCGCTTCTTTCTCAATATTCCTTCCCCACTTCCTTCTCAATATTCTATCCCCACTTCCTTCTCATTATTCCATCCTCGCTTCTTTCTCAATATTCCTTCCCCGCTTCCTTCTTAATATTCTATCCCCACTTCCTTCTCATTATTCCATCCTCGCTTCCTTCTCAATATTCCTTCCCCACTTCATTCTCAATATTCCATTCCCACTTCCTTCACATTATTCCATCCTCGCTTCCTTCTCAATATTCCATACTCGCTTCCTTCTCAATATTCCATCTTCACTTCCTTCTCATTATTCCATCCTCGCTTCTTCCTCAATATTCTATCCCTGCTTTTTTCTTGATATTCCTTTCCCTCTTTCTTCTCATTATTCCATCCTCGCTTCCTTCTCAATATTCCTTCCCCACTTCCTTCTCAATATTGCATCCCTGCTTCTTTTTCAAAATTCCATTCCCACTTTTCTCAATATGCCATCCCCATTCTTTCTCAATATTCCATCCTTACTTCCTTCTGAATATTCCATCCTTACTTCCTTCTCAATATTCCATCCCCGCTTCCTTCTCAATATTCCATCCTTACTTCCTTCTGAATATTCCATCCTTACTTCCTTCTCAATATTCCAACCCCGCTTCTTTCTTGATATTCCATCCCCACTTTCTTCTCAATATTCCATCCCCGCTTCCTTCTCAATATTCCATCCCCACTTCCTTCTCAATATTCCTTCCCCACTTCCTTCTCAATATTGCATCCCTGCTTCTTTTTCAAAATTCCATTCCCACTTTTCTCAATATTCCATCCCCACTTCTTTCTCAATATTCCATCCTTACTTCTATCTCAATATTCCATCCTTACTTCCTTCTCAATATTCCATCCTTACTTCCTTCTCAATATTCCATCCTTACCGCTTCCTTCTCAATATTCCATCCCCGCTTCCTTCTCAATATTCCATCCCCACTTCCTTCTCAATATTCCATCCATGCTTTTTTCTTGATATTTCTTACCCGTTTCCTTCTCATTGTTCCATCCACACTTCTTTCTCGATATTCCTGTAATTCGTTTGACCCCATCCTCCCCATGGCCCTATATTCTTCACCTCCCCAGACAGAGTATGAGGTCACCCCGGATGAAAAACTAGGAGAGAAGGGAAAGGAGATATTACTCAAATACCTCACCCCAGAGGTGAGTAAGAAGGTCAGGAGAAGGTGGATGGGACTTTTTGGGAAGATGTTTCATAATTCTGCAAATACATAAGAGGGGACTTATCTTAGTCTTATCCTGCCAGTTTATAATTTATATATTTGTGTAATCAAATGCTTATGAACTGCCCTAAATACAGTTGTTAGACCTGGCTCAGCCCTTGGATTCAACGGTCTTGGGTGCTTGAAACCTTGGGCTCTGTGGTTGAGGCTTGTTGATTCTTTGAGGTTAGCCATCATAGAGCCCTTAGACTAGATAGTTGAGCATGTATAAACCCTTGGACACAGTCACTGAGCGTGGTTGAACTCCTGCACGCAGCAGCTTGGGTTTAAATCCATGGATTCAGAGGTTGAGCTCAGTATTTGAGCCTGGTTAAACCTATGAAGGCTGAACAAGCTTGAACGTTTGCACTTAGTGGCTGAGCATGTTAAGATTCTTTTTTACTGTGGTCTTTGCATAGTTTAAACTGAAGCCTATGGATAGTTCCAGGACAGAACTAGAACTTGTTGGTACTAAGCTTCGACCAACCAAGTTCAACCTTAAATCAAATGATCAAATAGTTTCTTACAATTGTATTTGCTTAGTTGGTGCCTATAGAAGATGGATTTAATAGTGCGATCTCAGTGCTTCCAGCATACATTCACTCCCCACCCCTTTACACACAATGTTTATCTATGTAGGGGTGTCTGAATGCTGGAACAAATGTGTCCTTGCTCAAAGTCTTTGCTCCTGAAGCATCATGGGGATTTAATAAAGAAACCTGATGTGATGGACTACAGGTGTAACATCTTTAATCTGTATTCTGGCAGAGCCTCTTGGCCACAATAGACTATGTTAAGTCCCCATTCCCTGCTGAACTACATGGTAACTAAACCTTCTGAGTGACATATATGCTAACAAACCCTCAGAACTAGTTTTTTATAATTCTGATTGGATTTTAGTTACCCTGTTTATTTGTGCAAACTCGCTTCTGGAATATGAACCAAATCAATTCAGAAGAATTGAAATCATTTTCCATGCAAAAGTCTTGTAGGGGTTATGTTGGCTTGTCAACCAAATAACAATCTTGGCTTTTTTGGGCTCAAAATTGGTAGTTTTGTTGTCAGTTTCCCACAGTCTGTTATTTAGCGAACAAAGAACTTAGAGTCGTGTTGTTTTATTCCCACTGTGTTTGACTGTCTTTCTATTGCCTTAGTCCCCAGTTTATGTGTCTGAAGTAGGTCTGGACATTGTCCATCAGATGGAGGAGAAACTGGAGATCAGCCCATTCAAAGATCTGTTTTTTCACTGTGCAAAGTAAGTGTCTTTTAATGTTGATCTAATGGTAACTGTCATTTTCATGACACAGACACACGCTCAGTCATATATTTAAACACACAGACACACTCAGTCATATACTTAAAGGGACACTATAGTCACCTGAACAACTTCAGCTTAATGAGGTTGTTCAGGTGAGAACTATAGCTCCCTGCAGTCTCTCTCATGTAAACACTATTTTCTGCGAAAATACAGTGTTTACATTGAAAGCTAGGAACACCTCCAGTTGCAGTCACTCAGAGGGAACCAGAGGGACTTCGGAGTTGATGGAGGCATAATATGCCTCCATCCACTCAGATCTGCTGTCAGCAGAGCACAGGGCAGCACTGTGCACAACATCCTGTGATTCAGTATCTCCTCCCTCTGCATGTAGATACTGAACTTTCCTCATAGAGATTCATTGATTCAATTCATCTCTATGAGGAGATGCTGATTGGCCAGGGCTGTGTTTGAATCATGCTGGGTCTGCCCCCGATCTGCCTCTTTGTCAGTCTCAGCCAATCCTATGGGGAAGCATTGTGATTGGATCAGGCTACCACTTCTAATGATGTCAGCAGACTGCTTGTTTTTCTGAGTCAAACAGCATGCAGAGTTACAGCTTCAGGCTTGAATACAGTAAGATTTTTTACTATATTTATGGAGGCATGAGGGGCCCAGGGGGGGCTATATGGTGGTTTTAACACTGTAGGGTCAGGAATACATGTTTGTGTTCCTGACCCTTTAGTGATCCTTTAAATATATGACTGAGCGTGTGTCTGTGTGTTTAAGTATATGACTGAGTGTGTCTGTGAATTTAAAGGACCACTATAGGCACCCAGACCACTTCAGCTCAATGAAGTGGCCTGGGTGCCAGGCCCACCTAGTTTTAACCCTGCGGCTGAAAACGAAGCAGTTTCAGAAAACCTGCCATGTTTACACTGCAGGGTTAATCCAGCCTCAAGTGGCTGTCTCCCTGACAGCCACTAGAGGCCGCTTCTGCAATTTACACTGAGTAAATCGTACTTATCTGATGCTGGATGTCCTCACGGAGTTCAGGATCAAATAAGATTTCCATAGGAAAGCACTGAGTAATGCTTTCCTGTGGGCGGGTTTGAATGCGTGCGCGCGCCACTAGCCACGCATGTGCATTCGGCTACATTCGGGAGATGGCGTCGGTGGGGGAGGAGAGGTCACCAGCGCAGAGGGAGCCCAACGCTGGATTAAAGTAAGTGGCTGAAGGAGTTTGACCCCTTCAGCGCCGAGGGAGGGGGGCCCCGAGGGAGGAGGGCACAACAAGAGCCTAAAGTGCCAGGAAAACGGTTCGTTTTCCTGGCACTATAGGATCCCTTTAAACACACAGACACACTCAAGCAAATACTTAAACACACAGACACACTCAAGCAAATACTTAAACACACAGACACACACAGTCATATACTTTAACACACAGACACACACAGTCATATACTTAAACACACAGTCACACACAGTCATATACTTAAACACACAGACACACACTTTCATATACTTAAACACACAGACACACACAGTAATATACTTAAACACACAGACACACACTTTCATATACTTAAACACACAGACACACACAGTCATATACAGGCACACTCACAGCCATGCAAATCAACACACAAACTCGCTCACAGACACAAAATTTAAAACACATACTCCCAACAACATAATAAACAGACCACTCAGTGACTGTACTAAATAACGTCATATTCTGCAAACCTTGTTCAGAGCTATAAAATGCATCTCCTTCTCTCTGTGAGATAGATCTGTTTACGACTTCCTGAGTGGGGACCCTTTTCACAGCTACTTGGAGAGCATGTACTATGACCGATTCCTCCAGTGGAAGTGGCTCGAAAGGTGAGAAATTGTTACCACATCCTGTGTAAATGTGGGAAGGAACATTGCCAATCTACCGTGTGGTTTAACATTGGACATGGTGAGATTGGCAATGGTGCATGGTGGGCACATCTTCCTTAAGGTCTGGCGTTCATGCCTCTGAGCGAACTTTTTCGATATGACAGAAAAATCAAACAGTATTTTTAGGTGTCTGCATTTAAAAGCAATTATTTATCATGTATAGGGTGAAAAATGTGTTCATTAAAAGAGCCTGTCTACTCTCTGGAAATTATCTCATTGAATAAAACATTGGGAAATCAGAATCTTCTATAACTTGTGTTAGGAATTTTCTATACTGTAAGGAATAAAAAGTTGTATTCCTTATACTATAGTTCCTTTTAGCCCCCACTCCCTCACACCCCTAACCCAGCACTGCAAGGGTTAAAAACCATTTAGTCACTTACCCGATTCCAGTGTCCCTCCCTTGGCACTGGGTCGGCACTCTGCCTCTTCTAACGACACCTGAAGGGGTGGCTTATGCACAGGCTCTACGAGCGCATTAGACCCTCCCGACAGGAAAGCATTGCTTCAATGCTTTCCTATGAGGAATTACCAACGCTGGATGTCTTTATGCAGACTGTGAGGACATCCAGTGTCAATTAGGTGACCAAAAGTCGCTTAACCACAAGGACTGCCTCTACTATGTGTCTGATTGACAGTCACTAGAGGCCGTCTTAGTCCTGCAATGTAATTATTGCAGTTTCTCAAAAACCTAATTGATTTACATTGCAGGACTTAGTGTGGAACAGGGACACTGCACCCAGACCACTTCAATGACATAAAGGGGTCTAGGTGCCTAAAGTGTGCTTTTAACATTTTTTTTTTTCTTGTGGTGGTCTGTTTTACTTCAAATTTATTTTAAAGATTTAGCTAATGGCATCACAATCCAGTTCAGTCCTGGCAGAACCAGGGCACATATTGCATTAGAAAGGATTCATCAAAGTGGAGTAATTACCAGGAAAGGTTAAAAGATCTTAGCATGTATAGCTTGGAGGAAAGACGAGACGGGGGATATGATAGAAACATTTAAATATATAAAGGGAATCAACACAGTAAAGGAGGAGACTATATTTAAAAGAAGAAAAACTACCACAAAAAGAGGACATAGTCTTAAATTAGAGGGACAAAGGTTTAAAAATAATATCAGGAAGTATTACTTTACTGAGAGGGTAGTGGATGCATGGAATAGCCTTCCAGCTGAAGTGGTAGAGGTTAACACAGTAAAGGAGTTTAAGCATGCGTGGGATAGGCATAAGGCTATCCTAACTATAAGATAAGGCCAGGGACTAATGAAAGTATTTAGAAAATTGGGCAGACTAGATGGGCCGAATGGTTCTTATCTGCCGTCACATTCTATGTTTCTAATTACTAATGGAATGTGACTGGTGATTATATTGGTTTCCATGGTGACTGCTCCCCTGTTGTTTCTATGTTCCCTTTTTTCTGTATTATGTATCTATGCTGGCTTCTGGGTGCAGTGGGTGGAGCTTATAACAATGATTGACAGTGAGTGAATTACTACATTTAATTTTATTTTTCAGACCTCACACATACATAGGCCTTAATTTTATATATTTGGATATGCTTTTAAAGTGGAGATGATGAGGATTTGGGAATTTGTGAAATATAATTTAATATGTTGATATTTTTGATATATTAATACATTTTTACATACAATATATATTTTATTCTTTTAATTTTTTTAAAATATATTTTTGAAAGTTAATCCAAATATATTAAATGGAAGCCATAGTTGTTAAATCTAGTGGATAAGTAAACGTAGTACTAAAACCTTTAACCTGGCGTCATGGACAACACTGGCAGTCAAACGGTTTCTGCAGGCTCATTACAATGTGGCAATAAGTCAATTGTTATTTTATTTTAATGTCTACGTTTTGTTTCGATTTTTTAAACCTTGACTTATTCCATTATGCAGTCTTGATCACAAGTCACTGCTCAGTGTTCAGAACCCTTAAAGATATTCTAAATAATGTCATTAAATATCTGTATGTCATACTAGAGGCTCCTTGTGGACATACGTAGTATTGCTAGTAATGAATCCAGGAGCTCTTATTATCAGCTATGTTAGATCTATAACATGATTTTATTTCTGAAAAATAAAAGTTTCTAGTAATTTTTGGGAGCCCAGGCTGAGCACCCCTCATTGCTGAATAATGAACCACGAGAATTATCTTATCTTCCAGGCAGCCAGTAACAAAGAACACCTTCCGTCAGTACCGGGTTTTGGGGAAGGGAGGCTTCGGTGAGGTGAGTTTGTGGACATGGCCAATGCCAAGAGAAAGATCAACTCATTTTTTTTTGTATCAGGCTTGGAGGATCTGATTAATCTGTTTAAATGGTGTTATTCAGTTATGGTCTGTATTTTATGGAAATAAAGATTTAGCTTTACTCTACATCATTTTCGAGTTTAATACCCCCATTCCATGGCAGTTCTTCTCCAGCCTGTTTGACAGGTTTATTTAATGTATAATGGGAAAGGAACATTCCCAATGCCTTCTCCCTAAACTCAGCAGAGTTTGTCTTTAAGCTGGTGTGCTTTTCCTCAAGGACATACTATACTGCCCAAATAAAAAAAATCACTGTTTAGCATAAATACCGCCATTGAAAACATGCATGCATTTAATTGTGTATTTTTTCATTGGAGTTATATCTAAAACATCTTTCAAAATCGGCAAATATCTTGTCTGCTGCCTTGGCAAGCCCTCCCCTTCTAACCCCGCCCATACTTTCTGTGGCTGTCCAATCACAGACTTCCCAATGCAGCTCAATGAGAAGTCTTTGCAAGGCAGGTGTCCAACTGACAGCCATAGGGATGTAACAAGGATAATTTATAAATGTGAAGACAAAGTTGACAAACTCTTTGAAGTGCTTTATGTGTTCGGAGGGTCCCTTTAAGCACTAGGGTAACATTGAATGTATTTCAGCCCTGTATACATTTACAGAATGCATAAGGGAATTGTAAGTTCAAAGACAAAACATCCAAACTTGGAAAAACAACTGAATTTAGGACATTTTTAGTTTGGATGTTTTGGAAAACATTTTAGCTTTCCAATTCCCAGACTGCATAACGAGAAGCAGTATTAATAGTAATAATCGTAGTAAGGGACAAACGGATTCATAGACTGATTTTGGCAGCATTACAAGGTTGACGTCGGTACATGAAGAATTAAAATTAAATTGGAAAAGGGTTTATATCTAACTTTAATTCAATCTTCTATTTATCTAATTCAGTTAGTCACTGATCTTACAGTCTAAATACTACAGTGGCTAAAACAGGGTGGGAGTTATGTAGTTAGCTTTAAATTTGCCTGTGAGTTCAAGATTTCTGGGATTGCCCCCTAAGTTTCATTTCATGTGTTTATTAAGCCCTTAAGGACACATGACATGTGTGACATGTCATGATTCCCTTTTATTCCAGAAGTTTGGTCCTTAAGGGGTTAAAGGGACACTATAGTCACCAAACAAGTTTAGCTTAATGAAGCAGTTTTGGTGTATGGATCATGTCTCTGCAGTCTCACTGTTCAATCCTCTGCCATTTAGGAGTTCAATCACTTGAGTTTATACAGCCATAGTCACACCTCTTTGCATGCAACTTGCACAGCCTTCCTAAATACTCCCTGTAAAGTGAGATCTAATGTTTATATTTCCTGGATTGCAAATAATGTTTAATTTAGAATGTATTATCTCCTGCATTGTTAATAGCTTGCTAGACCTTGCAGAAGCCTCCTGTGTGTGTAACATCTGATTGAAAATTATACCATTTTGTTTTCATGAAGGCTGTGTCAGTCACAGCCAGGGAACGCATGGCTAGGGCTGCATAAACAGAAACAAGAGTGACCTAGCTACTAAATGGCAGAGAACTGAGCAGTGAAACTTCAGAGGCATGATCTATATACAAACTAGTTGATCCAACACGTAGAACTGTATCACACCTAGGACTAAAAGGTAAAGTCTTACCGGGCCTTAGAATGGCTGGACTTAACGTACCAGAGAATGGTCAGTAAACTTGCCGAGGTCGGGGACACAGAAGGAGACAACGATGAGGGAAAGCCAAAAGTCAGGGATACCAGAATACGCTAATGTCAATAACCAGAAATAAATGCTCAGGAACGCTCTCTCGGACTACCACTAAGGGAAACCACGACAGGGCAATGAGGAGAAGTAAAAATGTGTTTAAATAAGCCTCTTACAGATCTGATGGGGCAAAATCGGCACATGCGCGGCAGTAGGATTTCCCCATAGGAAAGCATTATTTAATGCTTTTCAATGGGGATTCCGGTGACGATGGAAGTCCTCATGCAGAGCGTGAGGACGTCCAGTGTCATTTAGGCGGGAACTCACTTTAGTGGGTGTCTGGTATACAGCCACTAGAGGGTGAGTTAACCCTAGCAGGTAATTGTTACAGTTTATAAAAAAAGTGTTTCTTTAATGTCTGTCTGGGGAATGGGCAGAGACTGGCCATAGATGTGCAAATTCCATTCACAGCTATATAGTGCTAAAAAAAGAACCCCAAGATTCTAGCATTTTAATTAAACCCCAAATTCTAACATTGAACTTGTTCAGTGTTCAGATGCATATTCCTGTTTTATGAAATTAAAAAGAAATTTAAACAAACGTTTATTGGATACCAGTGTTCAAGAACAGCTGCTTTGTGAAATTATCTTAACTAACTAAGAATGGCAGCCTGCAATACACATGTTACAAGGTTTACACTAAGTGCCATCCCTGAGTGTGAAACTGTGTTAGTATAGTGCTTAGCTTGTGCAGAGCTATAATATTAATTCTCCATATATTGACACCTAGACTGTCGCTAATGTGTTTCCCAAATAATAGAATCAAGCATCGTTATCTGTTTAACATTTTCTTTGTAAACGAACTTGTTTTATGTCAACGTGTCCTGTTGTTATATTTGCATGGTGGGTAATACTCACTAGGGAATTATTGTAAACCTAGTGTTAAAACACCATTTCTCTAGGATTTACATGAGATGTGTCTTTTTTTATTCATATGGAGCACAATGTTACTGTCAGAGTTATTTACTAAAATAAAAATTCTAGTGAATTTCAAATTTAAGGCCAGGGTAGCTAAACTGACAACATAACTTTTTCAGTTTTGGCTATTTTCACTGCAAATTTGAAGTTCACCTTGAATTCCCATTTTTGTGAATAACCTTGGAAGCTACACAGATTCACATGTAACACAATGTTGCTAAATACTTGCCAGATATAAAGCATGGGATGTATCTTGGCAATAAATACTGTGGGGAGCTTAGGAGATAGCAGGGACTGACGCATTTTACAGTAGCTGATCAGCCTCTCTATCACAGAATGCAGACTGTTCCTCAATGTGGTGTGCAGGGCAAACTGATGACCCAGGTAATAACCAGGAGTGTGTGATTTGCAGGTGTGTGCCTGTCAGGTCCGAGCTACTGGCAAGATGTACGCCTGCAAGAGGCTGGAGAAAAAGAGGATTAAAAAGAGAAAAGGAGAGTCCATGGCACTGAATGAGAAGCAGATACTCGAGAAAGTTACCAGCAGATTTGTGGTAAGATGACACGGCATTGTGCATTAACCCCGTCCTCTTGGGTAAACTCTAACAGCAGAATGCGTTGGTCATTGCCAGTACTCATTGATTTTGTTAATTGTGAGTAGAGAGGATAGTGGGCAGACTTACTAAATGAAGAGAGAAAGACTCGCTAAAGTTAAAATATTTAACTTTATTTAGAAAACCATGACAGGAAAGAATAAATTGCATAGACATTATAAAATATTTAGACTAATAATTCATATCTGAGAAAGGACAAAAAAAGTTTTTTAAATAAAAAGTGAGGGATAGTAAGAAAATACATAAAATAATTATTTTGATATCATTATTATTATTTATGATTAATACCTTCTCTAGTATTGAGAGCTTCCAAGCAGTTCAATCTGTTTTTTGTTATTATTATTATTATGATTTATAAAGTTCCGCACCGCTGTACAATACAGAGAAGGGTAGGAGTGGAAGCTCTCTAACTCAAAATACCTTAGTATATATTCCTCTGTGTTCTAAACTAGATAAGAAATTGTTATTATTTTGTTGTTGTTGTTTGAGTGAGCAGCATTTCTGTGCTGTAGTAAGATAGATATATTTCATATATGGATACTATTCAGGTGAAGTTTATATTGTAATTATAGTTTACTATTTACTCTAGGTAAACCTGGCCTATGCGTACGAGACAAAGGATGCGCTGTGCTTAGTGTTAACCTTAATGAACGGGGGAGATCTCAAATTCCATATATACAACATGGGAAATCCTGGCTTTCAGGAGGAGAGGGCAATCTTCTATGCTGCGGAGATACTGTGTGGGTTGGGTGACCTTCATCGAGAGAGCATTGTATACCGGTGAGACTGTGGACCATGTGTCTGTATCTGCCATACTACGTGATAGATTTGCCGATAATTAAATGAGAATTGCAACTTGAAACCGTTTTAACATTTAGTCAGAGTTGTCTCGGAGTTGCTGCCTTCATTGTTAGTTTTCTGTCTGAGTGCCAGGCTAATAGACATTATCAAGCTCACACTGCATTTGGCTTTATTCATTAAAGAGATTTTAAAGTAAATTTAACATTTTAGGACAGCTGAATTGGAAACCAAGCTAACTTTTTGGTCTGTTATTGTGCCTTAAATGTTGAATTCCCTTTGGATTCCAGATAACTGATATTTAATGAATGTTCCTGCATAGTGTTTACATACAGCCTTGTGATACAGAATATCTCAGCATTCGTAAAGCACGGCTTCAAGTTAAACACCACTGATGTCATCTCAGTCCATTTAAAATAACGCCAGGCAGAAGTGAACCCACAGAGAAACCAGTAACGCTAGTATATAGCCTTAGCTATCCAGCTGTTGCTGAACTATATTTCTGAATGTAAATTGCATTTGTGATAGAAGATACTAATATACAACATGGATTCGATGACGCATTAGATTCAAGTACATACGGCCAGTTAGATATGATGGGCATACAATGCAAATTTAACGCATTGTTCAATGGAAAGAATGCTACATTTTTCTCTTTTCTTTTATTTAGAGACCTAAAGCCAGAGAACATTTTGTTAGATGATTATGGTGAGTATCCAGTAATACCTATAGAGGCAGTGTACATGTACGCAAAATAAATCACATGGATCCAGACTCCTAGTCCAGATAAATATTAGCAATGCTTGTATTCTTTATGTTCAACATTTGTCACCATAACACAAAACATCCTTCTGGTCCCTAAGTGGTTAATAGAATTCTAGATAATTCACACACTGTTTGGAAGATATCATTGAATCTGCATGGTCTTCGCTCTTTCAATTCAATGTTCATTTTCAGTTTGGATGGTGATAATCCATAACATTCTGAGTGACGTACCTTAGATTTCTGATAGGATAGGATTTGTTAAGATCAGTTGGAGTCACCAGACCCCAAAATGTGTGTGTGTTATTTTTAAACAAGCTCAGAATGTCCGTACTGAACGGAAAAATCAAAGAATTCGTAATTGTGAGTTTTTCTCAAGAAAACATTGTATTTGGTCAGAGTAACCCTTCCTATACTATGAAAGAAAAACCAAAAATGAAGAAAAAAGCTGAAACTCACCTCTGCCCTGGTGCCGTTTTTCCTGCGTCCTGATCCTCCTCAGCTGATAAAACTCGATGTCAGAGAGGGTGGCACGGGGGGCGGGGAGGGACTCTGTGCATGCTGGCATCTGGTGGAAAATTTGCACAGAATTCACATTTGCCATCATAGAACTCTTGATCCAGACTGACTAATGACTCTTCAAATACGTGGCTGGAGGTGGAATTACATCTCGGGAAAAAGACTAATTAAACCCTGTGTATGTAGCATTCTAGCAAAACGCTGCACATGTAGACTCCAGGCACCATGACCACTTCAAATCAAAGGAGACATTGGTTTTATATGATAAAGAACGCTTAATGTGACCTTCATTTTATCGCCTTATGATATTATCTTCTACTGCATCCAAACTCGCAACGCTTCCTGAGTTCACCGCACACAACGCTTTGACAAGAAAATACAGAAAGAATTACGAAAGCTAACAAGAGACAGGGTGCGGGAAGAAACACAGACACAAGGCCCCATGCAGTATATATTAACATAGCAAACTGACACTGATATATGTACCGTGTGCTCTGGCTCCAGCGGCCTGGATTAATGCTTGTTACCCTTCATCCTGTCCCACACCCTGTGTGTTTATAAAGGGCGAACATATTCCATAAAGCAGTACATCTGTAGGCAATTATAGTCACCCTCATTCTGATTGGAGCTACTTCACAATCACTGTGTCAAGGGAAGAGACGTCTACAGAAAACCCTCCATGTGGAGCAAAAGCCATTATCTAAAAGGGTAGGGTTCTGCTGACACCCATGATTAAGGGGCTCTGTATTCCGAGCTCATTTCAGATCCATCCCGTATTATCATTTCCAGTAGTGAGGCCCCAGGGGTGGCAAAACTGTGGCCCCCAGCCTTTCTTTTATTTCTATTCTGAGGCTTTATCTGACATGATCCATCCAAACACTGCTGAGAAACAGAATATTTCCACTATGAAAAAGCCATTTATCTGCCGCAGAGCATTGTTCAGTGTCAGGAAGTTTAAATAGCAGCATGTTTAGTGCATCACTCGCTGAGTTACACAAAGTTCATGTCGTGCCAGGGAGAGGGGTGCTGGGATTTACTTGGGCACCTGAGGGCCGCAGCTGGACAAGGCAGGGGACCATAAAGTAAAGAAGAAAGGAATTTGTCATTCCTGTTCTGGGTCTGAGAGGCAATAATTTTGAAAATATTGTCAGTTACTTTCTAAACATTTAAACATACCTGTTAATTCCGAGCAGTTTGCGGTTATATTTACTGAGTAATTCTTTTCTAAGTTTGCTGTGTTGCCGTGTGTCCATCCCAGGTCATATAAGGATATCAGACTTGGGTCTCGCTGTGAAAATCCCAGAGGGCGAGACAATCCGAGGACGTGTTGGGACAGTTGGTTATATGGGTGAGTCTGAGTCTTTACAGTGAATCTGTGTTGGAAAAGGATCTGAGTGCATTTTTTATGAAATTGTGGGGAATTGCAATTTTAGGTCAAAGTACTCAAATTGGAAACATTCAACAACTCTTTTTTGAAGTTTGGTATTTTTCTTTTAAAATTGCCAGTTCTCTTGACTTTTCCCCAAAATTGCTGGATTAATGAATAAAATGAATGTTTCCTCTCCACTAAATCCTGGAATAATTCAGGTTGTTGGTGGATGGAAATTCATTCCGAAATGTGCTCGGTAAGCAGGCATCTGATGTCAGCTGACCTGGGACTAAACAAGGCTGCCAGAGCACGTTTCTACTGTCAGAAATCTGAATCTTGTTCCAGTTATTAAATAACAGAGTTTGGAATCAGCGAGGTGGCGCAGTATGTACATATCACTAATGGAACAGCAAAGGTGTCAGTGTACAATACAATGACAGTACGTCCATTAATGGGACGCCATGGCAGATCTACGGCTTCTATTACTTTTGTCAAAATCTGGTTTTAAAATGTTATATTTATTATTAACAGAGATTTTTCAGTGTGACTATTTTTCCCTGATTTATTAATATTGTCTCTCGGTTCACATCGGTGCATTTTGAATAACACCTTATTGTCAGACGCTGTATTTCCATTTGTGTGGTTACAGTTAAACCTTATTTACCCAGCAGAATACAAACTTAAAGGAACACTAGATATATATCTATATCTCCAAAGAGGTAGCAGCACTCACGGAATATAAAAGTTCTAGTCTTTATTAATTCATTTAAAAAAAATATCACGATCAACGTTTCAGTCGACTAAACGGGACTTTCCTCAGGATCAATACTGGGATCCTGAGGAAAGTCCCGTTTAGTGGACTGAAACGTTGATTGTGATATTTTTTTTAAATGAATTCATAAAGACTAGAACTTTTATATTCCGTGAGTGCTGCTACCTCTTTGGATACCTGGATAACCAAGCCCTGGCTTAGCACCCGGCACACAAGGCATATTATAGAACTTTTCCCTTTTTCTATATATATATATATATAACATTTTAGACTATTTACAAAGCTGTATTTACAACACTAGAGTGTCCCTTTGACCTCCCTCTCCACTGCACTCAGAAGGTTACAAAACCCTTTCTTTAACTCTCTTGATGTCCTTAATTCTGGCTCCTTCTCCGATTCCTCTGATCTCATTGCAAAGGGAACCAAGTGCACATGTGCACACATTAGGCCTTTCCTATAGGAATGCATTGAATCAATACTTTCCTATGGGGATTTAGAGGGTGCTAGGTGTCATCTTGTAAAGCGTGTGGACGTCCAGCTTAGTTTCACGGAGATAAACTCAGAAGCAGTCTTAGCTTTGCAATGAAAACATTGTAGTCTTGGAGAAAGTGCAATATTTTACATTACAGGAAAATGGGGAGAGGGACACTGCAGCAAGACCAGTTTAATAAGATGAAATTATAGCGATTGCAAAACAATATCTCCTTAGTCTCTTTAAGTAATGAATAGTAAATCATTCATTTTACTATGCCAGATCCAAAGAGTTTGTAATAATTATGTTTAATGGTGTGGGGCCTCTGATGAGCCACATTGGTTATGGATTTTTGTTAATTTGTGTATTGGGAATTCTACCCTTGATTGGGCTCTATAACAATATGACTCCTTTCCAGCTCCAGAGGTCCTCAATAACCAGCGATATACCTTCAGTCCTGACTACTGGGGACTGGGGTGTCTGATTTACGAGATGATCGCTGGCCAGTCGCCCTTTAGGGGGCGGAAAGAGAAGGTGAAGAGGGAGGAAGTGGACCGGAGAGTTTTGGAGACAGAGGAAGTTTATACTACAAAATTTTCTGAAGAAGCAAAATCAGTGTGTAAATTGGTGAGTTATTATCTGGTCTCCCCTTGTATAGTATATTACCCGTCACACAATGCATGTTACAGACTGATCGCATTATCTGGTCTCTTCCTGTATAGTATATACCCGTCGCACAATGCATGTTACAGACTGATCGCATTATCTGGTCTCTTCCTGTATAGTATATTACCCGTCACACAATGCATGTTACAGACTGATCGTATTATCTGGTCTCCCCTTGTATAGTATATTACCCGTCACACAATGCATGTTACAGACTGATCGCATTATCTGGTCTCTTCCTGTATAGTATATACCCGTCGCACAATGCATGTTACAGACTGATCGCATTATCTGGTCTCTTCCTGTATAGTATATACCCGTCGCACAATGCATGTTACAGACTGATCGCATTATCTGGTCTCTTCCTGTATAGTATATATCCGTCACACAATGCATGTTACAGACTGATCGCATTATCTGGTCTCTTCCTGTATAGTATATATCCGTCACACAATGCATGTTACAGACTGATCGCATTATCTGGTCTCTTCCTGTATAGTATATATCCGTCACACAATGCATGTTACAGACTGATCGTATTATCTGGTCTCTTCCTGTATAGTATATATCCGTCACACAATGCACGTTACAGACTGATCGTATTATCTGGTCTCTTCCTGTATAGTATATTACCCGTCACACAATGCATGTTACAGACTGATCGCATTATCTGGTCTCTTCCTGTATAGTATATATCCGTCACACAATGCATGTTACAGACTGATTGTATTATCCGTCACACAATGCATGTTACAGACTGATCGTATTATCCGTCACACAATGCATGTTACAGACTGATCGCATTATCTGGTCTCTTCCTGTATAGTATATATCCGTCACACAATGCATGTTACAGACTGATCGCATTATCTGGTCTCTTCCTGTATAGTAAATATCCGTCACACAATGCATGTTACAGACTGATCGTATTATCATATTTGAATTGAAAATTACTCTGGAATTAGGGGAATCACATGCTATAATGGTCTCTTCCTGTATAGTATATATCCGGCACACAATACATGTTACAGACTGATCGCATTATCTGGTCTCTTCCTGTATAGTATATATCCGTCACACAATGCATGTTACAGACTGATCGTATTATCCGTCACACAATGCATGTTACAGACTGATCGTATTATCTGGTCTCTTCCTGTATAGTATATACCCGTCGCACAATGCATGTTACAGACTGATCGCATTATCTGGTCTCTTCCTGTATAGTATATATCCTTTGCACAATGCATGTTACAGACTGATCGTATTATCTGGTCTCTTCCTGTATAGTATATATCCTTCGCACAATGCATGTTACAGACTGATCGTATTATCTGGTCTCTTCCTGTATAGTATATATCCGTCACACAATGCATGTTACAGACTGATCGCATTATCTGGTCTCTTCCTGTATGGTATATATCCGTCACACAATGCATGTTACAGACTGATCGCATTATCTGGTCTCTTCCTGTATATATATACCCGTCACACAATGCATGTTACAGACTGATCGCATTATCTGGTCTCTTCCTGTATAGTATATACCCGTCACACAATGCATGTTACAGACTGATCGCATTATCTGGTCTCTTCCTGTATAGTATATCCGTCACACAATGCATTTACAGACTGATCGTATTATCTGGTCTCCCTTGTATGTATATCCGTATGCATTTACAGACTGATCATTATCTGGTCTCTTCCTGTATGGTATATATCCGTCACACAATGCATGTTGCAGACTGATCGCATTATCTGGTCTCTTCCTGTATAGTATATTATCACACAATGCGTGTACAGACTGATCATTATCTGGTCTCTTCCTGTATAGTATATATCATCATGTTACAGACTGATCGCATTATCTGGTCTCTTCCTGTATAGTATACGCACAATGCATGTTACAGACTGATCGCATTATCTGGTCTCTTCCTGTATAGTATATATCCGTCACACAATGCATGTTACAGACTGATCGTATTATCTGGTCTCTTCCTGTATAGTATATATCCGTCACACAATGCACGTTACAGACTGATCGTATTATCATATTTGAATTGAAAATTACTCTGGAATTAGGGGAATCACATGCTATAATGGTCTCTTCCTGTAGAGTATATATCCGTCACACAATGCATGTTACAGACTGATCGTATTATCCGTCACACAATGCATGTTACAGACTGATCGTATTATCTGGTCTCTTCCTGTATAGTATATTACCCGTCACACGATGCATGTTACAGACTGATCGCATTATCTGGTCTCTTCCTGTATAGTATATATCCGTCACACAATGCATGTTACAGACTGATCGCATTATCTGGTCTCTTCCTGTATAGAATATATCTGTCACACAATGCATGTTACAGACTGATCGTATTATCTGGTCTCCCCTTGTATAGTATATATCCGTCGCACAATGCATGTTACAGACTGATCGTATTATCTGGTCTCTTCCTGTATAGTATATATCCGTCACACAATGCATGTTGCAGACTGATCGCATTATCCTGTATAGTATATTACCCGTCACACAATGCATGTTACAGACTGATCGCATTATCTGGTCTCTTCCTGTATAGTATATATCCGTCACACAATGCATGTTACAGACTGATCGCATTATCTGCTCTCTTCCTGTATAGTATATATCCGTCACACAATGCATGTTACAGACTGATCGCATTATCTGCTCTCTTCCTGTATAGTATATATCCGTCACACAATGCATGTTACAGACTGATCGTATTATCTGGTCTCTTCCTGTATAGTATATTACCCGTCACACAATGCATGTTACAGACTGATCGTATTATCTGGTCTCTTCCTGTATAGTATATTACCCGTCACACAATGCATGTTACAGACTTATCGCATTATCTGGTCTCTTCCTGTATAGTATATATCCGTCACACAATGCATGTTACAGACTGATCGTATTATCTGGTCTCTTCCTGTATAGTATATATCCTTCGCACAATGCATGTTACAGACTGATCGTATTATCTGGTCTCTTCCTGTATAGTATATAGCCGTCACACAATGCATGTTACAGACTGATCGTATTATCTGGTCTCTTCCTGTATAGTATATACCCGTCGCACAATGCATGTTACAGACTGATCGCATTATCTGGTCTCTTCCTGTATGGTATATTACCCGTCACACAATGCATGTTACAGACTGATCGTATTATCTGGTCTCTTCCTGTATAGTATATATCCGTCACACAATGCATGTTACAGACTGATCGCATTATCTGGTCTCTTCCTGTATAGTATATTACCCGTCGCACAATGCATTTTACAGACTGATCGCATTATCTGGTCTCTTCCTGTATAGTATATATCCGTCGCACAATGCATGTTACAGACTGATCGTATTACCTGGTCTCTTCCTGTATAGTATATATCCGTCACACAATGCATGTTACAGACTGATCGCATTATCTGGTCTCTTCCTGTATAGTATATTACCCGTCACACAATGCATGTTACAGACTGATCGCATTATCTGCTCTCTTCCTGTATAGTATATATCCGTCACACAATGCATGTTACAGACTGATCGTATTATCTGGTCTCTTCCTGTATAGTATATATCCGTCACACAATGCACGTTACAGACTGATCGTATTATCATATTTGAATTGAAAATTACTCTGGAATTAGGGGAATCACATGCTATAATGGTCTCTTCCTGTATAGTATATATCCGTCACACAATGCATGTTATAGACTTATCGTATTATCCGTCACACAATGCATGTTACAGACTGATCGTATTATCTGGTCTCTTCCTGTATAGTATATACCCGTCGCACAATGCATGTTACAGACTGATCGTATTATCTGGTCTCTTCCTGTATAGTATATTACCCGTCACACAATGCATGTTACAGACTGATCGCATTATCTGGTCTCTTCCTGTATAGTATATATCCGTCACACAATGCATGTTACAGACTGATCGTATTATCTGGTCTCTTCCTGTATAGTATATATCCTTCGCACAATGCATGTTACAGACTGATCGTATTATCTGGTCTCTTCCTGTATAGTCATATACAGACTGATCGTATTATCTGGTCTCTTCCTGTATAGTATATACACAAATGCATGTTACAGACTGATCGCATTATCTGGTCTCTTCCTGTATAGTATATATCCGTCACACAATGCATGTTACAGACTGATCGCATTATCTGGTCTCTTCCTGTATAGTATATATCCGTCACACAATGCATGTTACAGACTGATCGCATTATCTGGTCTCTTCCTGTATAGTATATATCCATCGTGCACACAATGGTCTCTTCCTGTATAGTATATATCCGTCACACAATGCATGTTACAGACTGATCGCATTATCTGGTCTCTTCCTGTATAGTATATACCCGTCGCACAATGCATGTTACAGACTGATCGCATTATCTGGTCTCTTCCTGTATAGTATATATCCGTCACACAATGCATGTTACAGACTGATCGCATTATCTGGTCTCTTCCTGTATAGTATATATCCGTCACACAATGCACGTTACAGACTGATCGTATTATCTGGTCTCTTCCTGTATAGTATATATCCGTCACACAATGCACGTTACAGACTGATCGTATTATCATATTTGAATTGAAAATTACTCTGGAATTAGGGGAATCACATGCTATAATGCTTAAGTGTGTGTTTGTCTGTTTTCAGCTACTCTCCAAAGATGTGAAGCAGAGATTGGGGTGTCAAGAGGGAAGAACGATGGAGGTAAAGAGGCACTCCTTTTTCAAAGTTATAAACTTTAAAAGATTAGAGGCCGGAATAATGGATCCTCCTTTTGTCCCTGATGTGAGTAAAAGCATATTATTAGTTGTATAAGCGTTTATTGCAGTTTGAAAGAGTATGTTTGATCGAGTACATGTGATTCAAAATAGCTATTTCAAGGATTTTATATAGATCTGAATTATGCATATTGGTATTATTTAAAGCTATATGGTGCAAACAGGGGAAATAATAATATTAGTCATTAAAAGTTATTGGGTAGTGCGTTGTTGGGTAGTGCGTTGTTGGGTAGTGCGTTGTTGGGTAGCGATTGTCTCTTTTAGAATAAAACAATGATTTTGTTTGTGCATAATATTGGCTTTTTCATACACTCGAGTTGTAATATTGAAATATAACGATGTCTGTGTTAACGATGAACTGTCATTTGTCTGGAAATTACAGCATTGAATCAAAATCACTTATAACTTCAACTTTCAACAATTTTCAATTGATCCTCTATTTTCACTGACATGTACATTAAAGGTTTAGTAACTGACATTACAATCCAGTCCTGGCACAGACAGGGCACACGGTATACTGGAAGAGGTTAAACAGACACAATGTTTCTGTGTCTCCTCCTCTCTTTATGCTCTCTGCTGACTGCCAAGTGCAAAGGACAGAACTTATAACAATGATTGACAGGAAGCTAAGAGGGGCTCAATTTCAGAATAGAGGTTTATACAGTAGTTGGATTCTACATTTAAAGGAACACTATAAGGTCAGGAACACAGACATGTATTCCTGACACTATAATGTTAAAAACACAATATAGCCCTCCTGGTGTCCCTTGCCCCCATAAATATAGTAAAATCTTACTTTTATTCTAGTCTGCTGCAAGTGCCTCTGTGGTGGGCCAGGGGTAGCTTGTTCGGTTACCTAAACCAAGATACGACATACACCTGGAATGGAACAGTTTAACATATGTGGAGACCCATTCCTCCCCCAGTAACTGGATGACACACAGTTCCAGGGGTACAACAACAACTTTATTGGCCACACTCAGCTTTGTACTTTTCCCCATGCAATGGGTGGACACCACACAAGGACATTGTCCCCTCCCAGGATCCCAGCGCGGGACCAGAACTCTGGTCCTTTTGTCTCTTGTTCCCGCCACCCAAACACATGGTTTCCCACTTCCGGGAACAGGGGGTCTTCTTCCCAGGATCCTTCATGCCTGGGAGCCAAAGCGCGGGAGAAGGGGGATTGTTGTCCCTTTGTCTCCCAGACACTCAGTGTCTTCCTCCTATGAGCCTATGTACCTGGGAAGCACCATGCAGAAAAAACCCTGCCCCTTTCTTCCCCAGGCACAGATAGCCCACCAAACCCGCCATTGTCGCTAAAGGATGTCCACAACAATCCCCAGGGACCTACATAATGGTACCTGCCTCTAACAGCCTCCGTACGCGGGGTCCCCATGTGAAACCAAGCACGAGAAGCGTCTCCTTTCGGGGTACGAATGCTTCCCCTGGTTGGCACTCGTCTATATGAATGGCGGCCACCCAGGAAAGCAATCATTAATTACTTCCCTTGTTGTGAGTTGTGAACATTCTAATTGATTGGTGCAAACATTCCAATGGGCACGGGGAAGGTCCTCATTCGGGAACCGAACGGGGTGGGAATCAATCCGCGAATGCCTCCCCTGGATGGCGTTTGCCTATACGAAATGGCTGCCACCCAGAGCACGCGCCGAGGCTTCCCTTGCGGTTTGTGGTTTTGACACATTGTTACGATGTGCGAACATTCTAAACCAATATTCTAAACAAGGTATCGGTGTGGTCGGGGGGGAGCAGGCACATTTATACAAAGTAGCAGGGAAGCACACAGCTTATAACAATGCAATGCACGAACAGGCATTGGTCCCGCCACAGCCTCTGCCCTTGATCTGCCTGCTTGGCTGACATCATCAGAAGTAATTATTTGAGTCAATCAAAATGCTTTCCCATAGGATTGGCTGAGACGGTCAAGGAGGCAAATCAGGGACAGAGCCAGCACAAGTCAAACACAGCCCTGGCCAATCAGCATCACCTCATAGAGATTAATTGAATCAATGCATCTCTATGAGAAAAGTTCAGTGTCTGCATGCAGAAGGTGGAGACACTAAATGTCAGTCACACTGTGCAGCACTGCCCCAGGAAGCACCTCTAGCAGCCACCTGAGGAGTGGCCAATGGAGGTATCCCTAAAAGGAATTGTTCTGGTGACTATAGTGTCCCTTTAATTTTACTTTTAAACATAGGGATTTGGTAACAGAATATAAAAAATTACAGGAAGTGACGGTTCCCCTTTAACACCTGAATCCATGTGTAATTTTTACACTTCTTTTATCGTAATTTTTTTTTTTCCTGATTTGCACTCAAGATCACTATACATTTGCTTACATACTTCCTAGCATTTGAAATGGCCAGAGAATAACGTATTAAGGGGTTTGGTCAGAGATGTGGCCATTGGTGTGGCTATTCCAGGACATTTAAAGTGAAATCATGAACTGCTGATTACTATTTATGTATTTATGTTTTTTACTCAAAAAAATAAACCAGATGAACTGTGTCAATTATAAGGTGCTTAAAGGACCACTCTAGGCACCCAGACCACTTCAGCTTAATGAAACTGCTATGTTTATCAATGGGTTAAGCCTTCCTCCAAATCCTCTAGTGGCTGTCTCATTGACAGCCGCTAGAGGCGCTTGCGTGCTTCTCACTGTGAAAATCACAGTGAGAGCACGCAAGTCCATAGAAAATGCGGCTTAGTGCGCACTTGCGCGCGTGCGCATTCAGCCGACGGGGCGGATCGGAGGAGGAGAGCTCCCCGCCCAGCGCTGGAAAAAGGTAAGTTTTTACCCCTTTCCCCTTTCCAGAGCCGGGCGGGAGGGGGACCCTGAGGGTGGGGGCACCGTTAGGGCACTATAGTGCCAGGAAAACTAGTATGTTTTCCTGGCACTATAGTGGTCCTTTAAGGTTGATTACGTAAAGAGTTTAGACAAGCTGCTCAACACTCGTGTAGGTACCTCTAACCTTACACTATAAACATGCAAACCAGATGGTGGGAACCAACTACATCAAACAAAAACCCAGTGGAGCGCTAGATAAATACACTTACCCTTAGGCAAGGGAATAAACTTAAAGCAAAGTATCTAAAGGGAAAACATAAACAGAATATTGTGCAGTATGCCTCGATACACAGAGTGGTATAGTGTCTATATGAAGCACACTCACATGGTGCAGAGCCTTGGGGTGGATAGGCTCAAATCTCATGCGCAAAGGTATTTCAAGATAATACCAAAACGTCTTCTATGCAGGGGTGTAGAGTACTCAAAAAGGAAAGATAACGCAGATATAGTGTATTATCTTCACTATTGATGTGAATAAGACATATCAATCACTGCTCACCTTATTGAGAGACAAATGACTGAGCTCTCAGAATAATGCGCACTGTGCCTTTAAGATGGCACAGCTCTTCTTTGCAGCAGAGGACAACGGCAAAATAGAAAACTTTGAGATAAAATTAAAAATGTATTACCAAAAATAAAGGTTATAAAAACAAACAACTTAAATATACCACAAGTATGGAGTCCCACAATAGAAAATATGCCGTCCAAAATTGTCCGAGGCGCGTTTCGCCTGAACCAACAGGATTTCTCAATCGGTATCCTCATCTCTGCTCAGTCTGCCAGTTTTGTATCTGGCGGTTCGTCCGTGATTGGTGCGCTGTATTGTGTATCCTCCAATCAGTCCGTTGATCTGGGGGGGAGGGTGTCAGCTCGCTCAGTTGTCTATGCTTAATTCCATATGAGCGGAAGTGACGTATCGGAGATTGTCTAACGTCACTTCCGGGTTAGCGATATCGCCATTTTAAGTGTTGGCATAATACTGGCCAGCTTAGTAATTCGGGACAAGTTCATGGTATCCAGAATGTTTATAAAAACAGAAAAAAACAGAACATTAAGCACTCAATCTTAATGAAGACATTTATAAGTACAACATAATAATTATGTATGGACTAGCAAATTCTGCAAATATGATACATACATTTGTAATCACACGTAGTCAAGAGTAAAAAACAATCATCATCCACATAATCAATGTACCCAACATCTCATATACATATACATTCCCTTGTATTACAGTGCAAAACATTTGACCAGTTTCCCAAAAGGGACTACATGACAGCATCATATATATAAAAATAAAAAGAATAAAAAGAATGGGACTTAATTAAAACGTGTATTTAAAATACACACACATTCAAAATATACTTAAAAATACCTATTTTGGCCATATATAGGCCATAAAGAATATATATATAAAAATTTCTTTAAAAAATTAATTTAGAAAAAATGGCAGAGTTCGAAATTCTGGATACCATGAACTTGTCCCAAAACAGTGCAGGCTTCTGAAAATGACTTAACTGACATATAGACTCACCTGTCTGCAGTCCAAGACTCGGTGCAGCAAATCCCTAACGTTCTGCCAAGACCTAACAAAATCCACCTTCCTATGGCACAAATCCTTTGCCCCAATAACAGCAGGCATCACCTACAGGTGGAGGACGAACGTAACCCCACACACACTCACATTGATGGAGGAAGCACCCATATTTCTGTAGACATTGGGACTGACGTCTCCGACTGCCAACCCACCCCCAAGACCCACCACTGACTCTTGGGATCCTTTGTCCCGAGATCCAGGATCACCCAGGCTATGGAACCAAGACAGATATAGGGACTGACTCAATACAAGGCACCTTAATTCTTGTCGGAAACCTATTTACAGCACAGCTCAAATCATATTGTCCCAGCTTGGAGATACCCACACAAGGTATACATAGTCATACCGGGAACAGATAGTTCTACCAAAAGTACAGAACGCCAACTTACACATTCCCCCTGCTCCCCTGGCCATGAGTAACTACACTCAAAGCATCGAGTATTACCACAAGCCTGAGTAGCTACACTTATTCAACCTTAGCACTTCATACATCACACCTACGGGATTAAAGAACTCACCTCAAACTTCCATGCACGCGTATATGCCGAGACTTCAGCTACTCAGCTCCCTAACCATCCCTTCAACATATCATGACATCGGCCCTTAGGACCAATGTAGGTGCACTACACACCTAAACACCCACTATAAGTTATGTCTCCTACAGATTGCTTATGCAATGCACTGAGAAAATAAGGAAGTTAAAAAATACACTGAATGTAAAAATATATTTTTTTTTCTTTAATCCCTTTATGCTTTTTTATAACATGTTCCCTGTGGCTGTGTGAGCTCACTATGGTGAATGGAAATCACAAGAGCAGTAAATAGTTATTGTAAGTGAATGTGAGATTCTTTCTCTGGCAAACAATTTTTTTTGTAATTATTCATTGTTTGCTTTTTTACGATAATATATTTTTGTTTTTATAACGCTAGTCATTTATGCAGTTCAGTCGTTATTCTATTAGGATTGTAGTCGGGAACGGAACTAGGAAAACCAGGTAAATTGAACTATGTTGGGTTATAATGGTTATATTCCTCTCTTAGCCCCGTGCTGTGTACTGTAAGGATGTTCTCGACATTGAACAATTCTCAACCGTTAAAGGAGTAAATTTGGACCAAACCGATGATGATTTCTACAACAAGTTCTCCACTGGTTCAGTGTCCATCCCATGGCAGAATGAGGTAAGCAGGCCTGAGATTATTTCTTATTCTCGTGTAATAAGCATTTCCTTGATAGCTAGGGGTTTATTCATTAAACAGAGGGTTACTATCAACAATAGACTCAAAACAGCCAAATTGGAAGAAATAAAATCTGTAGATTGGTTTACATTATCTATTATTCTGTTTCAAACTACCAGAATGATAAATCCATTGCATAAATGAAAAAATGGCATATATTAAAAAATTATGGTTGGAGTGCTCAAAAACGGTTGAAATAACCCTGACGGATTTAACCCCTTAAGGACCAAACTTCAGGAAAAAAAGGGAATCATGACATGTCACACATGTCATGTGTCCTTAAGGGGTTAAAGCCCTTCTGTCACTTGTCAGTGTTTCATATAGATATCATTTTAATAAAATAATCATACTGGAACTACGTAACCTGCTAACCCTGAGGGTGCACAGAGCGGTGCATTTGACCAAAGGCACATTAACCCCTTAAGGACCAAACTTCTGGAATAAAAGGGAATCATGACATGTCACAGAGTCCTGTAGTCGGGGGGGGTTTGGGGCTGCGGTTAGTGTGGCTAGCTCGTCTTGTGCATGCTTCGGTTGGTCATCCGATGCCCTGTCGTGGGCCATTACTCACAGGTGGGTTCAGTTCTCTGTGGGGAGCTGTGCAGCCTTGTGGTGGCGGGTGGTTCCTCCAGCCCGGGGACTGCGTGGACAGTAGTGCTCTGTTCCCACAAGTTAAAATTCTCGAGAGTCCTAGGGTTTTTCCCGTAGGATCAGGGCGGCAGGTGCCAATGCTTGTCGGCGTGGGTGTCCCCCTGTTTCTTCGGTCTCCCCGCTGTCGTGCCTGTGGCTGGTGTCTCCGTCTGTGATTGCGTCGGGCTGCATTCTTGGGCCTCCACAGGTGTTTCCGCTGGCACAGATGGCTTGGGTAAGTTTCACCCTTTGTGGTTCCGATGCCGGGTGGGCCTGTGTCGGGAACTGCGCCTGTTTGAGTCTCTGTTTGCCGCACTGTATTCTTGTGCTTTGTGGAGTCCTCCCCTGTGCCAAGCTGTCGTTCCCTGTGTATGCTGGGCCCAGCATGGACCAGTGTTGGTGGTATGAGTCTATGTTTCTGCTCCAGGTGTGTCCAGAAACGGTTGCAAGCAGCCTCGAACCTGGCGTTGAAGTCTGCTGCCCAGTCGCTGAGAGTTTGTTGGTCTGAGTAGGTAACGCCACCGTCGGCCATTTTGATCGGGCCTCGTGGTCTCCGCTTATCTGCTGTATACTCAAGGGTATTTTGCTTGGTCGTCTCAGTCTGGGTAGGTGGACTGGGATATCCCATACAGGTCCTGGGGGGCAGGGGGGTGATTTGTCGGGGTCCCAGTTACTGTTGTTGTGCCCGGAGAGCGGCCGTCTCTCCGTGGCTCAGTGTCTGGTAGGCCACAAGCCTCGGCGTATCCGTTAGGCCGAGTTAGGGTTCGAGAGAGGCACCGGATAGTGCGGTAGCCCCTCCCGGTTACGATTGTCGTGGTCTGCAGCTAGTGGGTCTCAATGGCTGGGTAAGATGCCCTGTTTTTCGTTCCCAGGCGTGGGAGCTCTTGCCTGGCACGTCTGGGCCGCTTGGTTGCTTGGCTCCACCCCGCATTAAAGGTTATATTTTAATTACATTTAGGGCACTCATTTCTCTCTTTTTTCACTACTTCTTTAGTCCCTGGGTTAACCCCAATACGAGTGCTCTCTTTAGCTTCTACTTTTTTGCTTTGTTTTTTCACATTAAGTCACCATACAGCTTGAAAAGTATTACTTTGATTGCTTACATTTTTGCAGTATCGTTAAATAAATGATGTTGTATTTACTCTTACTTTATGTGAAGGAATACCCCTTCACTGTTCGGCTAATTGCCATCACTCTTCGGCTATTTGCACTCTCGGCTATTAACTTCCCTCAGTTACTCGGTTTTTTTTTCATGGCCATTCGTTAACTTGTTTGTTTTACTGAACGGAGACCACCCTGGGACTAATTAGAACGTGGAACACTATGTATCAATACAAAAACCGCAGACTAATTGATTGCTTCTAGATGGCCGCCATTTCGTGCATACGAATACATGTAGTGAGAACAATGGGTGCCGGCCATCTTGTCTCCCGAACGAGGTCAGCGGAACTTGGTGCCTGGAACGCACTTTCACGAACCCCGGTCTATATGGAACTTCGTTACATTCTATTTCCTAGCACTTTAGACGTACGGCGTTCGGGAGTTTGAAACAGACGAACGCAAGAAGCATTCTGCACGAACCATCTTCATTCTACCTATTGCGGTTTTCGTATGAATCTCCACGAACGGAGACCGGCTCTTGCTACAAATCTTCTGGAACTCCACTCCATGGTGCCGTACGGATTTGGCTGAAATTTGGATATGTTGCTCCCACAGAGACAAGCTACACAGAGATGTGACATTTGTGGGTTTTTTATGTAGTTTGGGGGTATTTCTGAAAATCTTGAAAATTGTAACTTTATTAAAAATGGGTTATTATGCGACACCAGCCACATTGGAACCTTTGGATTATGCTCATTATTATTTTATGGAATAAGGGAATGCAAGATGGTGATAGCTACTCAGACCGTCACACTTTATCTCTAGTGTCCCATTAAATGATATCCATTCTGCAAAATGAATGGAGCTTTATACTTTGTGGACTTGTAACTTATATATCCCACAATCCTCTCTGTTCCTTCTAAATGAATTAATGATAATTTCACATCCCTTCACATGTTGCTCACAAGCGGATCCATGTATACATGGATATAAAGGAATAAGAAAAATATATCTTATTATTATTACAAAAGACTACATAAAATAAATTAAAACATAGCAGGTAGTAAAGTTAAGTGCCTCCATTAGTAAACCGTCTCAGCTGAACACGTTTCACGTCTGGACAATGCTTTCTCAACAGCCCAGCAACATATATTACTTTCATATCGGAAACACTGGTTCATGAAGGACCAATCAAACATCTATCAGTATTGCAATATGTGAATCCTCAACTTATTTCCTACGCACATTTACTGCAGAATAGTATACCTGGCTCCATAGACTGGCACCTACAATGGTAACCATGTTGCTTTTTATTCTCACAGATGATTGAAACAGAATGCTTCAAAGAACTGAACCAGTTTGGCCCTAATGGAACCCTATCTCCAGACCTGAATAGGAGTCATCCTCCAGACCCACCTAAAAAGAGTCTGCTCCATCGAATTTTTAAACGTCAGGTAAGTAATATGTAGTCCCCCTGCTTAGGATTGCTTACAGTCCACGGTCGGCTATATGTTTATAAAGGAACAACGCTAAAGTCTAATATTTATTGAAGTGAATCTGTATCCAGCCAGGGGGATCAATAGGTTAACCAGGGGGACGATAAATAACAGCAATTCCAGATATGGTAACGCTGCTTAGAAGATTCTGCAGGGCTTGCTTGCTTCTGAGTGCTGGGTGTTAATCTAATTGGGAATACTCCTACCATTAGGTGGGGATTATACAGCAGAGCTCTTAGTTAGCTCTGGAAAATGTGAGTATACTGCTTACATGAGCCTACTCACTTTATTTGGACTGTATTGCACTCCTATGTGTTTTTGTTTTCTTTGAGGTTGCTAATAGCCAAATATTTTGAAAAGTATATACTTTTGTTTTTATTGCACTTTGAAACATTTGGCGCTGTTTATTTCCTTGGTTTAACATAAAGTGTTCTGGGATTTCTGGATTATTTAGCATGTGAGTGTCTATAACAAAACCTTTTTATAACACAATTTATAAATTACATTTTAGGCTCTTTCAAAAGAGCTAAATTATTTAATGTGATGGCAGATTCCATTTAAAAAGTGATAGCTATTAGCAGGGATATATTAAACACATGTCGGTCCTGTACTGTATGTACAAGAACTCTGTCTATTAAAGGACTACTAGACTTCAAAACTATATTTTAATATACTAATTCTTTCATCAAGTTTTGAAAAGAATTGTACTTTTTGTTAAATTAACTGTATGTAATAATTAGTAAAACTCATCCCCCATCTTTAGTATGTGACCGGATTCTTCAGCCACATACCCAGGGCTCGAGTCCTGCAGGAACGCATGGGAACGGCGTTCCTGCACTTTTTCCAAAGCAGGAACGCCGTTCCCGTTACCTGTCCTGCAGGACCGGCCCTGCTACCTGCACAGAGGGGCCAGCACACGCTGTGTTCCCTCTCCAGCTATAACTCTCGCGAGACCAGCGGCTGTTACCATGGCAACGCTCCGCACAGGCGAGTCTCGCGAGAGTTAGAGCTGGAGAGGGAACACAGCGTGTGATGGCTCCTGTGTGCAGCGGCTGCCTCCCTCCAGCATACCACCAGGCGATCTCCCCCCTCCCTGACAAGGTAAGAAGCAGGGAGGGGGGAATAAAATAAACACATAAAGTAAGAAAAAAATGCTTCCCCTCCCCATCATCCAGCACTCACTCACACACCCATCATCCAGCACTCACACACACATCATCCAGCACTCACACACACATCATCCAGCACTCACACACACACACATCATCCAACACACACACACACATCATCCAACACACACACACATCATCCAACACACACATACATCATCCAACACACACACATCATCCAGCACACATCATCCAAAACACACACATCATCCAACACACACCCATCATCCAGCACACATCATCCAACACACACACACCCATCATCCAGCACTCACACACCCATCATCCAACACACACACCCATCATCCAGCACTCACACACCCATCATCCAGCACACACACACACACATCATCCAGCACACACACACACACCCACACGGTAATCCAGCACTCACACACACACTATCCAGCACTCACACACACACACACACATCATCCCAGCACTCACACACACACACTATCCAGCACTCACACACACACACACTATCCAGCACTCACACACGCACACATCATCCAGCACACACACACTATCCAGCACTCACACACGCACACATCATTCAGCACTCACACACACACACATCATTCAGCACTCACACACGCACACATCATTCAGCACTCACACACGCACACATCATTCAGCACTCACACACGCACACATCATTCAGCACTCACACCTCATTCAGCGCTCACACACACATCATCCAACACACGCACGTACTGCATTCATTATACACACTCTTCACTCACTACAAACACACTACATTAACTATACACTCACTACAAACATACTACATTCACTATACACCCTCTGCATTCATTATACACATTCTGCACTCACTACACACTACATTCACTATACACACTCTGCATTCACTACAAACACACTACATACACTGCATTCATTGTACACACTCTGCACTCACTACAAACACACTACATTCATTATACACACTCTGCACTTACTACAAACACACTACATTCATTATACACACTCTGCACTCGCTACAAACACACTACATTCACTATACACACTCTGCATTCATTATACACACTCTGCACTCACTACAAAAACACTACATTCACTATACACACTGCATTCGCTATACATACTGCACTCACTACAAACACACTACATTTATTATACACACTGCACTCACTACAAATACACTACATTCATTATACACACTGCACTCACTAAAAACACACTGCATTCATTATACACACTCTGCACTCACTACAAATACACTACAATTATTACTCACACTGCACTCACTACAAACACACTACATTCATTATACACACTCTGCATTCACTACAAACACACTACATTCATTATACACACCCTGCACTACACTATATGCATAGGAATGTAATTTTTAAAGTAGGGAATCTTAGGTGAGTTCCCACACTTTTTTCCACAGGACTTGACCCCTGCACATACCAACACCTTGAATCGCACAATGTTTGAAAACCAACAGATCGTCTATATGGCCTTCCCAGCGCCTGTGTAATGAGTGAAGCAGAGCAAACCGTAGAGAATAATGGCCGGATTTCAAACACTGTCCGACCTAAGGTTCATGTATATGGCTGAAATATTGTGATGGGTTTTTCTCATACATACAGTGTATGTATATTTTATTTATATAGCACTAGCAGGTGCACTCGGCACTTTACAGGTTACATTACAGTAGAGGGAGGTACAGTAAGTGCAGTAGGTATACAGTGTATGTATATTTTATTTATATAGCGCTAACAGGTGGACTCAGCGCTTTACAGGTTACATTACAGTAGAGGGAGGTACAGTAAGTGCAGTAGGTATACAGTGTATGTATATTATATTTATATAGCGCTAACAGGTGTACTCAGCACTTTACAGGTTACATTACAGTAGAGAGAGGTACAGTAAGTGCAGTAGGTATACAGTGTATGTATATTTTATTTATATAGCACTAGCAGGTGCACTCGGCACTTTACAGGTTACATTACAGTAGAGAGAGGTACAGTAAGTGCAGTAGGTATACAGTGTATGTATATTTTATTTATATAGCACTAGCAGGTGCACTCGGCACTTTACAGGTTACATTACAGTAGAGGGAGGTACAGTAAGTACAGTAGGTTATACAGTGTATGCGCTATTTTATATAGGCTAACAGGTGTACTCCAGCACTTTACAGGTTACATTACAGTAGAGGTAGGTACAGTAAGTGCAGTAGGTATACAGTGTATGTATATTATATTTATATAGCGCTAACAGGTGTACTCAGCGCTTTACAGGTTACATTACAGTAGGGGGAGGTACAGTAAGTGCAGTAGGTATACAGTGTATGTATATTATATTTATATAGCGCTAACAGGTGTACTCAGCACTTTACAGGATTTACATTACAGTAGAGGGAGGTACAGTAAGTGCAGTAGGTATACAGTATATGTATATTTTATTTATATAGCGCTAACAGGTGTACTCAGCACTTTACAGGTTACATTACAGTAGAGGGAGGTACAGTCAGTGCAGTAGGTATACAGTGTATGTATATTTTATTTATATAGCGCTAACAGGTGTACTTAGTATGTTACAGGTTATATTACAGTAGAGGGAGGTACAGTAAGTGCATGTGGTATATATGTTTTTCGGTAAATTCTCTGACATCCTTTTCCTCTTAATGAAGGTTATATTCGGTCGGCGTGTTTCCGGACAAAGATTACACAGAAGGTATGTGGTTATGTTTAGTTTAACACTGCATATTTATGTAGCAATAGAAAGTAATCTGTCGACTGTTGTAGGCATAAATTGTGGAATTATTTATCAAAATTGACATTTGCAAAGCCTGGTCACTATACATCATGTGACTGTATATAGTTTACAGCTGTGACAGAGGTTTTTTATTTTATTTTATTTTTTTAACCTATCTGGTTTCATTGTTTATATAGTTTGAAGCCTGCATATGAAATCCAGACCAAATGCATGCCTATTACAAAATTCAGACATTGAACGGCCTCGTACACAGCTGCATGTTTTTTCCCCACTTGGCACAGAGCCGTATCTAACCGCCATTTACAGCGATAACCGAGAGCACTGTATCTAACTGCTATTTACAGCAATGACAGAGAGCGCTATATCTAATCGCCATTTACAGCAATGACAGAGAGCGCTGTATCTAACCTCCATTGACAGCAATGACAGAGAGCGCTGTATCTATCCGCTATTTACAGCAATGACAGAGAGCGCTGTATCTAACCGCCATTTACAGCGATAACCGAGAGCGCTGTATCAAACCTCTATTGACAGCAATGACAGAGAGCGCTGTATCTAACCGCCATTTACAGCAATGACAGAGAGCGCTGTATCTAACCTCCATTGACAGCAATGACAGAGAGCGCTGTATCTATCCGCTATTTACAGCAATGACAGAGAGCGCTGTATCTAACCGCCATTTACAGCGATAACCGAGAGCGCTGTATCAAACCTCTATTGACAGCAATGACAGAGAGCGCTGTGAAGCCCAATCGCTATTTAAAGCAAATGATGAGAGCGCCATCTAAATCAGCCATTGATAAGAATGACAGAGAGCTTGCATCAACCGCCATTTGCTGGAAAGTGATAACTTAGAGCACTGTATCTAACCTCAATTGATAGCAATGACAGAGAGCGCCGTCTCTAACCTTACTGACAGCAATGACAGAGAGCGCTGTCTCTAACCGCCTTTTACAGCAATGACAGAGAGCGCTGTATCTAACCGCCATTTACAGCAATGACAGAGAGAGCTGTATCTAACCGCCATTTACAGCAATGACAGAGAGCCCTGTATCTAACCACCTTTTACAGCAATGACAGAGAGCGCTGTATCTAACCGCTATTTACAGCGATAACCGAGAGCACTGTATCTAACCTCCATTAACAGCAATGACAGAGAGCGCTGTCTCTAACCGCCTTTTACAGCAATGACAGAGAGCGCTGTATCTAACCGCCATTTACAGCAATGACAGAGAGCGCTGTATCTAACCGCCATTTACAGCAATGACAGAGAGCGCTGTATCTATCCGCTATTTAAAGCAATGACAGAGAGCGCTGTATCTAACCGCTATTTACAGCAATGACAGAGAGCGCTGTATCTAACTGCCTTTTACAGCAATGACAGAGAGTGCTGTATCTAACCGCCATTTACAGCAATGACAGAGAGCGTTGTATCTAACCGCCATTTACAGCAATGACAGAGAGCGTTGTATCTAACCGCCATTTACAGCAATGACAGAGAGCGCTGTATCTAACCGCCATTTACAGCAATGACAGAGAGCGCTGTATCTAACCGCCATTTACAGCAATGAGAGAGAGCGCTGTATTTAACCTCCATTGACAGCAATGACAGAGAGCGCTGTCTCTAACCTCCATTGACAACAATCACAGAGAGCGCTGTATCTAACCGCTATTTACAGCAATGACAGAGAGTGCTGTATCTAACCGCCATTTAAAGCAATGACAGAGAGCGCTGTATCTAACCGCCTTTTACAGCAATGACAGAGAGCACTGTATCTAACCTCCATTGACAGCAATGACATAGAGCGCTGTATCTAACCGCCATTTACAGCAATGACAGAGAGCACTGTATCTAACCTCCATTGACAGCAATGACAGAGAGCGCTGTATCTAACCGCTATTTACAGCAATGACAGAGAGCACTGTATCTAACCTCCATTGACAGCAATGACAGAGAGCGCTGTATCTAACCGCTATTTACAGCAATGACAGAGAGCGCTGTATCTAACCGCTATTTACAGCAATGACAGAGAGTGCTGTATCTAACCGCCATTTACAGCAATGACAGAGAGCGCCATCTAACCGCTATTTACAGCAATGACAGAGAGTGCTGTATCTAACCGCCATTTACAGCAATGACAGAGAGCTTTATCCAACCAATACAGCAATGACAGAGAGCCGTATCTATCCGCTATTTACAGCAATGACAGAGAGCGCTGTATCTAACCGCCATTTACAGCAATGACAGAGAGCTGCATCTAACCTCCATTTACAGCAATGACAGAGAGCTGTATCTAACCTCCATTTACAGCAATGACAGAGAGCGACCGCTTTACAGCAATGACAGAGAGCGCTGTATCTAACCGCCATTTACAGCGATAACCGAGCTCTGTATCTAACCACCGCAGCAATGACAGAGAGCGCTGTATCTAACCGCCATTTACAGATGACAGAGAGCGCTGTATCTAACCGCCATTTACAGCGATAACCGAGAGCGCTGTATCTAACCACCATTGACAGCAATGACAGAGAGCGCTGTATCTAACCGCCATTTACAGCAATGACAGAGAGCGCTGTATCTAACCGCCATTGACAGCAATGACAGAGAGCGCTGTATCTAACCGCCATTTACAGCAATGACAGAGAGCGCTGTATCTAACCGCCATTTACAGCAATGACAGAGAGCGCTGTATCTATCCGCTATTTACAGCAATGACAGAGAGCGCTGTATCTAACCGCCATTTACAGCAATGACAGAGAGCGCTGTATCTAACCTCCATTTACAGCAATGACAGAGAGCGCTGTATCTAACCGCCATTTACAGCAATGACAGAGAGCGCTGTATCTAACCGCCATTTACAGCAATGACAGAGAGCGCTGTATCTAACCGCCATTTACAGCAATGACAGAGAGCGCTGTATCTAACCGCCATTTACAGCAATGACAGAGAGCGCTGTATCTAACCGCCATTTACAGCAATGACAGAGAGCGCTGTATCTAACCGCCATTTACAGCAATGACAGAGAGCGCTGTATCTAACCGCCATTTACAGCAATGACAGAGAGCGCTGTATCTAACCGCCATTTACAGCAATGACAGAGAGCGCTGTATCTAACCTCCATTGACAGCAATGACAGAGAGCGCTGTATCTAACCGCCATTTACAGCAATGACAGAGAGCGCTGTATCTAACCGCCATTGACAGCAATGACAGAGAGCGCTGTATCTAACCTCCATTTACAGCAAGGACAGAGAGCTGTATCTAACCGCCATTTACAGCAATGACAGAGAGCGCTGTATCTAACCGCCATTTACAGCAATGACAGAGAGCGCTGTATCTAACCTCCATTTACAGCAATGACAGAGAGCGCTGTATCTAACCGCTATTTACAGCCATGACAGAGAGCTCTGTATCTAACCGCCATTTACAGCAATGACAGAAAATCATAAGCTAATTCTCATGTGGAAAATGTATGTGAATTTACAATTACTGCGTGCAAACATGGCCTTTTAATATAGTCCATAATTTTAAGCAATATAATCCTTGCTTTTATCATTCTTTACCAATAATTATGAAAGGCACACTATAGTCACCAAAACAACTTTATCATAACGAAGCAGTTTTGGTGTATAGCGTTAAATCACATTGTTTATATAGCCCTAGTCACACCTCCACGCATGTGACTTGCACAGCATTTTTTTTATTTTTTTATTCTTTATTTAACATTGAAGAATAAACACGTTATACAGTCTGTAACATGCATTGACGTGGAATTGTTAACTATATAGTTACATTTTGAGTCTAGTTGCTCCATATTAGTTGTATTCAACATTGTGTATTTTTTTAAAAAAAAACACCCATACCTCTCTATCAAAATATACCCTTCCCTATGGTATATGCCATCCAGGGTTCCCAGACCTTGCTAAAGATATGTTGAGAATGTCTTATTATTACTATTATGTTATTATTTATATAGCGCCATCAAATTCCAGAGCGCATTACAATGGGTGGACGAACAGACATGTAGTTGTAACCAGACAAGTTGGACACACAGGAACAGAGGGATTGAGGGCTCTGCTTAATGAGCTTACATGTTAGAGGGAGTGGGGTATAGTGACACAGTAACAGAGGGATTGAGGGCCCTGCTCAGTGAGTTTACATGTTAGAGGGAGTGGGGTATAGTGACACAGTAACAGAGGGATTGAGGGCCTGCAGAGGGAGTGGGGTATAGTGACACAGTAACAGAGGGATTGAGGGCCCTGCTCAGTGAGTTTACATGTTAGAGGGAGTGGGGTATACACAGTAACAGAGGGATTGAGAGCCCTGCTCAGTGAGTTTACATGCTAGAGGGAGTGGGGTATAGTGACTGTGGCAAACCTAGCCACTTGGACAATAACTAGAGACTGTGCCTTTAAGGGTTGCCTATCGGTCTAGAGAGATATGCGTGTTATTCTTATGTATGGGCTTGATGTATTTCTGTGGAGACTGTAATTACCTGTTTCGCCGAATGCCAATGGCGGTTTGTATGTGTAGCGTTACTTACCTTAACCGGGGGCCGGTCGCGGTCCTCTCTTCAAGCCGCGCGCGGTCCTGCGGCTGCACGAGCCGCGCGCGGCTCATCCAACTACTTGATGGAGGGCGGGCAGTGACCGCGTGGGCGGTCACGTGTCCCGCCTGAAACTAAGAGCGCGCCGCGAGTCTCGGGCGCGCTCTTAAAGGGACAGTGGGTGCCTAAATTGGAAAAGGCATCCCATTGGTCCCTGTCATACCACACTCCCCATACACTTACCTTTTGGGGGCGTGGATGTGACAGGGACCAATCAAATTAGATGTTTAGGTATTTATACTCACCTTCTTCCCTTTGTTCCTTGCCCTATCGTGGTTTCTGTTTCAGTTCCCTTTAGCGCTTGTGGTGTTCAGTTGTGTTTTCTCGTATTGACTTTGGCTTCGTATTCTGACTTCGTTTTCGCTTTATCCTTATCTGTACTGTTTGCCGGCTCGCTGTTTTCCGTGTACCAGACCCCGGCTTGTCCTAGTTTACGCTGTCTCTCTGTGCCCTTGACCTCGGTTTGTTCCTGGCTCTGTCTTCTCTCATATACGTCAAGTCCGGCCATTCTAAGGTCCGGTAGACGTATCTCTCCTCTGTATTTGCCTCTGTTTAGCTGGATCCTGCGTGTAGGGGTATATTCTCGTTACATTACGATAGGGCCATGGACCCCGCAGATTTGGCTCAACAGATGGCGTCCCATGAGGCAAGATTTGTAGAGCAGGATCACCGTATGGATCAAATAGCTCAGGCTCTCCAGACGCTCCTAGCTAGAACCGTTCCAGCAACTACACCTAACCCTCCTACGCCCCTTCTCCCTGAAGTATCTACTTTGCCTAATACTTCGGCCCATTTAACACCTCCTCCTAGGTATGGAGGGGACTCTAAGACTTGCAGAGGGTTTATTAATCAGATTGAATTTCACTTCGAAATGTATCCACGTTCATTTCCCACAGAGAGGTCTAAGGTTGGGTTCTTTATGCACCAACTTACCGATAAGGCACTTGAGTGGGCAAATCCTATTTGGGAAGCTAATGGGCCTATGGTACATGATTTCAACAGTTTTCTTACGGCTTTTCGTAGAACTTTTGACACAATGAAAAGGTCAAAGAATGCCGCGAGAGCATTAATGAGAATTAAACAGGGTTCTAGGTCTGTGGCTGATTATGCTATTCAGTTTCGCACTCTTGCTTCGCAGGTAGATTGGACCAACAATGGGTTAACTACTGCCTTTATGGAAGGTTTGTCAGATACGATATTGGATGAGGTAGCAGCTAAGGAGCTTCCTATTGCCTTAGAGGACCTTATCGATTACCTCATTGATATTGATAATAGAATTCGTGACAGGCTCTATACCAAGAACAGGAATAGACGTTTTGTTACACCCATTAACCCCAGAGTTAATATACCAGAGAGTGTTAAAGTGTCTGAGGAGGAACCTATGCAATTAGGGGTTGCCAAACTCTCTGATACTGAGAAATTACATAGGAGAAGGGAGGGACTCTGCCTATACTGTGGTAGGAGAGACCATATGGTAAAGGAATGTCCTTTACTCCCGGAAAACTCTCGCACCTAAGACCTTATAGGGGACTGGCCTTGGGTGTGATATCTAAGTCTCCTAAATTGCCTCCTAACCGCTTGCTTCTCCCGGTTTCTTTATATATGGGAGAGATTTGTATAGTTGACAACATATATGCTCTGGTTGACTCTGGGGCAGCTGAAAATTTTATAGACTCTGGCTTTATAAAGAGAAACAACATTCCCATCAGAGAGAAGGAGATACCCTTGGCCGTTGAGGCCATAGATGGTAGACCATTAAGTTCTCCAGTTGTTACTCATGAGACTGAACCATTACACATGTACACAGGGGTTTTACACTACGAAACCATTCGATTCCAGGTTATCACCTCTCCCTCTTCACAGTTAGTATTAGGGTATCCATGGTTACGTGCTCACAATCCCATTTTTGACTGGGAGACAGGGCAAATAAAATCATGGAGTGAGGCCTGCCACGAGTCTTGTACGTTGGAAGTCACACCTTTGAATTCTATTGAGGTACCTACCAGTCCTCCTTTGTCTATGGTTATACCCCCTCAGTATTTATCTCTAAAGACTGTTTTCGATAAAAGGGAGGCTGAGAAATTACCGCCTCACAGACCCTATGATTGCGCTATTGACTTGTTGCCTGGCACTATACCTCCAAAGGGCAGGGTGTACCCCTTATCGGTTCAAGAAAACCGTGTCATGGAGGAGTACATCAAGGAATCATTAGAAAAAGGGTTTATTAGGAGATCCTCTTCTCCAGCTGGAGCAGGGTTCTTCTTTGTATCGAAGAAAGAAGGTGATTTAAGACCGTGTATAGATTATAGAGGTCTAAACAAAATCACTATCAAAAATGCATACCCTATACCTTTGATTACAGAATTATTTGACAGGCTGAAACATGCCACTGTGTTCACTAAATTAGACCTTAGGAATGCATACAATTTGATACGTATAAAGGAAAATCACGAATGGAAGACTGCTTTCAACACTAGATCCGGTCATTACGAATACACTGTTATGCCATTTGGGCTTTGCAATGCCCCAGCAGTATTCCAAGAATTTATTAATGATGTATTGAGAGATTTTATTCACACATTTGTTATCGTATACTTGGACGACATTTTAATATATTCTGCAGATATACACACTCATCACAGACATGTTACGACAGTTTTGAAGACCCTTCTTGCTAATGGTCTTTATTGCAAGCTAGAAAAATGTCTGTTTGACCAAACCGAAGTCCAGTTCTTGGGGTATTTGATTTCCGCTAAAGGTTTTCGTATGGATCCCCAGAAGCTAGCTGCTGTAATAGAATGGCCTCTACCGCAAGGTCTGAAAGCTATTCAGCGTTTTCTTGGGTTCTCCAATTATTATAGACGTTTTATCAAAGGTTTCTCGTCCATTGTAGCACCTATCACCCGTATGACTAAAAAGGATGGCAATACTCGTGTTTGGTCTACCGAGGCACTTCAGGCTTTTGAATTTCTTAAAACTACGTTCGCCTCTGCACCTATTTTACAGCATCCTGTCCCCTCACTGCCCTATATTCTTGAAGTTGATGCTTCGGATATTGGGGTAGGTGCTGTCTTATCCCAAAGAGAGTCGCCTGAGAAGCCATTGCATCCATGCGGCTTCTTTTCTAAACAAATGTCCAAAGCAGAGAAAAATTATGATGTGGGTAATCGCGAACTCCTTGCTATTATTTTAGCACTTAAAGAGTGGAGACATTTGTTAGAAGGAACTAAGGATCCTATCCTCATTTTTACGGATCACAAGAACCTATCCTACCTTAGCGAAGCCAAAAGATTGTCTTCCAGGCAGGCTAGGTGGTCACTATTTTTGTCCCGTTTCAATTTTATTATCACCTATAGGCCAGGTGATCGCAACACTAAAGCAGACGCTCTGTCCAGACAGTTCAAAACTACTGACAAACAGGAGATTGATGTTACTCCTGTCATTCCCCCAGACAGGATAATAGCTACTACTATTTTGTCTATTTCCTCGTCCCTCTTGCAGGCCATACAAGCGAAACAAAGCATGGCACCTAGCGAGAGGCCTAATGATAAACTGTTCGTTGATGTTCCTGAGAGACGGGATATTATGTCATTATATCATGATACTAAGACCGCTGGACATCCTGGTATTTCAAAAACGGTGTCAGCTGTTTCTCGGTATTTTTGGTGGGATTCCTTACGAAAGGATGTCACTGACTATATAAGTGCTTGTACTACTTGTGCCTGTATGAAATCCTCCCGTAGAGTTCCTTGTGGGCTGTTGCATCCGTTACCCGTTCCCGAGAGACCTTGGTCTAACCTGTCCATGGATTTTATTGTTGAATTACCCCCTTCAAATGGTAACACAGTAATCCTGATGATAGTGGATCGGTTCTCCAAAATGGCTCACTTCGTGTCTCTTCACAAGTTGCCCACATCCAAGGAACTGGCTCATATCTTCGCTAGAGAAGTATTTCGATTACATGGGATTCCCGTATCTATTGTATCCGATAGGGGTAGCCAATTTATTTCCAGGTTCTGGAGGGCCTTTTGTTCAGAAATGGGTATTTCTCTCTCATTTTCTTCCTCTTATCATCCCCAGTCTAATGGGGCTGCTGAACGTGCCAACCAGTCTCTGGAGCAATACCTCCGTTGTTTTGTGTCTCACCATCAGGACAATTGGTCTGACCTGCTTCCTTGGGCTGAATTTGCTCGGAATAACGCCACTCATGATTCTTCCGGCAAGAGCCCTTTTTACGTTGTCTATGGCCAGCATCCCGTTGTTCTTCCGGCTGCATTCTCCTCACAGGGCATGCCAGTTCTGGATGAGCATTTGGCTGGTTTGCGTAATACTTGGGAGCAGGTTCAGCGTTCTTTGGTGGACTCTGCTACTCGCCAGAAGGCTCAGGCTGACAAGCATCGCAGAGCAGCTCCGTCCTATGTTGTGGGGGACAGGGTTTTGCTTTCCACGCGGAATATTCGTCTCCGGGTGCCTTCTATGAAATTGGCTCCCCGCTTCATTGGACCTTATCGTATTATACATAAGGTTAATCCTGTTTCTTATGCCTTAGGCCTGCCTAAGAATCTACGTATTCCTAATGTTTTTCACACCTCATTGTTGAAACCTTTCGTACGCAACCGCTATACCCGGCATACTCCTCCTCCCCCTCCTATCTCGGTGGAGGGTCATGAGGAGTTTGAAGTGTCTGCTGTTCTTGACTCTCGTTTCCTTAGGGGTCGACTTCAATACTTGGTACATTGGAAGGGTTATGGGCCTGAGGAGCACAGTTGGATTTCGGCCGATGCTGTCCATGCTCCCCGTCTTGTGCGCTCTTTCCATTCACGTTTTCCTGCCAGGCCTGGTCCTACCCGCCCGGGGGGCGTGTCCTCAGGGGGGGGTACTGTAGCGTTACTTACCTTAACCGGGGGCCGGTCGCGGTCCTCTCTTCAAGCCGCGCGCGGTCCTGCGGCTGCACGAGCCGCGCGCGGCTCATCCAACTACTTCGGATGGAGGGCGGGCAGTGACCGCGTGAGGCGGTCACGTGTCCCGCCTGAAACTAAGAGCGCGCCGCGAGTCTCGGGCGCGCTCTTAAAGGGACAGTGGGTGCCTAAATTGGAAAAGGCATCCCATTGGTCCCTGTCATGCCACACTCCCCATACACTTACCTTTTGGGGGCGTGGATGTGACAGGGACCAATCAAATTAGATGTTTAGGTATTTATACTCACCTTCTTCCCTTTGTTCCTTGCCCTATCGTGGTTTCTGTTTCAGTTCCCTTTAGCGCTTGTGGTGTTCAGTTGTGTTTTCTCGTATTGACTTTGGCTTCGTATTCTGACTTCGTTTTCGCTTTATCCTTATCTGTACTGTTTGCCGGCTTGCTGTTTTCCGTGTACCAGACCCCGGCTTGTCCTAGTTTACGCTGTCTCTCTGTGCCCTTGACCTCGGTTTGTTCCTGGCTCTGTCTTCTCTCATATACGTCAAGTCCGGCCATTCTAAGGTCCGGTAGACGTATCTCTCCTCTGTATTTGCCTCTGTTTAGCTGGATCCTGCGTGTAGGGGTATATTCTCGTTACAGTATGGGGATTCTCGTTCGTTTCGCGAACGGCACTTTGGAGGGCCGTTCGTGAAGCGAACGCGATACCCCCTAATAGCCCACACACTTAGAGGCGTGTGGCGCTAGTTAACCGATTGCAACAATGTTGCAATCGGTAATTAGAGGCTCTCCTGGGTGGCCGTCGTTCGACTACCGACCATGCGGCGGTCGGCCATCTTGGATCCCTTGTTCTTCAGCGGGTCCGTGTTGTCGAACGCATAGCATTACCAATAGTTATTCGACGGCACGAACACCGCTGAGCCTCCAGGACGTTCGGGAGTTTCAGGACCAGGTTCACTAAAAGTAATCGGTTCTTTTCGTGTGTTTTGAAAGAAATGTGTTTTCTGTGCGGCGTTCGGTTATTTTAGCTGGGATCTGAGCGGCAATCTCACGAATGATGCGCCCAGACCCCAGCTATCTACCGAACGTCCATTCGTGTAAATCCACCGTGTATTGTAACAGTTGTAGATTTTTGTGTGAATTGCCGGTTCTGCTGCACGAGGGGATAATCCCCTTAACGGTGCATTCTGGGAGGATGATCCCTCTCGTGCAGCGGTGCCTGATGGGAGAAATATGTTGTACTGTAAGTCCCCCATGTAGTCCCCTCTGGGAGTGCCCCTGGGGAGGGACTCAGGAAACCCCTTGCATGGGGACTTGTATAAATTGTCGTGCCGATTAAAGGATTTCAGTTGACTCCCAAAACTGTGTCTCGTCCGGTTATTGGGAGGTTGGGGATATTGCCTTGGTGTTTTCAGCGCTTGACTGTGGATTCGTTTCTGGACCAGCGGAATTCGTGGATTTAATATTGACATTCCGCTACAATTGGTGGCAAGCGACGGGATCCAACTCTACAGCCGAATACAGCGCATTCGAATGAAAGGAACAACCGAACGGAAAGGCAATTCGTATGAAACAAGCAGACGAAAGCGATCAGTGAATGGGGACTGATTACACGGCGTTAAAGAGACAGACGCTAAAGGAACTGCTGGAGGCTAGAGGGAAAAGCGCTAGCAACAAATCGAAGGCAGTACTGATTGCAGAGCTAATGGAGGACGACCAAGCACTCAGCAGTCCACCCCCACCTGCCAGAGAGGAAACACCATACCAGAGGGAACTGAGAACCCGGCTGGAATTTGTACCACAGCCAGTAACCCTGGACATCTTAACCGTGCTGATGGCAGACGTCCAGGACTACATTATGGCACAGCAACCCCAGAGGTCACCATCCAGGGCGGAATCCATCGTCAACTCATTTTGCCCTCCAACCAAGCAGAAAATACCGTACCAGGCATTTAAAGCATTCTGCGAGGAGAAGGATGAGATAGACGGATATCTGCAGGATTTCGAGAGGCTATGCGACCTGCACGATCTGGAACCGGCCATGTGGGTACCCTTACTGGCAGGCAAGTTGGCGGGACGAGCAGCCGAGGCTTACCGCGCTGTGCCCAGAGAGGACAGCAAAGACTACTTTAAAGTAAAAAGAGCAATCCTAGAAAGATATGCCATAACCCCAGAGACATACCGACGGAAATTTCGGGGATTGAAAAAGCCCGAAAGAGATTCCCACGCAGAATGGGCGCACAAGCTGGACCAAGCTTCACAAGGGTGGATTCAGGCAAGTCAAGCCACCACCATGGAGGAACTGCGCCAACTCATCTTGCTGGAGCAATTCTTCAACGGTCTGTCACCAGAGGCACAGGAGTGGGTAAGGGATCGAAAACCTCTCAACCTTACAGCAGCCGCCCGATTGGCAGATGAACACTTTGATGCCCGGAGACACCATGGGCTCACCAACAGGGGTCCCCTAAGACCGCCAATACAACATCACCCAGCCAGCCCCACACCCGCCAACCCTACTCCATTCAGGCCACCACCAGGAAACCCCCCACCGCCAGCCCGCTACAATGGCAGGGCCAACATACAATGCCATACCTGCCGGCAGTGGGGGCATATGTCCCGGGAGTGCACCCAGAATCGTAGCAGGCAGGCGTGGAACCAGGTACGGCAGAATGCCGTTCCCAGGGCGGCGGCCCATTTCTACCACGCAGAACCTGACCATTCGGAGCTGACAAGTATACCAACCGAGGAACCATTGGGGGTTCTGTACGAGGTGATGTCGGTGCAAGCCACGGACAACCGGCAGCATCACCGCCAAGTTGTGTTTGTGGGAGGGAAAGAAGTGCAGGGGCTGCGGGACTCGGGAGCCACCTTAACCTTAGTGGCCCCCCATTTAGTTCCAGATACGGCCCACACTGGCGGATCAGTGGCAGTCCGGGTAGCGGGGGGAGCCATGTACCGGTTACCCACGGCCAAGGTGCATTTGAATTGGGGTGCTGGGGAGGGGGTTGTGGAAGTGGCCATAATGAAAAAACTACCGGCCGATGTTGTTTTGGGGAATGACTTGGGCCAGATGACTTCTGCTTTTCTACCCCAGGCCCCGTCACAAGAGGCGCATCCGGTAACCACCCGGCAACAGGCTCGCACCACGGCATTCCCCGCACACTCTGAGGCTCAGGTAAGAAATCATGACCCCCCCTGACAGACATGACTTGGGACACCCCGTCCACGTTTGAAGTAGAGGTGCAGACAGACCCCACACTGCAGGTATACCGAGATAGGGTAGATACGGACCAGGTGGGGCGGGAGGGAGAACAGTACAGGTGGGAGAAGAAGTTACTATACCGGGTGGCGGAAAGGGCGATAGGCAACTCGGTGACGCTCCAAACCAAGCAGTTAGTAGTGCCCCAGAAGTATAGGCAGGAGTTACTAAGAATCGCCCATGATATCCCTCTGTCCGGCCATTTAGGGATGACCCGGACCCGGTATCGCTTAACGCACGCCTTCTTTTGGCCCGGGATTTCTAAAGATGTGAGGCAATATTGTACCTCCTGTGATGTGTGCCAGAGGGTAGGCAAGAGGGGAGACCGCCACAAGGCAAAACTATGTCCCCTACCTATCATTGAGGAACCCTTCAGCCGTGTAGCAGTGGATATAGTAGGGCCACTACCAAAACCCAGCCCTTCTGGGAAACGGTATATCCTGACCGTGGTGGATTACGCCACCCGGTACCCCGAGGCGATTGCCCTAACTAATATACACGCCGAGACCGTAGCCGAAGCCTTGATGAAAATATTCTCCCGAGTAGGGTTCCCACAGGAAATGGTCTCCGATAGGGGGACACAATTCACGGCTGAGGTTACTCAGCAGTTATGGAAGATATGTGGCATTAAGCCAATCATTAACTCCGCCTACCACCCGCAATCCAACGGATTATGTGAGAGATTCAACGGCACCCTAAAACAGATGCTCCGGACATTCGGAGAGACCCATAAGGACTGGGAACGATTCCTTCCCCATCTGTTGTTTGCATACAGAGAGGTGCCCCAAGAGTCTACAGGTTTCTCCCCATTTGAGCTATTGTTTGGGAGAAGGGTCCGGGGGCCGTTGGATCTCATTAGAGAGCATTGGGAGGGAGAGAGTAGCGCAGATGGGACCCCAATTGTACCCTACGTGCTGGCGTTCCGGGATCGCCTGGAGGAATTGACCCAGGCAGTGCGCACCAACCTCCAGGCCGCCCAACAACGACAGCGTCGTTGGTATGACAGGGGGGCCAGAGACCGTAGTTTTCAAGTGGGACAGAAGGTGCTAATCCTTAAACCTGTCCGCACCGATAAACTGCAGGCCGTCTGGCAAGGCCCATACCAGGTGGTAGAGCAGAGATGCGATACCACCTATGTGATCGGCCCATGCTCCGGAGTAGGGAAGAGACGCATGCTCCATGTGAACATGCTCAAACCCTACCACGAGCGGACGGAGGACGTGGCAGCTATTTGCACGCCCGCCTCCGAAGATCAGGAGAACCTGCCCCTTCCAGATCTGTTAGAGCAGGAGGAGCAGAAGGAACCCTCCCAGGGGGTTCAACTGGGGGAGCGGCTAAGTCCTCAAGAGCGTATCCAGGTACAAGAACTGATAGCAACCAAGGGCGCCACCTTTTCTAACCTACCTGGGTACACTCCACTAGCCACCCACCGAGTAGAAACCCCGGGACAGCTTCCCATGCGACAGACTCCCTATCGGATTCCCGAATCCGTGCGGGAACATATGAGAAAGGAAATTGAAGAGATGTTGCAGTTGGGGGTTATTGAGCACTCCGATAGCCCCTGGGCATCGCCGGTAGTCCTGGTTCCCAAGAAAGATGGTACCACCCGGTTCTGCGTGGACTACCGGAGGTTGAACGACAAAACTGTGTCGGACGCTTACCCGATGCCTCGGATAGACGAACTGCTTGATAAGATGGCCAGGGGTCAGTATCTCACTACCATAGATTTGTGTAAGGGATACTGGCAAATTCCACTAGCCGAGGACGCCATCCCTAAGTCGGCGTTTGTCACCCCGTTTGGTTTGTACCAATTTCGAGTCATGCCATTCGGGATGAAGAACGCCCCCGCGACCTTCCAGCGGATGGTGGATCGGCTACTGGACGGGTTCCAGGACTATGCGTGTGCATATCTGGACGATATTGCCATATACAGTCAGACCTGGTCGGAGCACCTACAACACATAGGGGCAGTAATAGATCGGATCCGAGAGGCAGGGCTTACCTTGAAACCCAGCAAATGCCACATAGGGATGGCAGAGGTCCAGTACTTAGGGCACCGGGTTGGTAGCGGGCAGCAGAAGCCTGAGCCAGCAAAGATTGAAGCTGTAGCCCAGTGGCCTACCCCTAGGACCAAAACCCAAGTCCTGGCTTTCCTAGGTACCGCCGGGTACTACAGAAAATTTGTACCCAACTACAGTGCCCTGGCCAAACCCCTGACTGATCTGACGAAGAAAAACCTGCCCGGCAGGTCGTCTGGGCCCCAGAGTGTGAACAGGCATTCAATCAGCTGAAAACGGCTCTGACCAATGCCCCTGTACTGGCTGCTCCTGATCCAACTAAACGTTTTCTTGTTCACACAGACGCCTCAATGTTTGGATTGGGAGCAGTACTGAGCCAGGTCGGAGCCGATGGCGGAGAACACCCCGTAGCATACTTGAGTCGGAAACTGTTACCCCGAGAGGTGAGCTACGCCGCCATAGAAAAGGAATGCCTGGCCGTGGTGTGGGCCCTGAAAAAGCTACAGCCGTATCTCTATGGGCAACCCTTTTCTTTGCTCACAGATCACAACCCGTTGGTATGGCTAAACCGTGTGGCTGGAGACAATGCCAGGCTGCTGCGCTGGAGTTTGGCGCTGCAGCCCTTTGACTTTACAATTCACTACCGCCCAGGGAAACAAAACGGTAATGCCGACGGGTTGTCCAGACAAACAGACCTTGAGAAATGATCTGTGAGCACTCCTCCGGACATCCCCAAGCCGATCCGTTGGGATCAGACTGTGTATGCCGGCTTGGTTCTGGGGGAGCATTGTGGCAAACCTAGCCACTTGGACAATAACTAGAGACTGTGCCTTTAAGGGTTGCCTATCGGTCTAGAGAGATATGCGTGTTATTCTTATGTATGGGCTTGATGTATTTCTGTGGAGACTGTAATTACCTGTTTCGCCGAATGCCAATGGCGGTTTGTATGGGGATTCTCGTTCGTTTCGCGAACGGCACTTTGGAGGGCCGTTCGTGAAGCGAACGCGATACCCCCTAATAGCCCACACACTTAGAGGCGTGTGGCGCTAGTTAACCGATTGCAACAATGTTGCAATCGGTAATTAGAGGCTCTCCTGGGTGGCCGTCGTTCGACTACCGACCATGCGGCGGTCGGCCATCTTGGATCCCTTGTTCTTCAGCGGGTCCGTGTTGTCGAACGCATAGCATTACCAATAGTTATTCGACGGCACGAACACCGCTGAGCCTCCAGGACGTTCGGGAGTTTCAGGACCAGGTTCACTAAAAGTAATCGGTTCTTTTCGTGTGTTTTGAAAGAAATGTGTTTTCTGTGCGGCGTTCGGTTATTTTAGCTGGGATCTGAGCGGCAATCTCACGAATGATGCGCCCAGACCCCAGCTATCTACCGAACGTCCATTCGTGTAAATCCACCGTGTATTGTAACAGTTGTAGATTTTTGTGTGAATTGCCGGTTCTGCTGCACGAGGGGATAATCCCCTTAACGGTGCATTCTGGGAGGATGATCCCTCTCGTGCAGCAGTGCCTGATGGGAGAAATATGTTGTACTGTAAGTCCCCCATGTAGTCCCCTCTGGGAGTGCCCCTGGGGAGGGACTCAGGAAACCCCTTGCATGGGGACTTGTATAAATTGTCGTGCCGATTAAAGGATTTCAGTTGACTCCCAAAACTGTGTCTCGTCCGGTTATTGGGAGGTTGGGGATATTGCCTTGGTGTTTTCAGCGCTTGACTGTGGATTCGTTTCTGGACCAGCGGAATTCGTGGATTTAATATTGACATTCCGCTACAGTGACAGTAACAGAGGGATTGAGGACCCTGCTCAGTGAGTTTACATGTTAGAGGGAGTGGGGTATAGTGACACAGTAACAGAGGGATTGAGGGCCTGCTCAATGAGTTTACATGTTAGAGGGAGTGGGGTATAGTGACACAGTAACAGAGGGATTGAGGGCTCTGCTCAGTGAGTTTACATGTTAGACGGAGTGGGGTATAGTGACACAGTAACAGAGGGATTGAGGGCTCTGCTCAGTGAGTTTACATGTTAGAGGGAGTGGGGTATTGTGACAGTAACAGAGGGATTGAGGGCCCTGCTCAGTGAGTTTACATGTTAGAGGGAGTGGGGTATAGTGACACAGTAACAGAGGGATTGAGGGCCCTGCTCACTGAGTTTACATGCTAGAGGGAGTGGGGTAAAATGACACAAAAAGGTAAGGATAGTATTAGACTAGTGACAGTTGCAGAAGAGGAATCAGTCAGGAGCTATTAACAGTTTAATTGATACGCTTTTATGAAGAAGTGGATTTTTAACGATTTTTTTTAAGTGGTGACTGGGTGAGCATCTAACAGAGGAGGGAAGCTTACTCTTGAGGATAGATCGTCCATTAAGTAGTTTTCTTGAATCTTTTATTCAACCTCTCTCATTGATGGAAGATCTAGTTTTAGCTAACTAGCAGCTATACTTCTACGTTACACAGCCTTCTTAAACACTTCCTGTAAAGAGTCATCTAATGTTTACACTTCCTTTATTACACATTCTGTTTAATTTAGAATGTCTTATCTGTTGCTCTGTTAATAACCTTCTAGACCCTGCAGAAGCCTCCTATGTGTGATTAAAGTTTAATTTACAGGAAATAAAAACTTCTAAACGGACACGATAGGACCCAGACCACATCAGCTTATTGAAGTGATTTGGGTACAGTGTCTGTTTCCTACTTAGTCCAGCAATGTAAAACTTTGCAGGTTTAGAGGAACTGCAATAATTACCTTGCAGCACTAGAGGCACTTCCTGCTTGCTAGCAACTTTTAGTCGTGTAACAGACACTGGGTGTCCTCACATTAGTTAAATCCCCAAAGGAAAGTATGTGCACGTTTTAGATAAGTACATTTCATGTATCTTTTAAACGTCACTTTGCTCTGATTCTGGTAAATTAAGCAGTGATTTTCTTCCTTATAATTAGGTTGGGATTTTCTCCAGATCGGCGGAGGAGGAATACTCCTGGCTGCAGACCCTGCTGAGTGAGGGGTTCAGGGATTGCGTTCAGGAAGTCAGACCGTATTACATCTCTAACTCCGGGTACCGTCAGTTCAGACAGGATGTGTCTGAATGCACGTTTGGGATCCTGTATCACACCAAGAACAGAGGGAGGATTAATGTGACGGATGTGGCGGAATCTCTGTACGACAAAGAGCTGGAATATCTGTCTGATACACTAGGTAAGAGGTTCATATAATATGACATTGCAGGTCAGCACAAAACTATGTGTTACAACTTTAAATCAGGGTTGTGGATACCAGTGTACACTCTCCAGTTGTGTTCCCAGTGGGAAACTGACAAACCTGGAACAATGATGTGATTTGAGGACTGTGTTGGGATCCGTTGCTGTAAATAATATTCATAATTTGCTACATCAGTGACATCACTACCACGGTCACAGAGGTTGCCGCTCATCACTCCAGGGGACCTGGCTGCAGCTGTGACCCCTGTGACCGCGGATCGAAATCAATTCAGGGCCAGTGCATGGCCACACCTCCCTGCTGGTTACAACAAGTAACGTGGCCAAGCAGACTCACTGAGAGAGCTTTTCCTGACAAACTGGGTACCGCGGCCCGCTCTGCCACGCTACAGGAGAGAGCAGGTACGGAGGGGAATGGGGGGATTGACACATGGAGGGGGTGAGGATTTACACATGGAGAGTCCTGGTGGGGGGGGGGGGGCAATGAAACATGGAGGGACAGGGGAAGAGGGAATTCACACCTGGAGGGATGGGATGAAGGGTGATTTGCACTTGGAGGGACAGGAGAAGAGGAATTGATACATGAAGGGACTGCGGAGGGTGAAATTGACACATGGAGGGACAGGGGGGTTAAAACACATAGAAGGCACTGTGAGACACACGGAGGGGTTTGGGGTATTGGTACTGAGACACATTGAGGTACTGAGACACAGTCCCATCCCATCTGTGGCATTGTAGGCACTCGGGAGTCAGCTCAGTCCACCTGGCCCCCTATGGCTCAGCCTAGAGGTAGGTCCAGAGTGTCGGCGGCATTGGTATCATGTTCCAATCGGGTCACAGTTAAGTTCAGTAGGTTTCTGGGGAGTTCCCCTCTAAAGACACGATAACTTAGTGGGCTTTGTATTGGTTTTAGGGGGCCTGATAAACCATTACCCCCCCTTACCCCTCTCCCCCTAGATTTGATATGGTTTATGGTGACATTACATATATTCTTAACAGGTACTGGTCTATATTAATGTTCCCGTGTTATGTTTTATAAAGTGTGTCATTTTACAGAACCTTTTGGCTCCCGCTATACTTAGTGACTGTCAGGGTCCCGCGGGCGTCTGCGAGGGGAGGCTGCAGTCCTTCAGCCGTGTGCTCGGCGGGCGGCACCCTCTCTCCCACGGGTGCCGTCCGCCTCTTCCTCTGTGTCTCCCAGTGGCAGCATGCATGACGCTGCACGCTGGGAGACCGCCCACTTTAACCAACGCCGGGGTCAGTCACCTGACCCGGCGTTAAAGGCACAGTGCCTCAATCACAGTGGGAGGTTTAGATATCTCCCACGTGTGATTGTTAATTCTGATTGGAAATTATCCAATCAGAATTAACCTTTGGATTTATATACTTACCTTTCCTGTTCCTCTTCGCCCTGTTGTGGTCTTTGCTTGTTAGTATTGATTCTGTACTTGTGCTTCTGGTTACGTACTCCCTGGCTTGTTATCCGACTTTGTGACTTTCTCCTACCCTTTGACCTCGGCTTGACTATCGTTATTCTGTCTTCTGGTTCCCCTTACTCGGCTTGTTTCCTGACTATTCTTTGTGTGCTTAGCCCGGCCACTCTAAGGTCTGGTACGGCACTTTGTGTGTGTGTGTGTGTTGGCGTGTTTGGTTCCCCGAATCGTGACATTACAACAGGGCCTTAATGGAACCTGCTGACATACCACAGCTCCTAGTTAATCAGGAGGCTAGAATGGATGGCTTGGACCACCGTATGGACCAGTTTGCCCAAGCTTTACAAACCATACTGGCTCGTACTGCACACTTGCAACCTGCCGTCCAGGAGGCTGCTGCTGCTGTGCCCGAACCCATTCCCACTCCTGTCAGGGAAGACTTTAGCATGGGCTAACCCCATGTGGGAGAATACATCTCCTATGTCCTTTGTAGATTTCTTGACAGCTTTCAAACGTACGTTTGATCAACCCGGTAGGGTTGCCTCTGCTGGCAAAGCTCTGCTTAGGGTACGACAGGGTAATAGATCTGTAGCGGATTATACTATCGAATTCCGCACGCTAGCAGCTGAAGTGGTTTGGAATAATGACGCCCTCGTAACAGCCTTTCAGGAGGGTTTGGCCGCCTACATACTGGATGAAATAGCATCCAGGGAATTGCCTGTTCTTCTAGATGATGTCATAGATTATGTCATTCTTATTGATAACCGTATTAGAGAGAGGCGTAGTCAAAGACGGATGGATACACGGGCATTACCTGCTCCCCCCTCTACTGCTTTACTAGCACTACCCGCTCCTAGTCAACCAACCCCCAAACCCATGCAATTGGGTGCTACGGGGCTAACTGAGGCTGAAAGAGCATATCGTAGAAGGGAGGGGTTATGCCTTTATTGTGGAAAGAGGGGGCACCACTGTAATGCCTGCCCTAAGTTACAGGGAAACTACAGCACCTAAGTCCTAGAGAGGGGTTGGCTTCGGGTGTTATGACTTTGTCCCCTCATGTGTCCATCTCCAGACCGTTTATTACGGTTTCTCTTTTGGTCAATAAAACCACCATAACCACCAAAGCCTTGATCGATTCAGGTGCGGCAGACAACCTTATGGATGAGAACTTCGCTAAAACCGCAGCCTTAACTTTGATCCAAAAGGCCACACCCTTGGTCGTTGAGGCCATAGATGGAAGACCACTTGAGAAACCTCTGGTGACCCATGAGACCCAAGAAATAGTGATGTCTGTGGGTGTTTTGCATAAGGAAAGGTTAACCTTCCAAATAATTGACTCCCCTACTGCTTCCATCGTTCTGGGTTTTCCCTGGTTAGTGAAACACAACCCTGTTCTCGATTGGGTTTGCTTGGATATACTATCCTGGGGGGAATCCTGTCAACGAGACTGTATGGCTCATGTACGTCCTGTTTGTTTACTCAACGTGCCCACGGCTAAACCACTCTCTGTTTCTGTCCCTTCTGTATATGCAGACCTTGCATTGGTTTTTGAAAAGAGGGAGGCAGATAAGCTACCTCCGCATCGTGACTATGACTGTGCCATAAACCTATTACCGGGCACTATGCCCCCTAGGGGTAAGGTCTACCCTCTTTCTGAGAAAGAAAACCAGGTCATGGAGGAGTACATACGAGAATCCTTAAGGAAAGGTTTTATTAGAAGGTCCTCCTCTCCTGCTGGTGCTGGTTTCTTTTTTGTGGCAAAGAAGGAGGGCGATTTGAGGCCGTGTATAGACTACAGGGGTCTGAACAATATAACGGTTAAAAACGCCTACCCTATCCCCCTCATCACTGAGTTGTTTGATCGCGTTAAAGGTTCTAAGTACTTTACTAAACTAGACCTCAGGGGGGCTTATAACCTTATCCGTATAAAGGAGAATGATGAGTGGAAGACAGCGTTCAATACGCGTAGTGGGCATTATGAATACCTGGTCATGCCTTTTGGACTGTGTAATGCTCCTGCTGTGTTTCAAGATCTCATAAATGATGTCCTTAGGGATCTATTGCATGTCTGTGCCGTGGTGTACCTTGACGACATACTTGTATATTCTCCTGATTTGAAGTCACATCATAAACATGTTAGGATGGTGCTTAAAAAATTATTACAGAACAGACTTTATTGTAAGTTAGAAAAATGTCTGTTCAATCAGACCTCTGTGCAGTTCCTGGGATATATAATTTCTGAACAGGGTTTTAGTATGGATCCTGCTAAATTGGAAGCTATACTGTCCTGGCCACTTCCCCAAGGACTTAAGGCTATCCGGCGTTTTATAGGTTTTGCTAACTATTATAGAAAATTTATAAAAAACTTCTCACCACTTATCTCCCCTATCACAAAGCTGACTAAAAAAGGTCTACACCCTAGGGTTTGGACTCCTGAAGCCCTTAAAGCCTTTGAAACTCTCAAGAAAGCATTTGCCTCTGCTCCAGTACTACACCACCCTAATCCTTCTCTTCCCTTTGTTATGGAAGTAGACGCTTCTGAATCGGGGGTGGGAGCAGTACTATCACAAAGGTTATCGTATGACGAACCCCTCCATCCCTGTTGTTTCTTTTCTAAAAGGTTGTCTGATCCAGAAAAGAATTACGATGTTGGGAACAGAGAACTATTAGCTATTGTGTTAGCTTTTAAGGAATGGAGGTACTTATTAGAGGGTTCTAGACACAAAATTATGGTTCTAACAGATCATAAGAACCTCTCCTATATAGCCGATGCTAGAAGGTTGTCCGCCCGACAGGCTAGATGGTCTCTATTCCTTTCGTGATTCCAATACATTATTACCTATAGACCTGGTTGCCGTAATGCCAAAGCTGACGCTATCTCTCGACAGTATGAACCTTTAGAATTTGTTAACCCAACCCCTGAACCTATTGTACCAGCTTCTCAGATCATAGCTGCTACCCGTTTGGTTGTTTCATCTCCCTTCCTTGAGAATATTAAGACATACCAAACCCAAGCGCCTCAGGAGACGCCTGTTGGTAAACTATACGTGAAAGTAAGTGACAGAAAAAAGTTGTTAACATTATTTCACACCGCCAAAACTGCTGGTCATCCGGGGGTTACCAAGACTTATAAGAGCCTCCTTCAACAGTTCTGGTGGCCTTCACTCAAGCGAGACGTAGTGGATTTTGTTCAGGCTTGTCGGGTCTGTACGCAGTGTAAGTCTCCTAATATGAGACCCCAAGGCCTACTGATGCCTCTATCTATACCCAAGAAACCATGGACCCACTTGTCCATGGATTTTATTGTAGACCTTCCTCCTTCTGATGGTCAGACGGTGATATTAACTGTGACGGATAGGTTCTCTAAAATGGCCCACTTTATTCCACTTAAGAAACTACCCTCTGCGATTCAGCTTTCCCAGGTGTTTGCCAAGGAAGTGTTCCGCTTGCATGGGGTACCTCAGGATATTGTTTCTGACAGGGGCCCGCAATTTGTCTCTCGGTTTTGGAGGGGCTTTTGTGCTGAGATGGGGGTCTCCTTGTCGTTCACTTCCTCCTATCACCCGCAATCTAATGGTGCAGCCGAACGTGCTAATCAGTCTGTGGAATTGTATTTGCGCTGCTTCACTAATGCGCACCAGGACGACTGGTCTCGCCTTCTTCCGTGGGCTGAATTTGCCAGGAATGCGGTGTCTCATTCGTCTACTGGCTTAAGTCCTTTTGAGGTTGCTTATGGGTTTCGGCCTTCTGTCCTTCCCGGAGCGTTCTCTGACAAGGGAATGCCCGCCTTGGACCAGCACCTCGCCTCTTTACGGAAGACGTGGGATCAGGTCCATATTGCGCTGTCTCGTTCAGCAGCTGCTCAGAAGAAGTTCGCTGATCGCCATAGGGGTGCGACCCCTTCTTATGCTCCGGGTGATAGGGTGTGGTTGTCCTCCAAGAACCTCCGTCTCAGGGTCCCCTCCATGAAGTTTGCTCCCAGGTTTCTTGGTCCCTACAAAGTGTTACGTAGGATTAACCCCGTTTCCTACTCCCTGGACTTACCTCCTTCCATGCGTATTCCGCACACGTTTCACGTTTCGCTTTTGAAGCCCTTGCTGTGTAACCGGTTCTCTCGTCCTCTCGGACGGCCCGTTTCCCCTCGTACTGTCTCTAGTGACGTGTTCGAAGTAGCTGCCCTTCTCGACTCTCGTGTTTCTAGGGGTCGGCTGCAATACCTGGTGGATTGGAAGGGTTACGGCCCTGAGGAGCGGTCTTGGGTTTCGAGCTCTGATTTGCACGCCCCCTCTTTAGTCCGCTCCTTTCATGCCCGGTTTCCTTTGAAGCCTTCTGCTTCCCGCCCTCTGGGCGGTCTTCGAGGGGGGGGTACTGTCAGGGTCCCGCGGGCGGCTGCGAGGGGAGGCTGCAGTCCGCTCGCGGCACTCACCCTCCAGCCGTCCGCGGTCCCCCTTCAGCCGTGTGCTCGGCGGGCGGCACCCTCTCTCCCACGGGTGCCGTCCGCCTCTTCCTCTGTGTCTCCCAGCGGCAGCATGCATGACGCTGCACGCTGGGAGACCGCCCACTTTAACCAACGCCGGGGTCAGTCACCTGACCCGGCGTTAAAGGCACAGTGCCTCAATCACAGTGGGAGGTTTAGATATCTCCCACGTGTGATTGTTAATTCTGATTGGAAATTATCCAATCAGAATTAACCTTTGGATTTATATACTTACCTTTCCTGTTCCTCTTCACCCTGTTGTGGTCTTTGCTTGTTAGTATTGATTCTGTACTTGTGCTTCTGGTTACGTACTCCCTGGCTTGTTATCCGACTTTGTGACTTTCTCCTACCCTTTGACCTCGGCTTGACTATCGTTATTCTGTCTTCTGGTTCCCCTTACTCGGCTTGTTTCCTGACTATTCTTTGTGTGCTTAGCCCGGCCACTCTAAGGTCCGGTACGGCACTTTGTGTGTGTGTGTGTGTTGGCGTGTTTGGTTCCCCGAATCGTGACAGTGACACTGTGAATGATAGTGGGTTCAACACGGTCAAGGTGCACCAGGGAATTTTAGATGTTGAGCAAAAAAATGTGTTACTTGCCTTCATATTTCGAATAGAATATGTACTTTTGCCTCTTTAGGGAATACAGAGCATCCATTAGGAGTGTTAACTCTAAAACTCAGAATTTTCATGCCTTTTATCAGAGCAATGTGGGGGTTTGTCACTAATGGGCTTAGAGTGAATACCTCTGTGGTGGTATACCCTCACGAGGTGGGTTACTACCGCCTGTGGTCACCCCTTCCTAGTTGTACTCAGTCGTAGAGTGATTATAGCTCCTAGCCAGTGATTATAGTCGTTTGCAAAAGGGAAATCGTGGTTTCACCCAAACACTAGTCAAAACTTAGTGAAGGGTGAACAAGAACGGATTATTTCAGGCAAGATACATGGTATTTATGCACAGACTCCATTCAAAGTAACATGAAAACATAAGCCCGCCCAGGCGTCGCTGTGTCTGGGAGATAATGGTATCTCCTGGAGACAGGAAGCCGAACATACCAAATTCACAAAAATGCACACAATACAGTAATGCATCCCCACATAACTCCTGGTCTCAGCTATGATCCCTGCAAATAGCAGAGCTATTGGATGTACAGAGCCCGACTCTAAACGTGAGATATAAAGATTGTATACAAATGGTACAGATGTATAGATGATATCTTAATCCTGTGGACTGGTCCTATTGCACTAGTTAAAGAACTGGTAAACAAATTAAATCACAATGATATCGATTTACGACTTACCAATGTCATAGACGAGAACTAATTGGTCTTTTTAGATCTAAAAATTAACATCTTGGAACATGGAGAAATTAAATCTATTATTAAAGGCAGAATCACATTGTATTGTCACGATAGTGACCCCTTCACACAGATGGTAACCCTGAAAGGGACGTATACCGGACCTTAGGGTGGCCGGACTTAACATCAAAGAAAAGTCAAGAAACAGCCGAGGGTCAAAGGAGTACGGAAATCGGGATATACGAAAAAACCAAGCCAAAAGTCAGGGAGCCAGATAGGAGAATAGTCAGAACGAAAGCCAAGAGTCAAAATACCAGAAAAACAGCTAAACAGTAAAAGAGCACTAGGAGAACAATCAAGAACCACACTAGGGCACTGAGGTGTGGACAGGAATGCCCTTTTATACTAATGTGTGTGTCACTTTAAAGCCACGCCCCCCAAAAGGTTCGGGAGCGTGGCCGCGTTTGAATTTTCGCGGCAAAATCATTATGACGTCGGCGCGCATGCGCCGCGTCATAAAACGGATTTTGCCGCGAGCGGGCAGCGTCCGAGAGGCTGTGCCGCCTCCCGGAAGTAGCCGGGGAAGCTGTCGTGCCGCGCGGGATCGGCGGACCCAGGTAAGGTATCGTTACAGTACCCCCCCCTCGAGGACCGCCCCCAGGGCGGGCAGGACAGGGCCCGCGAGAACGACGCCTAGCAAAGGAATGGACTAGGCGAGGCGCGTGCACGTCCGAGGCATCAACCCATGACCTTTCCTCGGGACCGTACCCCTTCCAATCCAACAGATACTGGAGCCGACCTCTAGAGATCCGAGAGTCTAAAATAGACCTAACCTCGTATTCGTTTTGGCCATCAATGAGAGTAGAACGAGGAGACCTGGGTTTACGAGTAAAGCGATTACAAATCAAAGGTTTCAGAAGAGAAACATGAAAGGAATTGGGAATCCTCATATTAGCTGGTAAATCCAGGCGATAACAGACTGGATTAATCCGTTGGAGGATCCTAAAAGGACCAATGAAACGCGGAGCAAATTTCATAGATGGGACTCGTAATTTAATATTGCGTGTACTCAACCACACTCTATCTCCCACTATAAAATTCGGAGCATTCTTGCGCCGGGTGTCCGCTTTGCGTTTTTGAGCATCGGCCTTATGAGTCAGGATACGCTTGACCCCTAACCAAGTTTCTTTCATATTCCTCACAGTATAGTCAACACTAGGCACAGCGGAGGATGAAAAAGAACTCGGAAGAGTAGTAGGGTGAAAGCCATAATTTACAAAAAAGGGGCTATGTTGTGTTGATTCGTGAACCCAGTTATTGTGGGCGAATTCAGCCCAAGGGAGTAACTCCTTCCAATCATCTTGGTGATCGGAGATGAAGCAACGGAGGTACTGCTCTAGTGACTGATTCATTCTCTCAGTAACTCCTTTGGATTGGGGATGGTACGAAGAGGAGTGGTTAAGTTTGATACCTAACTGAACACAAAACGCCCTCCAAAACCTGGAAATAAACTGTGAGCCTCTGTCAGAGACTATGTCTGTAGGGATACCATGTAAACGAACCACCTCCCTTATGAATATCGTGGCCAGTTCTGAGGATGAAGGAAGTTTAATTAAAGGGACTAGGTGGGTCATTTTGGAAAATCTATCGATGATAGTTAGAATCACCCGGTGATTTTTTGAAGGTGGCAGGTCTACTATGAAATCCATGGCGATACTTGACATGGGCATTTCGGGAATAGGCAACGGCATGAGGAGGCCTAAAGGACGACTTTTAGGAGACTTACTAGAGGAACAAATGTTACAGGCCAGGACATATTCTCGAATGTCCTTCTTGTAAGAAGGCCACCAGAATTTATTTTCGAGTAGTGCTTCTGTTTTATGGATACCGGGATGACCGGCAATCTTAGAGTCGTGTACCAATGATAGGATTCGTCTTCTATAATTGAAGGGTACGTATAATTTCCCCTGAGGGATAGTCAGGGAATTGTGGTTTTGAAATTTAGACAATACTTCTGTTAAGCTAGAAGAGATTTTAGTACGTACCGTAGCCACTATTTGTGAAGTAGGGATTATAGAAGATAAATGGGTTACTGGTGGGGATATGTGCTCATGTTGCCGAGATAAGGCATCTGCTTTTGTATTCTTAGAACCGGGTCTGTATGTCACTAAGTAATTAAAACGTGTTAGGAATAAAGACCAACGAATCTGCCTGTCAGTCATTCTTTTAGCTTCTCCAAAATAGGAGAGGTTCTTGTGATCAGTGAAGATGATGATCGGTTCAGATGTCCCCTCTAATAGATGCCGCCATTCTTTGAGTGCTGAAATGATAGCCAACAATTCCCTATCACCTATATCGTATCTTCGTTCTGTTTCCGTCAGTTTTTTAGAAAAATAGCCACAGGGATGTAGGGGCTGGTCATTCGAGGATCTCTGAGAGAGTACAGCTCCTATCCCTGTCTCAGAAGCATCCACTTCTAGCAAAAAAGGACGCAAAGGATTAGGGTGACTTAACACCGGGGCTGAAGAAAAGGCTAGCTTCAATTTTTCAAAGGCTTCCTTAGCTTCAGTACTCCACACCGTATGACTTCTATTCTTTTTTGTCATAGCGGTAATAGGAGCGGTAATAGAGGAAAATCCTCTGATAAACTTTCTATAGTAATTAGCAAACCCCAGGAAACGTTGGATGGCTTTTAGTCCAACGGGTAGGGGCCAATTTAAAATGGCTTCTAGTTTTTTGGGTTCCATTTGAAAGCTGGAACCGGAAATTATGTAACCCAAGAAATTAACCTTCTCCACGTCAAATAAACATTTTTCTAATTTACAGTAGAGTCCGTTCTTTAATAATTTGGATAATACTATTCTAACATGCCTATGGTGCTCCTTGATATTCTCAGAGTAGATGAGTATGTCATCTAAATAAACAACAACAAACCTTTGTAGATAGTCCCTTAATACATCGTTTATAAAATCTTCAAAGACTGCCGGAGCGTTGCATAAACCGAAGGGCATAACCCTATATTGATAATGGCCATAGCGAGTATTGAAGGCCGTTTTCCACTCATGTCCCTTCTTAATACGAACTAAATTATAAGCTCCCCGTAGGTCTAGTTTAGTGAATATGGTAGCACCCTTTAACCTATCAAAAAGCTCAGTAATGAGCGGAATAGGATACGCATTTCGTATTGTTATTTTATTTAATCCCCGATAATCGATGCAGGGTCTTAGGTCACCTTCCTTTTTGGAAACAAAAAAAAACCCTGCACCAGCCGGGGAGGATGATTTGGTAATAAAACCCTTCTTCAAATTTTCTGTGATGTACTCTTCCAGTACTTTGTTTTCTGTTACAGAGAGGGGATACACGGTACCCCTAGGGGGCATAGTACCAGGCAACAAATCAATAGCGCAGTCATAAGAACGATGGGGTGGTAATTTGTTTGCTTCCCTTT